GTCGCCAACAAACAAGCAATTGGTAAAATTCTAAAAGGTGAGAAAACAACATTGGTTGCTGACATCCGTCATGGTAATTATTCTCACGATGCAATAAAATTTAAACGTGTTAAATTATTATTTACCATTCCATCTTCGGTTGAACAAAAAAAGCTGAATGAGGAATTGAAGAATTTCAATGTAAACTTAACGCATCATGGAGACTCGAAGTATAAATTCGGTGACGAAATTTATGAACTTAGGACTTCTCCAACAAATTTAACATTCAATTATGATATAAACGATAGGAGGACAGAAAATAATCTGGTGTCAAATTTGTCCAAGGGATTGTACCTATTAAGTCCTTATGCGACTTGGACCATTCAACTGGGACCAGTTCATACTTCTCAAAAACTTGATTACTTGCTAACATTCAAGGATATTGTTAATTTGGAACTTGTAGGTGATGGTGAATATGCTAATACAGAAGAATGCAATTCAATATGTAAGACAACAATGCAAAACTATTATCAAACTACACTGTAAACAGAAGGGTACTAATTTAGTTGTTGTTGGAATTTTATCAGCACATACAATTTTTTCCAGCATTTGGAAATCTGTCAGGAGTCAAAATTGTTGCGGGGTTCGATAAAAACCTCAGTCTACTACACTATTATTAATTCAGTAATTTATTTTATAAGAATTATAATTGTAATAAACAGAAAATGTTTGATAGTTTTAATTGTACCGCATAAATATTTTTAATTAAATAAATAAGAAAATTATTTTACATTTCAAATGGAACTTGAATTTACTGAATTTCTATCTTGAAAATTGAGTTTCGATTAATTTTTCCAAATTCAATATTCGAAGTTTGTTTATTGGAGGAATAATATTTTCACAAGGAATAACAACGTTCTGTCGTCATATATTTTTCTCGGACGTAGGATAAATAACTCAAGTCTTAACAATAAAAATAGTGTTGTGCATAACGTAGAGAATATGAATCAATTTCAACAAGCAGTCAAAAATTGGGACGTCACTGGAACAATTGAGAATATAAAGCATACTTTACATAACGTAACTAAAAATTTCAAAATAGATGAAAAAATGAATTTGTCATTTGGTAAACTAATCAAGACATTCGACTTATTGTTCGAGGAGCATAGATTATTACTGCAAAGTAAAACAAAACTAAAAGACACAATTGATCATACAATTCTCCACATTGCCCATGATAGTAATTTCTGGGTTAGGGATTATAATCTAAGATATGCATTATCAGAGTTGGAGTTTGTGAAAAGATCAAACTACGCAGCAGAAAACTATCATAAATGGTTTTCAGCTTTTAAACAACACGCCTTCCCTTATTTCGGAGATGTAATGAATAAGTTGCAGTATGCATTTAATATACGCAGCATTACTAATTTTTCAAGTTATATCATTGATAAAATGAAAGATCTAGTTGATAGATCTGAATCTAAAAAAATTACGAATCAAAGAAGAAAAATAAATCTTAGAAGTTCTAATTCCCCAGATGAGCGGTCAAGATTTTCCTTCTACACTTGGAGAAACAATGAAAAAAGATTAGAAATATCCAAAATTCTAGGTGGGAGGGAAGTGATATTGGTTTCAGACATTCGACACGGTGATTTCGATCATGAAGCCATAAAGTTCAGTCGTGTTAATTTATTGTTTACCACTACTTCTCCTGATCAGCAAGAAAAACTAAATAGAGAGTTAAAGAATTTTGATGTAAAACTGATTCATCTCGGGGATTCGAAGTATAAGTATGGTAACTATATTTATGAAATGAAAAATTCTCCTACCAATTTCACCTTCAATTATGATATAAACTATAAAGACAATGATAATCATCTTACATCAGGATTGTCTAATGGACAGTACATGCTAAGTCCTTATGCGACTTGGATCGTTAAGCTTGAACCAGTTCAGAAATATCGTAAATTTGATTCTTTAATGAAATTTAGGGATGATGTGAATTTGGAACTTATAGGTAATTCTGAATATACTCAGAGTGCTTATTGTGATTTAAAATGTGCAAAAACTATGCAAAAATATTATACACTTGCCATTGAAGAATCTAATTACATTAAGAGAAATTAGTGTTATCCTCTAGTTAACCCTGGCGGGCGGGTTTCACTGAATATCTACTGAATTCGGTAGACGTTCGGTATACGTTCGGTAATTGGTCGAAAAATTCAATAAAAAAGCATAGAATGTTGAAATAAACTATTGAAAATAATAAATGGAGTATTAAAGTGTAAATTTATCCAACATTTAGGGTAAATTATGTTGTAAATAATTAAATATTAATGTGTAAAGTGTAAAAGTGCTAATGTGACAGTTGAAATAGTGTGTGAAATTTATTAATTTGTAATGAAAATAAGAATCGAATGCTAAAAAAAGCAATCAATATATATTCTTTGATATGTAATGTATTTAATTCATTATATAGTTTTGTTAATTGTTGCATATTAACAATAAAAACATTAATTAAAGTAATAATTTTTTCTACCAATGTAAAGTGTCGATAACATGGAGTGTAGAGAAAGGTAGCCGCGCTCAACACACGCTAGGTGGCAATACTCACGATTTCCTTGTCTGAATCGTCTGAATATTTAATTTACAATTTAATTAAATACTATTAAAATAGACCAAATTATCAAGAAAACTAAAGAGTCAACTATAGAAAATATTGATTTAATATTCATGATTAACATTTATGCACGATTTATTATAAAACTTTTTGAAAACAATTATAATTCTTTGTATATGGGCAATTCCACGTAAAATTTCAGTCGACCTTTAGAATCGGCAAAACATACTTTTTTCTTTTCTATATTGAAAAAAACCGGAGAGGTATTTTTTTTCTAGGACAAAACTTTTTATTTTCTTTTCACGGGGTTGCAATTCTTTGATTCGTTGCCTTAATAAAAAAAATGGTGAATATATTTCATTTTTTAAAAATTTAACATTTAGTCTCAACCCCCTGAAATGAAAATAAAAAGTTTTGGCCAATAAAAATAATATTTAAAATCCTCCTATTTACATAAAGCAATTCTTTGATTCGTTGCCTTAATAAAAAATGGTGAATATATTTTATTTTTTAAAAATTTAACATTTAGTCTCAACCCCCTGAAAAGAAAATAAAAAGTTTTGGCCAATAAAAATAATATTTAAACTCCTCCTATTTACAAAGAGAAATTCTTTGATTCGTTGCCTTATTTAAAAAAATGGTGAATATATTTCATTTTTTAAAAATTTAAAATTTAGTCTCAACCCCCTAAAAAGAAAATAAAAACTTTTGGCCACTAAAAATAATATTTAAACTCCTCCTATTTACAAAGAGCAATTCTTTGATTCGTTGCCTTATTTAAAAAAATGGTGAATATATTTCATTTTTAAAAAATTTTAAATTTAGTCTCAACCCCCTGAAAATAAAATAAAAAGTTTTTGCCAATAAAAATAATATTTAAACTCCTCCTATTTACAAAAAGCAATTCTTTGATTCGTTGCCTTAATAAAAAATAAAATGGGGAATATATTTTATTTTTTAAAAATTTAACATTTAGTCTCAACCCCCTGAAAATAAAATAAAAAGTTTTGGCCAATAAAAATAATATTTAAACTCCTCCTATTTACAAAAAGCAATTTTTTGATTCGTTGCCTTATTTAAAAAAATGGTGAATATATTTCATTTTTTTTAAATATAACATTTAGTCTCAACCCCCTAAAAAGAAAATATAAACCTTTGGCCACTAATAATAATATTTAAACTCCTCCTATTTACAAAGAGCAATTCTTTGATTCGTTGCCTTATTTAAAAAAATGGTGAATATATTTCATTTTTTAAAAATTTAAAATTTAGTCTCAACCCCGTGAAAAGAAAATAAAAAGTTTTGTCCTAGAAAAAAAATACCTCTCCGGTTTTTTTCAATATAGAAAAGAAAAAAGTATGTTTTGCCGATTCTAAAGGTCGACTGAAATTTTACGTGGAATTGCCCATATACAAAGAATTATAATTGTTTTCAAAAAGTTTTATAATAAATCGTGCATAAATGTTAATCATGAATATTAAATCAATATTTTCTATAGTTGACTCTTTAGTTTTCTTGATAATTTGGTCTATTTTAATAGTATTTAATTAAATTGTAAATTAAATATTCAGACGATTCAGACAAGGAAATCGTGAGTATTGCCACCTAGCGTGTGTTGAGCGCGGCTACCTTTCTCTACACTCCATGTTATCGACACTTTACATTGGTAGAAAAAATTATTACTTTAATTAATGTTTTTATTGTTAATATGCAACAATTAACAAAACTATATAATGAATTAAATACATTACATATCAAAGAATATATATTGATTGCTTTTTTTAGCATTTGATTCTTATTTTCATTACAAATTAATAAATTTCACACACTATTTCAACTGTCACATTAGCACTTTTACACTTTACACATTAATATTTAATTATTTACAACATAATTTACCCTAAATGTTGGATAAATTTACACTTTAATACTCCATTTATTATTTTCAATAGTTTATTTCAACATTCTATGCTCTTTTATTGAATTTTTCGACCAATTACCGAACGTATACCGAACGTCTACCGAATTCAGTAGATATTCAGTGAAACCCGCCCGCCAGGGAAGGAAAAGTATGGATTTAGTTACTAGTATTCAATACTTTTTGCAAAACTTTTTGAAGAGTTGAGTCCGATGAGGGTAATGGTTTTATTGCGAAATATTTTAATTATTGAAAATAAATGTTTAAATTAAAAATTTTCATCTGAATTCCATAAATTTTTTCTATTTATCTATTTCCAATATTTTTTAACCTCGAAGAATTTGTAAATTACTTTTTCGTGAAGTCGCCGTTAATGTTAAAGATATAGAAACAATTTTTCCATATACGCGCATATAAATTTCTTTACTTTTAATATTTTCAAATGATCTGTAGTTTTTCTATTGGTTAATAAAACATAAAATAAAATCTTATTTTAAGTTTATCACGTTTTGTAAAATTATAAATTATTTCTGAACGCAATATTCAATACTTTGCAAAAGGACTGTAAACATTGAGTAACTTCTGGCAGATAGGCTGATTTTCCGGACACCGTTCTTCTGTTAAAAAAAGGTAATATTATATTATATTAAAATATACACCATTCTGAAGATTTATTTAGTTTTACCAAAAATTTAATAGCTGAAACAAAATATCAAAGAATTTCATAATTTTAATAGACCTTTTCATCTCGAATAATTTTTTAATAATAATAACTTCTGGTCGGTCATATTCAAATTCCCCATGTTAATACATGGTGAATTTTTGAATATGACCGACTATCATGGCGGACTGAGATTGCGCATTCTTCATTTCCTATTCGAGATGAAAAGGTCTATACCATATACTTTGGAAGTATATATGCGTTTTTTAATTCCTGAAACTCTCCTTTTAATAAACAATATTTTTATATCTATATAATAATAATAATAATAATAATAATAATAATAATAATAATAATAATATATATAAATAAAATTCAAGTTTTGTCTGTATATATTCCTTAACCCTTTGAGAGGCACATTATTCATATGGACGGATTTTCTTTACATCTCAAGTCTTAATATTTTTGAGGTTGCTGATTACGAATTTGAAGTTAGTTTTCAAAAATTCAAAATGGCGGATTCGTAATCAGCGACCCCAAAAACCCCGGAGTAACAATTTTCAAGCGAATCCAAGCAATTGCATGGAGTCTATTAAAGCAATCCAAAAACACACATTTTTGGTGTCTTCAACCCCATTTTCTGAAAAAAAAATTTATTTTTTTTTATTTTATGGATATGGGTCTTGTAGTTCACATTACAAGCTTTAATTTAAGACCTTGTGGAAGTCTCTAACACGTCAGGTTAAAGAGAACAAAAATTTTGAAAATCCTCAAAAAAGCGTTTTTGGGGTTTTTACCCCCACTTTTCTCAAAATCCTGACGTGATGGGCAATTTTGGAAGTCGGGATCGTGTTCAGCGTCCAAAAATACATAGGAAACCATTCCACTTTCTCATAAAAAACGTAAGTCTTGTTTTGTTGACCTGTGTAATTTATGAATTTTTTTAAACAATAGGAATTTTTTAACATGATGTAGGTTACATATTTTTAAAGCCTTATTCTTCCTAAACAGATCGCACTAAATTTGACTCCAAAATATTAATTTTCGTCAAAGATATTGAGGTTTTTGTAGGTGGGACGTATACGTCTCACTCATAAGTAGTAAAAGTTACAAAAATACTATTAAAAAAATTCTGCATATCTGTTTGTACGTGAAAAATAAAATGCTAATTCGTTTGTAATATTTATTAATAAAATTAATAAAATAAAAGATAGAAAAATAAATGAAGAAAATTATATAAAATATAAATAAAAAATTATATATAAATTACAATAAAAAATTATATAAATTACAAAAAAAAAAATAATATCAAAAGAAGTAATAGTAACACAAGGACAAAAATTTAAGTATTTAAGATATATATAAGTAAAAGTGAATCCATTTCAAATCACGCAGGCTGACTCGCTTCAAGTCGTAAATACACCTGTCGATAAAATATGTTATGTAATATGGAAAATAAAAATTCTTTAATATAGTTTTACTGTTTTAAAATTTTTCTAAATTTTTAGTTAGAAAAATATTCAAAAATCTTAGAATATAACTTTTACGAAATAAAACTATAGTAAACTATTTTTCGAAGAGTATAGTTTGCAAGTTTTATTTCGCAAATGTTATGTATACAATTAAATTATAAATATTACTTTTTTCATTCGGAAATTCTTTTATGAATACAAAAACATATTTTTTACAAAATTACGTATGGATTTCAAAATCTATCAATTTTTAGAAAAAAATAATAATTCAAAAAAGGTCAAAATATTTTCTGAACAATTTTTTTCTGACCATTGAATTGCTTCAGTTTTTAATATAAATTTTTTATTTTAAAATAAATAATTTCATGAAGAAATACTATTTCACATTCTAAATATTTGAAATTGCATTTCTTATGTTTTCATTTATATTTTCTAACAGTCAGACAATCAGAAGCAGGAAGTAAAAAATGAATCTTGGAAAACAGTTTTCTGTGACACTCCTTCTAGGAGTAGTTATTGGTTTTACAGCTTTCGTCTATGGAAAAAATTCAAAGAAAAAATTTGATTACTATCTCGATCCTTCTGTAAATATATTTTGAATATAATTTTTTTCTTAGTAAGAAATAGATAGATATAATTTTGCTTCCTTATGGATTTTACATAAAATATATTGTCATATAAATATATATAACTAAATATGAGACGCGCTCCCAAGAAAGGTACCTAAGAAGCAAACGAATTGTAGGTTAGGTTCGTGTTAGATTTATCTTGCGATTAAAAGTTTATTTTTAATTATTTAAATTTGAAACCAATTGTCATTGAATATTTTTGGATATAATATGAAGACTTGAAGATCAATAATTTTTAATTAATAATTGATTCTCTTTCTGTATTTTTAATCAAAAAATTAAAAACATAACCTCAAATTTTTTTGCTTCTTTGGTATCTTTCTTCGGAGAGTGACACATATAATTATTATATTATCTGTGATTATTATTTTATGTAGAAGAATAAAAAACAATTATATTCTTATTTTGTTGCAAAATTAAAATATGAATTCATTTATTTTAGAAAATATGCGATGAAACCGAAAATGCTGAGTTTATTTCAATTATGAAAAAAACAACAAACGATATAGTTAGCTTCGTTCCTGGCAGATTTATAGTACTGACCGATTCAAAAACAAATATGAACGCGAATTTGCGACAAAAATTAGAAGAAGAAAAAGCAATGTTCTTACAATTTCACAGAACATTTAATATTGATATTCAAGAAACATTCGGCACTGCAGTAATTTTGAGTAGAGTAAATGATGGGATTGTGTTTCTTATTCATGCTGATAGTATTGATAGTGCTGTGAACATTTACGAGAATATTACATATATTGTCCCTCTCTCTATATCTTCAAATAGAAAAATTGCTTTTGCATTAACACTTTCGGAAAATAAGGATATTAGAGGACCCATGATAAAGAAACTTGAAAATGTAGCAAATACAGTGCAAAGAAGGGAAATTTTTTTTTCAGTACAAACCATAAGGGAGAATAGTAATTCACTGATAGCTATTTTTACTAAAGACTCCTCTACAAGTGACGTTAATGATTTTCTTGCACCTTTCCTTATTAAAGAATATACAATGGACAGTCGTTTACATGATAGAAGTTTCAATTTCAGTGAACATATGCAACAAGTGTTAAATTGCGGTGTAGAAACAACTCAGAAAAAAGTAACTTCAGGTATGAAAAACTTAACGAATAGTATATTAAATAACATCGAACATCGACATTCTAATCAACAATCATATAACGAAAGTATTCTAAAAGATTTACTTAATTGTATTAGGAAAGTAGCTACATTGCCATTGATGCAACTAAATTCTGCAAAAGATTATTTTTTAAATCTAGATATCTGTAACTATAATCATTACACTGAAAAACTTAAAACGGAAATAAATTTTACTGGACTGGAAAGACAAACTATTGATTCAATATATCATTTTGTCGACAATTCTAAATTTAATGAAGCAATGGAAGAGTGGAAACAAGTTTTGAAACATTTTCATCTGAAAGATAATATAAAAAACCAGTCTAGTGATAACGTAAAACAGATTTGCGATGTTAATGGAAATGAATGTACACTAAGAATTACGGGTATTGTCATCAAAGTGAGCGATTTAAAACTGAATAACTGCAGTGTGAACCCGAAGGTAATTGAAGTATTTGCAACTAAAAGGGTAATTATAAACAAAGATATTATACTGATTGGAAAAGAAATTCAAATGGTTATCATAGCCCCAATATGGGAGGTGGATACAATCTACAGTGATGTAGAAATTTCAGGATATAGAGTAATTAACTTGAGTGGTGAAAATGGAAAAGATGATAATAAAAGACAAGCAAATAATGGTACAAAAGATGGAAACAAAAATGGTGCACACGGTCGAGCTGGTCTACCAGGAGGACCTGCTGGAAGTTTCTATGGAATTGCAGACAAAATTATCAACGCTGAGAAGCTTAATATTTTAGTTGATGGAGGTAGAGGAGGAAATGGACAACATGGTGGAAATGGGGTTGAAGGAGCTAATGGCCTTACATATAACGAAAAACCGGGACTACAATGTCCACCAAAATCAATAGCAATAGGATGGAATTCTTCTCAAGTGGAACGTCCTATCCATTCTTCTGCAATATTTAATGCACCTGCAATTAATCAAAATACTTACAAGTATAAGATACTTGGAAAGGGTGGAAGAAAAGGAGGAAGTGGAGGTAATGGAGGTATTGGAGGCATTGGGGGACAAAAGGGTTTTGTCACAATTGTGGAATTATCAAGTCAAAATAGAAACCAATATCAATTCTCTGAATTGGATGGTGAAGTAGGTTCAAATGGTACAGGTGGAAAGTCTGCTTTAGGTGGTAAGAATGGTAAAAATGTTCTAGTTACTTTTTCATGTTTATTAGACGACTCTAATAGAACCCCGCAAATTGTAAAACGAACAAACCTATCAGACTACACTGGAATGGCTGAAATAGGATTAGACGGGGAAAACGGCACCAGTTTAAAAAGAAATGTAGAAGTTGAACGTTTACAAACTGTGAACATTTTTCCAAGATCAGTGAATGAGTATAAAATGTTCCTCAGGCCACATTTATCTGAATCTAAATCAACAGAAGAATGGTCCTTTTATAATCACTTAAATACTCACGAAAATATTACAAAAGTGTACGATCCCTTCAGCTTAGTTAATGATTTTATAGGACTAGAAAAGCACTTTTTTTCCTTAAATAAGAAAATCAACTTTACATCTTCTTACGAACAATTAAAAAATCGAATTGATACATATAAGAACCATCTTAGCAAAAAAAGTGCAGAATACTTAAGAATTATTAACGATTTAGCAGAAGACGTTAATAGTAAGTGACAATTTTTAAAATATGCCGTGTATAATCGAATAATTCGATTCAAATATTATTTATCAAAAATAATTAAAATCCTGCAATGAATTTTAAAATTTATGAAAATAATTAAAATTTTACCAAGAATTTTTTATTAAAATTTTTCTAAAATAATCGAATTTTATTCAAGTTTATAAAAATAATTGTATTTCAGTGAAGAATTTTATTATTTATTAAAAATAATTGAATTCTTGAAAACTTTGTTAAATTTTTTTAAATAATTAAATTCTTGCGACGAATTTTATAAAAATTTTTTTAAATAATTGATATTTTTCAAAAAATTTCATGAAATTTTTGTATTTTAATTAATTTAATTCTTGTGAAAATTTTATTACCTACTTATGAAAATAATTGAATAATTCTTTCGAAGAAATTTATTAAAAATTGAATTTCTGTGTTTCCCAAGAATTTTATTATTTATTAAAATTGTTCTAAAATATAATTGAATTTCGATGAAGAATTTTATTATTTATAAAGATAATTGAAATTTTGACGAGAATTTTTAAAAATTTTTTATCATAATTAAAATTTTGCAAAGAATTTTTTAAAAAAAATTTTTTATTTATTTTTGAAAATAATTAAATTTCTGGAATCATTTGTAATTTTTTCAAATTTCGATTTTTTTTAGTCAGACTTTTCCCTGACACTTCCCTGACTTGTGGCAAACCTGTTATTGCATATATGAGACCCTAGAAAATAATTAAAAAATTGTTAACAACTTTTTTCCGTTACAGATCGTCTTGAAGCAGTGAAATCTATTCATTTGCCTTATGCTGTCAATACAGATTTTTTAAAAGAAGATGAGGATCTATTATCACTAGAGGTAACAGACCTAAAAGATTTTAGAAGAACTAAGAACATTTTGTATCAACTAAATGAAAAAATATTTTTACTGGAAGAAAATATGAAAAGTGGTGAACAGGTAATTAAAAACGTGATTTTGAACGCCATCTCTGACATAGAAGAGACACTAGATGAGGATTTAAATTCCTTACTTACCGAAATTATAGAAACGGTGGATGAAATATATGCTAATCAAACAGTATTGGATAGTAAACGACTAACGTTACAGCATACTATGAGACTGAAAGTGTTGTTTGGAATTCTGACAGTTGGTTGCGGAGCCTTGGGAGTAATAAATCCAGCATTAGGTTTTGTAGCCGGTGTAGCAGTATCTGCCATTACAGTATTAGACGTAAAGACAGCTGAAGAAAGAGATGAATTTATCACTGTTTTGCCAAAAGCTGTTGAGAATTTTGCCAAACAGTCAGATGATTATTTCAAAGAATTGGAGAAAAAACAAGAGCAGGTACTTCAAGAGCAAGAAAAGTTTATCAATAGAGAAATACAGCTTGCAACAATTCATGAAAAAAATATTATAAATAATGTATGGGGCCTAACAGAGGATTATAGAAAACTCAAAAACTTTGATAAGTTAGTAAGTAATTCAGGATATCATATGAAGAAAATATATGCTAAAGAAGAAGAAAAATTAAAAGATTTATTAAAAAAATTGAAAAAGTCAGAGGACAAGCAAGATTCAAAGAAAATAGACGGTGTTAAAATTGGTATAAGGGTTGCCAAATATTTAAAAGCAACTTCTGAAGCTTTTAAAGCGGGAACGGAAACTGTTACAAGTATTATGAAAGATGGGAAGAAAGTCGATGAAATTGAAGAGGCAATGAATAAAAACGAAAAGGCGATTAAAAAACTTTTTTTAATGGAGGAAAACATTTACGATAGTGTGAAACCTCTGTTAAGTACTATGCAAAACAATTTAGGTAATATTGAGCGTAAAGTAAAGAATATGAATCAGTTTGAACAAGCAATTGCAAAATGGAACGTCACCAGAACTATTGAGGATATAAAGTTGACTTTACATAACGCAACTGAAAATTTAAAAACAGGCGAGAAAATAGAAAGATCATTCGGTATACTTACCAAGGCATTTGATTTATTGTTCGAGGTGCATAGATTATTACTACAAAGTAAAGAGAAACAAAAAGATACAATTGATCAGACTATTCTTCACATTGCCCATGATAGTATTTTTGGGGTTAGTGATTATCATTTAAGATATGCTTTATCAGAATTAGAGGTTGTGAAAATGTCCAACTACGTAGCTGAAACATAACATAAATGGTTTGCAGCTTTTAAACAACATGCTTTTCCGTATTATGGAGAAAAATTGGATAAATTGCAAGACTTAGATGAATATAGTGAACGTGGAATTACCAAATTTTCAAATTATGCCGTGAATAATATCAATTATCTAATGAAAAATTCTCATTCAAATATATTTACCGACCAAAAACGTAAAATACTTGTGAATGGTTTAAATTCTTCAGATGAGCGATCGAGATTTTCTTTCTACACTTGGAGAAATGATGAAAGACATTCTGAAATATACTACATTCTAGCTGGCAAGGAAGTGATATTAATTGCAGACATTCGATATGGTAATTTTGATGCAGAAGCCATAAAATTCAATCGTGTTAAATTATTGTTTACCACTAATTCTTCTGAGCAGCAAGAGAAACTAAATAGTGAGTTAAAGAATTTTGATGTAAAACTTACACATCTTGGAAATTCCAAATATAACTATAGTAAGACTATGTATGAAATGAAGAATTCCCGAACAGTTTTAACATTCAATTATGATGCAAATGATACAATTAAGGAAAATCATTTGGTAACAAGGTTGTCTGAAGGACCGTATCTATTAAGTCCTTATGCAGCTTATACTGTTCAGCTTCTACCAATTCAGAAAGATCGTAAATTTGATTCTTTAACAAAATTTACGGATTTTGTTAATTTGGAACTCATTGGTAATGCTGAATATACTACAACAGCTGATTGCGATCCAAAATGTGTAGAAGCTATGCAAAAATATTATTCACTTGCCACTGATGATTCTGCTTATTATATTGTTGGAAATGATTGCTATCCCCTATTACCGGGAACGTGCAGTGGTGATGATATAAACGGATAATTATACCTGTTTTTCAACGTTTACTACTTTTAAATATTTACTAGTTTTGTGTTTTTACACGCACCTATGTTTAGTTTGTCTAATATTTTACTACGGGTTTATTAAAGATCCAATTTGAAAAGTTTACAGCATGTCTGCTAACTCTTCTTGTACTAACTTCTTCTGTAATATGTATATTAAAAAAATTTAGAAAACTTTTATTCCACACATAATGTTTAAAATAGTCTGAAGGTTGACAAGAAGTGTTGCAGATGCTCTGTAAATTTTTATGAGTGAAAAAAAGTTTATTATTAAATATGTTTTTAAAGATTGTAATCAGCTTAACACTTAAACTTATCAAAGTTTAACGTAATCGTATTGTTCAGTCTTTTTCTGTTTTGAATAAAATTAAGTTTGCTTCTGTAACATTACTGTTTGAAATAAAATTTATTAATTGTGACAATAAATACTTTTCTTATTTCTCAAGCAAAAAATATTTCCACATTAACTTTGCAGCAATGCAATACAATTTCTTTCACATTTTCATAATTTTACTCTTGTCAATAGTTTAAGTTTTATTAATTATTAATTTAATTTTTATTTAATTATTAAGTAATTAATATAATAATAATTGTTTGTTACGTGTAAAGTACATACCTAACAGTGGTTTTCATTAGTTTTCATTTTATTAACACAACAGTAGGTGAGACATTATCAAATGTTTACAACTTTTCGTATTATGTCTGTAACTTGTGTACACAACATTAAAATCATAATATTTTATTATTTTCTTTCTATTAAAAGCGTTTTTTTATATTATTTTAACAAAAAGTTAGTCCTAAATATGTAGGATCGAAGGCTGACAGATAAGTAGCTCTGAAATAAAAAACATTTTTTGTACAGTGAATTCACTATAGATAAAAGCATAAAGAACTTACCGCACATAATCCTTGATGTGCACACAACCAAGTTCATAAGCACACTTATAATTAGGACAACACTCTTTAGAATTACTACATCGTCCATTCGTCTTACACTCATTTTTTACATGTCTCTTGGCTGAAATTACTCTACCATAATCATTGTTGTCGTGAAACTCATTTTCTTCACTGACCAGAGATGTTTTAGCTAAAACATAATAAATTTTAGAATTTTAACAAAAATTCTAATTTTACAGTTAATTTAAAATCATTTTATTGTAATAATCTTTTATAATAATCTTTATCATTCATTAAACTAAAACAAAAGTTGACTGAATTTGGTAAATAAGTATAAAATATTTTAAAATAACTTTTGGGTACATTTGTTTTATGAGATAAATTTTTTTCAACACGTACCTTCATCTGCTTCCTGTCCATAAGTAATTACAAGAAAGATACAAATAGTTAAAATGAAAAATGTGAAACTTTTTTTACAAAACATTTTTATTTGTTCTTGCTTTGTTTGTTTTTTTTTTTTGAGTTCTTATGTCGAATTCACAATAGTGCTTCTATTTAAATGCAAAATTGATTACAATAAAGCAATCAAAAGATAATGTGTATTAAAAATAAAAATTGAAATTCAATTTGCATGCTTTTGTTGTTGATTTAATTATTTTTCTATTATCACTTACAGAAGATTAAATCTTTTATAACCTATTAATTCTATTACGTTTAACAATTAATATCAATTATCATATTTTTCTAATGACCTGCCCCTACATTTTATTTTTCAATTTCGTTTCCAATTCAATTCAATTCTTTTATTAACATTACTTGACATCATTTCTTAACAGTAATAGATAAATAAAATTTGAAAAAAAACTTAACTATACTATCATCATGTATAGAATTAAATTTTTGATGCAATTTATAATATGAAGAAACTTTAAATACAAATGTGTATCAATTACATATAGAACTCTTTCTTCAATATATGATTATTGGAAAAAGATAATTTTTAAAAGTAGGTCAAAATAGAAAGTCTGCTTGAAATATAAACAAAATTTAAGTTGATTTATAAACTTGAAAAAAAATGTCAAATGTCATCACTAATATTCATAACACAGATATCAAATTAGGAAATTGATAATGAGTTCCTCCTACACTCGTAACGTATATACAAAATGTAAAATTGTCAGTTTCATTTCGCTTTTTCAAGCGAACCAACTATGGAAAGTTCTTTTATCCTGTATCTCATTATTTCATTCAGTAAGTTTTGTTTATTTATAAAATATTTTCAAGAATTATTTTCATAAAATTAATTACTTTTTTAATTTTTATTAAAATTTCATTAAAATGAATAATATTTTTTTTTAGATTGTTTTATTTTATCTGTGTGTCGTGATGATCGTGTTTTATATCCAAATTTTCAAATTTCATTGAGTCAATTTCGAAAGAATTGCAAACGAAAGAATTTACTGCCAGCAATTGTTAATATTCAACAGGAATATGCAAATGTTTTAAATGAAATCTCAGAGGATTTACTTTTGAAAATTTACTACAAGGAGACAAATAGCAATATTATAAATAACGCTATTGAACATTTTTGCAACAATAATACAAATTTAAATTATTTATTGTACAATGCCGCCGATAAAATGCTTGGATGTTTGGATAATTCGGAAAATGTTGACGCACAAAGTTTGAAGCAAATGATGTTGAGTAAAATTTGCAATGATCAAGCAATACGTAAGTGGAGTAATTTTCCAAAACTTATTTTTAATATTAAATAATTTAAATTATTCATTGAATTAAAAAAAAAAAAAAAAAAAATTACTTTATTAAATAATTAAATTATTAAATATTTTAATTTACATTATTAATTATTATTGTTAAACGTTTTGTTCAATTCTGTTTTTTTATTTTTTTAAATAAAAAATACTTTTTAATAAAATACACATTAAATTAAAAAAAAAATTTTTTAAATAATAAATAAATTTTAATAAGTAATAAATATTTTTGTAATTAAATAAATTAAAATAAAATTATAAACACTGAAAAATATTGAATTGAGATAATTTTCTTAGGACTGTTCTATAATATGGGTTTTTATTATAATTCAATGAGAAGTTGCTTTTGGGAGGTGGCAAAAAATATTTCGCAATGCTTTATAGAACAATGTGATCATCGCTTATGGCGTATTGCAGAAAATTGTGAATGCGTTGGAGCAAATTGTTCTCTATGTAATGAAATCTGTTATGACCCTTTTTACAATAATATTCTTCTGTACGCTCCAATCAATTTCAGTCAAAAGGAATGCGAGTAAGTTATATGTATAATTAAAAAAAAACTGACCTACATAAATACATACTTTAATTTTCCATCATTTCGAATTACGAGAAAACATTTGATTCATCATTTGTTTAATTTTACCAAATTTTATTCACTTATTCAAACAAGAATTTTTTTTTTTTTTTTTTTTTTTTTTTTTTTTTTTTTTTTTTATAGTAAAAACTGATTTTTTGTTAATTTAATAACAAATAACGTTAAATATAATTAAATATAATGTTAATTTAATAAAATGTTTTATTTTTAGTGATCTGCACAGAAGGGTTAATTGTCAACTTGATGTAGTGAAACACTGCGCAACGTCAGTTGTAAAACTTTCGTATGAATTGATTTACAGTTTAGAAAGGGTGCCACATTGTAGATCCAAAGTTCCAGATTGGCATTAGATTTTTATATTTAAATTTTTTTTTAAGGGATTTCGTCCAGATATAGACAGACAAACAAAGTCGATATTTTAGGATTTTTTTCTGAGAAAACTATTGAGTATTTCAATTTAAAACTTAATGTACATATAAAGGGTACATTGAACTTTATTTTGACATATTTTATATGTGGAAATAATTTTTTTTAAAACTTTTATAAAGAATTTTCGGGAGCTAATCCGAAGGACTGGACAATAAAAGCATTATTTATAAAATAAAACTTTATTTTTGAAAATATTTCATCAAGTGTTATTTATTTTATTATATCATCAGTAGAATTAGAATTACAGTTGGAATTTACATATAGCAAAAAATTTACATATTTTTAAAGTCGATAAGCACTTTATTATTTGTTTATTTTTTAATGTGCATAGCTAACAGAGATTTTTATTAGTTTTTGTTTTTATTAACGTTACAGCAGGTAAGACACATTAGTAAATATTTACAATTTTTGATATTATCGTCTGTCACTTGTGTACACAATGATACAATCATAACATTATTTTACTATTTCCTTTTTGTTAAAAGTGTTTTAAATTTATTATTTTACCAAAGTTAGTCTATGTCATATTTTTACAGTTTTTATTTATTTTCAATATTCATATTATTTAATTTGTCAATGATATATGCTGTAGTAATAAAAAAAGACTGCGACTGGTTTATATTCACTTTCCCATATATATATATATATATATATATATTACCGTAGAAGAAAGGAATATATCTGAAAAATAATATTTTTTGAACATCAATTTTTTAACAGAAAACTATTCCACTATAGGGGAATTGTGAATGAAGGTAAATGTGGAATTTTTTTTATAATATATTTTTTATTTAAAAAAAAATGAATAGGAAATTATTTAAGGAACCTACCGCACATAATCCTTTATTGTGGTGTACAACCAAGTTCAGAAATACATTTATGATTGAGACAACACTCTGAAGAACTACGACATGGTCCCTCTTTCTTACACGCATCTTCTGCTTGTCTCTTAGCTGAAATTAATCTACCAAAATCATTATTGTCGGAAAATTCATTTTCCTCACTGACCAGAGAAATTGCAGCTAAAACATAGTCAATTTTTTTTTCTTACTATAACTTCTTTTTCAATAACCTAATTCTCGAACTTTATTATAATGTAAAACATTTTCAAAAAGATAAACTTTATCTTAATCCACCCACATAAAATCTCTAATACTCATTACCATAAATTATTATTGACTGAATTTGTAAAATAAATATTAAATATTTTTAAATAACTTTTGGATACATTTGTTTAGTGCGATAAATTTTTTTTAACGCATACCTCCATTTGCTTCCTGCCCGTGAGTAATTAGAAAGATACAGATAGTTAGAATAAAAAAAATGAAACTTTTTGTAAAAAACATTTTTATTTGTTTTATTTTTCGAGTTCTTGTGTCGAATTCACAAAAGTGCTTCTATTTAAATGCAACTTTGATTACAATAAACAATAAAGCAATCGGAAGATTCGTCATTGAAAATACAAATTGAAATTTAATTAACATTTGTTTATTTAATTATTTTTTAATTATTACTCACAATGTGATCAGAGGATTGAATCTTTCGTGCTCCATTAATTCCATTACGTTTAACAATCAATCAGTTATGAATTTCAAGTTTCAAGCAATTTATTTTAAACTATAATGAATGAAATTGGTTTTTACACTTGATTTAATCCATATCGGACAGGGATGTAAACAAATTTTATCCAGATATCGGAAGATATTTTTTTTATTTTCACCTAATTTGTGACCAATAAATCCAAATGTGGTTATCTTCTAATAAGTATATTACTTAAATCCGCGATTTGATTACTGGGTTATTAAGAAAAATCCGTCAACTAACAGAATGAATTTATATTTTCAATTTATTTCTATATTACTATTTAATTTTGTCTATTGAAATACCATTTCAAAGAGGAATTGTTATCATCTAAAAAAAAGTGCGGCGCAAAGTTTTAAAACTCAGATAGTTCATGGACGAATTACAAGGATGAGGTCAATGATAGAACCAGGTATTAAATGTCTAAGTATTAAATCATAAATAAAATAATACTCAGGATGACAAAATTAATATTTATCAAATGTTAAATATAATTTAATTAATAAAACACTTTTTTATTTTTAATTGTTTTATTAAATATACAATTCAAAAGGAACATTACTTATGAACACTGGAATTAGTGTGTGTCATTTGTTTGTAAGATATTGGAGTCGTAGGCTTAATAACGACGTTTCGAGCCACGCTGTCCATTGTGAGTTGTGTACGTTCTTTCTCCACCGCGTTGAGGTACTTGTGATCCATGCCTATTATTGTAAGGTGTAAACGTTGGAGGCTTAATAGGAAATTTCGGGGTATACTGTCCAATGCCAGTTGGGTACTTGCTTTGTCCACCGCCTTGGGGTACTTGTGATTTATGTCTATTATCGTAAGGTGTAAACGTTGGAGGCTTAATAGGAAATTTCGGGGTATACTGTCCAATGCCAGTTGGGTACTTGCTTTGTCCACCGCCTTGGGGTACTTGTGATAGATGTCTATTATCGTAAGGTGTAAACGTTGGAGGCTTAATAGGAGGTCTTGGGACATACTGTCCAATCCCATTTGGGTACTTCCTTTGTCCACCGCTGTGTCCTGTGTCCACTTGTGTTCTATTTCTTCCAATGAAAGGCTTCTCCGTTCTAAATGTTTGATTTTTAGGTTGTGGTCCAGGTCCTAAGAAAGGTGCCTGCGTTTTTATTGTTTGGTTTCGAGTCCCATTATATTGAGGTCGAATATTAGTAACTCCTGAATGTACACCAAATTGTGTTGTAGTTCTATTCCCTTCAATGAATGGTCTCCCCATTCCAGATGTTTGATTTTTAGCTAGTGGTCCATGTCCTACAGAAGGTACCTGCGTTCTTATTGTTTGGTTTCGAGTCCCATTATATTGATCTCGAATATTAGTAACTCCTGAATGTACACCAAATTGTGTTGTAGTTCTATTCCCTTGTTTTACAACCGATTTGTTTCCTCGTTCACTGCTAGGTTGTATTTTACTCCCATTCTTATGACCTAACAAAACTGAAACATTTAAGTGCACACTTGTTGACGTTGTATTCTTATTTGTATTCGTTGGTTTTTTGGTTGATTGTATTCCAGTCCCATTAAGTTGATTATTCACATTTATAACTATATTTTTGTTTTCCGATGGTTTATTAATTTGCGTTCCAGAAACACTATTTTGAGGAAGCAGGGATACAACGACACTTGTTTGTGCTATAGTTTTATCATTTTTAGTTGGAACTGTATTGCTTTCTGATTTATTAGTTGATTGTATTCCAGTCGCACTATTTTTCGTTTCCTGATTTAGCACTAAGAAGACTCCTACACCAATTAATGATAAAAGAACAATTCCTGTTAATCCAATAATTAAGTATGAATTATTCAATGTTTTACACATATCACCCGTTTTGTTGGAACTTCCTCAATATGTGTCAAATAGGTAATGGAAAAAATTAATCAGACTTTTCTTTATATACAATAAGGCACTTTATTTTATAATACTACATTTTTTTTGGAAAAATATGGATCAATATAAATAGCAAATATAATTCCGTACTGCTGACGAAATTTATATAAGTTATTATACAATAATACATAAAGTTTCTTTAAATCTTTTTAATTGTTAAAATCCGTGTTGATGTTAAATTATAGTCTAAACATATTTTATCACATCAGATATAAATTTTCGATATTTACGATAATAACACCTAGAAGAATAATAACTGAATACTCGCGCTATTTTAGGCGCGTCCTCTCAATGAGCCAATTCTCACTAAAATGATTAACTGATAAGTATATGATTACATTTAGTAATCGTGGTTTTACTACATTTCCGGAATTTTATTTTTATAACTCTTTATTTAATTGAATTGATGTGACGTTAATTCCGAGACAGGTACAATTGAGTGAGTAATAATTAACCAATTTCCAAAATGATACATCTTAATAATCGGAATGGGATGGGTATGTCAAGGTTTATACATAATATTTCATTTGTGACTTAGAGATTACTGATGACGAATATTTTTAAAGTATTTATTCAATATATTTAATACAAAAGGTTGTGTAAAATACCAACCAAATATAATCCTTAGTAGGTTTTCAATAATATCAATAAACTTATCATATTTTTAAGATGTTACCTATAAGCTGGATATTGAGAGGCGGCTGCGGTTTGAGACTTCAAGTTTTTATGATAGTTATGTCCGATTGCGTAGCGAATTGTAATATGGCTGTGTTCCAAATCTTTGATTATTTGGACCTTGTCTAGGTCCTTGATTTTGAGGACGTTGTTGTCCGTTACCTCTACTGTAAGGTCCAATAGGTCCTTGATTTTGACCACGCTGATTTTGATATCGTACATTGTTCTGTATTTGTGGTCCATATCGTTGATTTTGAGGATATTGTTGTACATATTCTCTATTGTGAGGTCTTATAGGTCCTTGATTTTGACCATGCTGATTTTGATATCGTACATTGTTTTGTAGTTGTGGTCCACGTCGTTGATTTTGAGGATATTGTACATAAACTACGGTGTGAGGATTCTGCATTCCTTGTATTCTATTATTAATATTTCTTCTATTTCCCTGGCTTTGAGATGGTTTTTTTTCACTTCCATTTTTATCACCTAAGTTGACTATTACTTTTACATGCGTGCTAGGTCGTGTTGAATCTTCATGTTCTTGATTAATATCTATTTCTTTTTTTCCTTTCTTAATTGATTGTATTCCACTCTCATTATTTTTAGTTAACACTTCTGAATTTTCTGAATTTTCTCCTGATTTATTACTTGATTGTGTTCCATTCTCCTTAATTTTAGGTTGCTCGGTAGTAACTTCTGATGACTTAGTTATCTCTGTTGTACTTTCATGATTTTTCTTTGATTCTGTTGCAGTTTCTGGTTTATTTGTTGTTGATTGAGTTTCCTGATTTTCTTGATTTTGTGCTATGACTTCTATTTTAATACACGACAAAAGAATAAGTCCTATCAATCCAATAGTTAAATGAAAGAATTTCATTTTTACAAAGATTACTTCTTTAGTTAAAACTTGTTTAATATGTGTCGAAAAAGTAAAAAATTAGTGACGTTATATATGAGACATTTCATTATTATGTTAATGGTTTTTTTTTAGAAAAATTTTTTTTTAGTGGAATAGCAAATATTAGTTATTGCTGATGAAATTTAAATACGTTATTACATCAAATTTCCAAAGATATCTAGTTCTCCAAATAATGTTGTGTTTAAATTTCCTCTTTTTTAGAATAATGACATTGAAAATAAGTGAGAGTGTAAAATACGTGTGGTATCTATTTCCAAAAACAGAATAAATTTAAAAACTTCCTGATCTATTTAGAAGAATATGCCTAAAATTATTTTTTGTTTAACTTACTTACGAGACAATTAGACAGGAAAGTATAGAATTTTCCTCAATTGTTTTATTTACAACGTATTTTTGAAACATAACAGTATATCAGAAAAAATTTCCGTATTTGTTTGCCACGTATGCATAATTTATTAGTGATTTGCAATATGCTTCTGTAAACGTTTTCTTATCAATCTGCAGAGTTTTTGCATTCTAAATACAGTTTATTTAATACGCTCTCCAGTATTCACTTTTATTTTAAAAAGTGTGCATTGTCACATTTATAGCATTTTTTTCGTTTGTGTTTACAAGTTCATTGAAAGTAATAACAAAACCATGAAGAATTTAAATCGTTCCTTGACTTTACTCTTAATAAGTAAGTACAATTTGAAGGAAAATAAATTTTTTACAAATAATTCGAAACTAACGGAGAAGTATTAAAAAATAAGATACAAAATAGTTAAAAAGCATGTTAGAGAAAAATAATCTTGTAATTTTAATAGGTGCTGGAATATTAGTAGCCGCATTGAGATTCATCGAACCTCTGGACGCTATCATACGATCAAAATATGGTGTAACTTTCGGAGACTTTAAGCCAAAATGCGACAGTAAGGGTCCTAATTTATATAATGAACTAGTTGCGCTGCAAACCCAGGAAGGAGAGATTAGATCTCAATTAACGGGGGCTTTAATTGCTAAGGACAGATCAGTGGGACATTTATCAGATAGTGAATTTGAACAATGGATTCAAGATAATTGTATATCAAACGCGAATTTGATTACTATCTCCCAAGTAGCAATAGATAAGGCTCAACTTTGTGTCGATCCTAATCAACGTTTACAGGGAGCAGAGATAAATAAAGCTAAAGATGATTTTCTCAAAGGATTGTGTTGGGCAGTCTCAATATCGTAAGTTATCACCTAATTAGAATTCCCTAAATACTCAACTTTTAATTATTATATTCAACTTCCATTACTTAAATTCATGTAATCAACTATAGAATTATTTTTACTATAATTTGTATTTACAATAACCTATGCTATCAAAAATACTAAAATACCATCAAACCTATTCTGTTCCATTAAAATAAATTCGTATTATTTTTGCCCTAATTCAAAGACAGAGAAATGAATTAGTAAATGAAATTATTTTGAAACACAACATTCTGAAAATTAATTTTTATTTTATAAAATCTTCTTCTGTTTGCAGGGCGAAGTGGGTTATCATGAACAATTTGTGATTCAAGAAAGGAGATCTAACATAAAGTTTTCTGGAACATTTTAAAAAATAAAACTATTAACACATATCGATGCTTGAATATAAAGCTTTGAATTAGTTTTGAAACATTTCTTTTTTAAATGTTCTGTTTTAAAAAAAATAACTTGACGCACAAATCAGATAAAAATTCTACCGAAATGCCTAAAATTACTTTTCGTTTTTAAAAATCAAATTCTTTTATTTAACTTAGACTATTAGACGTGTATCTGATTTTCCTCTAACATTTTAATTTGCAAATTGCAATGTATTTTTCAAAAATTACAGTATTTCTGAAAAAGTTTCCGTATTTATTTGCCACGTGTGCATAATTTATTAATGATTTGCAATAAGTTTTATTTTCACATTATCTTATCTGTGTAACTGAGTTGTTGAATTCTAAACACAGTTTATTTAATGCTCTTCTGCGTTCACTTTGTGGAAAGTGTGCATTGTCATATTTATAACATTTGTCTAGTGTGTGTTTAAAAGTTCATTGAAAGTAATAACAGACAATGAAGAATTTAAATCGTTCCTTGACTTTAATCCTGATAAGTAAGTGCAAGAAAATTTAAATTTATTCAATTCAAACCAAAAGAAGAAGGAATAACTTAAGGATTAAAAACTAAGTTACGAAATAAACTTAGTTTGTAGTTTTTAAAACTAAAAATTAAATGAAGAGCAGGTTAGAGAAGAATATTAAACATAAATTTTTATAGGTGCTGGAATTATTGTTTCCGCATTAAGATTCATAGAACCACTCGATGGAATTATAAGATCAAAATACGGTGTTGGTTTGGGAGACCTAAAACCAAAATGCGATAGTAAGGGACCTAGTTTACATAATGAATTAGTTGACCTACAATCCCAAGAATCAGAGATCAGATCTCAATTAACAGGTGCTTTAATTGCTAAAAACAAAGCAGAAGGACGTTTAACAGATCCTGAATTTAAACAATGGATGCAAGACAATTGTTTATCAAACGCGACTCTGATTACCATTTCCCAAGTAGCAATAGACAAGGCGCAACTTTGTGTCGATCCTAATCAACGTTTACAAGGAGCAGAAGTAGATAAAGCAAAAGAAGAGCTTCTCCAAAGATTATGTGGCGCTGTATCACTATCGTAAGTTCCCACCCAATTAGAACGTCTACAGATTTTTTTACAACAAAAAAATTATTATATTTTAAAATAAAATTTCTTATCTTCTTCTTCCATAGGGCAAAATGGGTCATCATGAACAATTTGTGATTCGAAAAAGAAGTTCTAAATCTTTTCTTCTGAACCAATTTTAAATTAGAAACATTAACACCGAAACTATATTTCAAGATAAAATTTAGATTTCTAAAAATATCTGTTTAAATTACTGTACGACGTCAAAAAATAAATTTGTAAAATAAATTTGTATACTTAACGAATCAAATAGAGGAAAAACTTTCATTATTTGGTGTAAAGATAAATAGAATTACTCATAAAAAGAAAATTACGATTACAAAGTTTTTGTTTTATCAAGTGATGTGTATTTAAATAGCACAGTTGCCTTAAAAAAATTAAAGACAACATTGCGAAATTGCAATTATTATTACTCTATATTCACTTTTTTTTCTCATACATATAAATATCTGTGAGTAAAGTCTTATCAAATTCAGCAATCAGCACGTATAACAGCACATCGTCAGTTAAAAGCAAGCATTTGTCCGGGAACTTATGCATCTATAATTCTGTTCACTGGGGAAACAAAGTGGAAGTTTCAATAATAAAAGAGGAAAACGACTAATTTTTGTTAGTCACAACACAAATTTTCTTCAAAAAAGATTCTTTGTTATAAACATGAAGTTTCTTTTCGTCTTTCTATTAACTCTACTTTCTTGTAAGTACCAAAAAAAATTATATCATCAATTCATTTTTACTAAAAATTAATTGCAAAATTAGTGTTACGTCGGCAACATTCGTATAAATTTTTAAGAATATAAGTGATTCTTTAGTCATTAATTTTTGTGTCTATTGCGTCTACTAACTCAGAAACGATTCAAATTGATTTTTGTTTAAGGATATTATTCATAAGGAATAAAAGAATCATTATTTCATCAATTCAATGGAGTTCGTATTTTTATATTCTTGTCCCTTCCTAATTTTTGGGTTAGTTTTGATAAACTATTTTGTGGGGGACATCACATTAGAAAAACGGATTTTAGAATTAAAAAACAATTGCAAAATTAGAAAGACGGAGTTTAGAATTAAAAAAAATTTTTGAGAAGGCTAATTTTAAAATTCGATGTACCTAGTAACTGAGGAATGATAATTTTTGTGTCTTATGCTAAACAATTTTCCAAATAGGTGCAGAATATATCAGGGGATTAAAATTCGTGAACCCTGTTGTCTACGAGATTCAAGATAGATTTGGATTGACCTGGGATCAATTTAAAGGAAAGTGTGATTCTAAAGGAGCAAATTTATTCCCACCTGTCTCTAATTTGCGTGATAAATATGACTCTGTTTCTGCACAAGTGAAAGCTGATATCTTGAATCGAGCAAGGCAAACCTCCAGTGGAATGACTGAAGCAAAATGGGATCAGCTGATTAATACGAAATGTATTGTTAATTCTGAATTGATCTCTACGTCACAGCAGGCTATTGACAGAATTGTACTCTGTTTGGATAATAATGGTGGATTGAGTGGTCAGCAAAAGGAGCAAGCTAAAAAGGATCTGCTAAAGAAATTTTGCTCCCAGATACGAATGTGGTAAGATGTCATCATTTTTGGGAATTAAATCTATTTAAGAATAGAAAATACGGTAGAGCCATCGTAGTCACGCACAGCGCGCAGGCGGAGAGAGACTGACGACGCGCACGAGCCAAGCGCCGCTTGCCTTCTCCCCACCACTCGCTCTGTAGCAGCGCGTGGAGAGGGAGTAGTGGGGGGAAGGCAAGGTCTATATAAGCGCCGCGCTGAGTCTTTTCGCTCAGTTCGTCTACCGCCTTGGCTCGTGGTGCACTTCTATTTAACAGGAAGCGAGCTCCATCCTAAATGCCTAGCATTCAGTAGAGGAGCCCTTCCCTTAATACAATAAAAGGAGGGGAATTATTTAAGACAACTTTTTTTAATTATTAAACTCCAATTTTATTTCAGGGCCAAGTTCGAGTACGATAATTACAACAGCGGCTAACTGTAAACCGAATACATTTGCAGAAAGTTTGAACTGAAATAAATAAGTCGATTGAATAAACTTTGAATCAAATGTTATTTTCCCTAAATATCTACTTCTCTAAAGTTCTTGAAGTTAAAAAGGTAAAGTAAGAAACAAATTGAATTAATCTAGACAGTTTTTTATAGTCTAAACAGAAAATTCCTTTTTTTTGCTCTTATGCCCATAAGTGCCTTAATTTAAATTATGGAAAGACTTTATGATAAATAGGTTTCCACACATTCCACGATTTCTCTTCGTAATTTCCTTCAGCCTTTAGCTCTTCAGTAATATGAAGACAAACTTTTTGATTCGAATTATATGGAGACCAGTTGGACGTAATTAGATCATTAGTCTCAGGTGTTGGATTCCTAAATAAAAGCAATATTTTCAAAGTAACTATTTATATATAATCCTCGGAAGGGTTTTCCTTCCTAACATCCTCGGATGTTAGGAAAACATTTCCGAAAAATTTTTGAATATTCTTACCCAGTTCTTGCGAAATCTGTCCACATCTTAGTCATACGTTGCATTATCAAATAATCGATTGTACCACTTTTAAGTTGCATGTTTGGTTGAAAAACTTTCATGTAGAATAAAATTGTGAGATCGTCAGAATGAGAAGCACCTAGAAGGGTATTTAATACTTTTAGTATTTATATTTTCCTAATTGTATTAATTAATTTTTAACAGCTACTTTTAATTAAAAATATTATTTCAATGAAGAAATTTAATTTTAATTCCTTAGTTACCTTTTATATTCAAGTTGAAAAACATTTTAATAATCGAAATTTCCGTATTATAGGAATATTTATACAAAAAGGTTGGTGTTGCTTTTTGAGATTGTACTTCTAGTACATCATAAATTCCGGCTACAAAGTTCCAATCACTTTCGAATTGAATAAAACTCTCGTCCTTTAAGTCTATTAGCGTATTTTCTTTAAAATAAAAATTTCTTACATCCTTGCATAAATTTGAGTCGAGGGTATAGTTGAGATGAAAATTTTCAGACAGAATATTTTGGAAATTTTCGTTGAGATTCTTAATATGATCGTTAACTCCAGGATAACCTAAAATTTGATAAAGCATATTGTTACAATTTGTTTGGGTTCCGTATTTTTTTTCGGGACAAAAAATTCATGCTGGACAAAAAATTCAAGTGCATATACCTAATTTCGGAATTCCTTCGTGGGAAGTATAGCCAATAATTACGGGAACATTTATTCCATTTTTAATCATTTCGTGTAGTGGTCGTGGTAGGACCGGATTAACACTTTTATCATCAATCGTTGGAATAAAATTGTATCGCATTTTAGTTACAAACTAAAATAAAACAAAGGGAATAATTAACTACCATTATCTGGTTAGCAGAAGATGATGATGATAATGATTATTATTATTAATCTAGTGTTAGTTATCTAGTTAGCAGATGATGATGATGATAAATCTAATGCTAGCAAATGATAATGTAACAGATTGTCATCTTTACAGTTGGGAAAAGTCTTCTTTCGGTTTCAAACAGTTTCTCAATTGGAACGGTTCGTAGAAATTCAGCAATTTCAGCATTGTTTGACGAAGTAAATCCTAAATCACTCGAAATTTTCCTAGCGTACTCCTCATTCGACTTTGATGAACACCAAGGATTCGTACCAGCTCCACTTTGCATGATCGCTTTGTGGAATAGTCCTAAAAAGATATTTACGATTTGCTAGACATTATACCCAAATGGACAATTCTTTAAGAACAAATATTTTCGGGAAAATTAATTGCCTTTCGCCAGAGGGGAAATACTGAGGAGATGAACAGACACTGATCCTGCACTTTGACCAAAAATGGTGACACTATCCTTATCACCACCAAAGGCCTCGATATTTTCCTGGATCCATCTTAAGGCAAAAATTTGATCCTTCAGTCCTTGATTACCGGAGCAACTCTCGACACCCATGTTTAAAAATCCTATAGACAAATTTGACAACATTTGTAAAATTTTAGACAATTTTTAATTATTCCAAAGGATCATTAATTTCGTTACCTAGAATTCCCAATCTATAGTTTAATGAGACGAAAACGACATCATGTTGAAGGAAATAGTCTGGTCTGAATTCATCGAAGCTTCCGGAACCAATCAAAAAAGCTCCTCCGTGTATCCACACCATAACTGGTTTTTTTCCTGTTAAATTTTTTGTTGCAATATTAAGGTAAAGGCAATCTTCGCCACCAACTAATTTTGATTCGAACACGGAAAATTGAGCTGACATTCCTCCTTCGATTGTTGCATCTCGAACTCCATTCCAAGCTTTTGCTGGTTGGGGATCCTTTAAAACAAACATTTATAAAAATTATAAAAATAATTCAATTTTCTTTACTGCTGAAGAACATAAAAATAATTTTACTACAAATTCAGAAAAATTATCCCATGGCTAAATGAATGATTATTCTTACTTTAAATCTCAATTCTCCGATTGGAGGTTCAGCGTAAGGAATGCCGCTGAAGGAGATAAATTCTCCAAAATCAGTTTCGACTGATGCTCCCTTAAGGGTACCCTGTTGAATATTAACCGTATGATACGAAGTGGATGTTGTCCCTCTCAATGAGTACAAAAGTAGAAGAAAAATATTCAAAATTGTAAATTTATCTAAAGACATTCTCATTTTGCAAAAACTTTATTTGAAAAATGGTAAAAAATGGTGAAACAGAACAACTTTGAATGATTTTAATATAATTATTCTTAGTACAGCTTCAAATAATAAAATTAAGAGATCAATGTAAGAAGACAAAGAACTGAATCGATGCTGAAGCGAAAAATCCTTGTAACTTTGTATAAAGCGAAAAATTAATAATACACCTCTGAATAACAGGAAGTCAGGACCATATTTTTATTCAATTACGTAGGAGCAAAGCACCTTGTTAGATTAAATGGAAAATTATGGGCTGTGGTTACTTTTTATGAATTGTGAATTAAATTAATTTGGATGACTCAGATAATTAATAGAATTGTTCTAGTCATAGTGCAGGACCTAGAAAAAATATTTTGACTAACAATTGTAAATAAACAGATTATAAAGTTCACTTAAAAAATAATTAATTATTCGCGTATATATATGTCTGTTGCTGCGCAAATGAATATTATATTTTTTTGATAATTAAAATTGAAAATGTGTATCGACAATTCTATTATAGTAATAGAACAATGACGTGTTAGCCATTCACAAATTCTATCAAAGAGAAACCAAATTTTGAGAATCAGTACTCGATCCGACGTTGATTAGCTTAGTTGATTGTATTTATTGTAACTTATATTTTATTTGGAAATTGTGTGTTTAAATTGTTATAATTTTATTTAATTTTAATTCAAGAAACTGTTGCTATCTAGGAATGTGAAGTAAAAAATACTGTGTTTTTGAATTAAATATTATTTAATTAATTTATGCAACTCAATATATTATAAACAACTTATTAAAATCGTTGCTTTGTGTAGTTCGTTTATAGATTATTAATAATTAATAAACTGTGAGTTGTGACAAATGTGATTTTGGATTACTTTACATTCCCCGCCAATCAACAAAGAAATTCTAAGTGAATTATATTTCTATGTCTTTTTATTAGATTGTTCAATGCCTATCAATTGATTTGTCTTCATTAGCTGGAGGAGATGATATTAGTCGGCGAACACCACCAAGCAACGCCTTCTTTTTTCTATCAAAACCATATAGCTGTTAATGTTTAAATATTCTTCTAGTCACGATATTTCTTTCATTCTCTTTCGAAAATAAAAAAGATGGTCTTCCTTGACCTAATTTGCATTACTATTCTTTTCATATTCTTCGGAGAATAATCTCTTAAGCACAAATGAGATAGAAATTCTACCGAAATTCCTAAAATTACTTTTCGTTCTTAAAAATCAAAATTATTTTATTCACTTTGTGAAAAGTGGGCATTGTCATATTTATAACATTTGTCTAGTTTTTATCCATAATTCCATACCCAACCCAATTAGAACGTCTACAAATTTTTTTACAACAAAAAAGGACCTCCTGAATAAATTTTGCTCCCAGATACGAATGTGGTGAGATGTCATCATTTTTGGGAATTAAATCTATTTAAGAATAGAAAATACGGTACAGCCATCGTAGTAACGCACAGCGCGCAGGCGGAGAGAGACTGACGTCGCGCACGAGCCAAGCGCCGCTTGCCTTCTCCCCACCACTCGCTCTGTAGCAGCGCGTGGAGAGGGAGTAGTAGGGGGATGGCAAGGCCTATATAAGCGCCGCGCTGAGTCTTTTCACTCAGTTCGTCTACCGTCTTGGCTCGAGGTGCACTTCTATTTAACAGGAAGCGAACTCCATCCTGAATGCCTAGCATGCAGTAGAGGAGCCCTTCCCATGTAATACAATAAAAGGAGGGGAATTATTATTAGACAACTTTTTTTTATAATTAACGCCTAAATTATTAAACACCAATTTTATTTCAGGGCAAAGTTCGAGTACGATAATTACAACAGCGGATAACTGTAAACCAAATACATTTGCGAAAAGTTCGAACTGAAATAAAGAAGTCAATTAAATAAACTTTAAATAAAATGTTATATTCCCTAAACATCTACTTCCCTAAAGTCGTTAAAGTTCTTAAAGTTAAGGAAAGGTAAAGTAAGAAATAAATTGAATTAGTCTGGAGAAATATTTTTTTATAGTCTAAATAGAAAAACCCTTTTTTTGCTTTAATGACCATATGTGCCTTAATTGTAATTATGGAAAGACTTTGTGATAAATAGGTTTCCAAACATTCCACGATTTCTCTTCGAAATTTCCTTCAGCCTTCAGCTCTTCAGAAATATGAAGACAAACTTTTTGATTCGAATTATACGGAGACCAGTTGGAGGTAATCAGTTCATTAGTCTCAGGTGTTGGATTCCTAAATGGAAGCAATATTTTTAGAGTTAATAAAATTATTGTATCTATTTATATATAATCCTCGGAAGGGTTTTCCTTCCTAACATTCTCGGATGTTAGGAAAATATTTCCGAAAAATTTTTGAATAATCTTACCCAGTTCTTGCGAAATCTGTCCACATCTTAGTCATACGTTGCATTATCAAATAATCGATTGTACCGCTTTTAAGTTGCATGTTTGGTGGAAAAGCTTTCATGTAGAATAAAATTGTGAGATCGTCAGAATGAGCAGCACCTGAAAGAGTATTTTATACTTTTTGTTTACAAATTTTTAAAAATAAAAAACTACTAAAATCTGTTCGAATTTACCGGCCCTCTAAAGATGAATTGTATTAATTAATCTTTAACAGCTATTTTTAATTAAAAATATTATTTCAATGAAAAATTTTAATTTTAATTCGCCTTAGTTACCTTTTACATTCGAGTTGATAAACATTTTAATAATCGAAATTTCCGTATTATAGGAATATTTATACAAATAGGTCGGTGTTGCTTTTTGAGATTGTACTTCCAGTACATCATAAATTCCGGACACAAAATTCCAATCACTTTCGAATTGAATAAAATTCTCGTCCTTTAAGTCTATTAGCGTATTTTCTTTAAAATAAAAATTTCTTACATCCTTGCATAAATTTGAGTCTAGGGTATAGTTGAGATGAAAATCTTCAGACAGAATATTTTGGAAATTTTCGTTTAGATTCTTAATATGGTCGTTAATTCCAGGGTACCCTAAAATTGAATAGATTTTATTATTACAAATTTGGATTTCTGTATAGTATTTTTATTTTTGGAAGGCTGGACCAAAAATTAAGTGCATACCTAATTTTGGAATTCCTTCGTGAGAAGTATAACCAATAATTACGGGAACATTTATTCCATTTTTAATCATTTCGTGTAGTGGCCGTGGTAGGACTGGATTAACACTTTTATCATCAATCGTTGGAATAAAATTGTATCGCATTTTAGTTAGGAACTAAAATAAAACGAAGGGAATAATTAACTACTATTATCTGGTTAGCAGAAGATGATGATGATGATGATAATGATTATTATTATTAATCTAGTGTTAGTTATCTAGTTAGCAAATGATGATGATGATAAATCTAATGCTAGCAAATGATAATGTAACAGATTGTCATCTTTACAGTAGGAAAAAGTTTTCTTTCGGTTTCAAACAGTTTTTCAATTGGAACGGTTCGCAGAAATTCAGCAATTTCAGCATTGTTTAACGAAGTAAATCCTAAATCAATGGCAATTTTCCTAGCGTACTCGTCATTCGATTTCGGTGAACACCAAGGATTCGTACCAACTCCACTTTGCATGATCGCTTTGTGGAATAGTCCTAAAAAGATAGTTACGATCTGCTAGACATTATACCTAAATGAATAGTTCTTTAAGAACAAATATTTTCTGGAAAATTAATTGCCTTTCGCCAAAGGGGAAATACTGAGGAGATGAACAGATCCTGATCCAGAACTTTGACCAAAAATGGTGACACTATCTTTATCACCACCGAAGGCCTCGATATTTTCCTGGATCCATCTTAAGGCAAAAATTTGATCCTTCAGTCCTTGATTACCGGAGCAACTCTCGACACCCATGTTTAAAAATCCTACAAAAAAAATTTGACAACATTCGTAAAATTTTTAACAATTTTTAATTGTTCCAAAGGATCATTAATTTCGTTACCTAGAATTCCCAATCTGGAGTTGAGTGTGACGAAAACGACATCATGTTGAAGGAAATAGTCAGGTCTGTATAGATCGTAGCTTCCGGAACCGGTCATAAATGCTCCTCCGTGTATCCAAACCATAACTGGTTTTTTTCCTGATAAACTTTTCGTTGCAACATTAAGGTAAAGGCAATCTTCGCCACCAACTAATTTTAAATCGTACATGGAAAATTGAGCTGACATTCTTCCTTCGATTGTTGCATCTCGAACTCCATTCCAAGCTTTTGCTGGTTGGGGATCCTTTCAAACATATTTATAAAAATTATAAAAATATTTCAATTTTATTTACTAAAATAAAAATTCTTTTGCTATTTGGAGTAGTGTGGGGTCGAATTCGATTTGGAATTCCCCTTTTGGGGCACTTAGATTACTGCTGAAGAACATAGAAAAAATTCTACAAATTTCAAATTTCTTTTTAAATTTCAAATTCCATGCAAATTCATAAAAATTGTTCCATGGCTAAAAAAATTATTTTTCTTACTTTAAATCTTAATTCTCCGATTGGAGGTTCAGCGTAAGGAATGCCACTGAAGGAGATAAATTCTCCAAAATCAGTTTCGACTGATGCTCCCTTAAGGGTACCCTGTTGAATATTAACCGTATGATACGAAGTGGATGTTGTCCCTCTCAATGAGTACAAAAGTAGAAGAAAAATATTCAACATTGTAATTTTATCTAAAGACATTTTCATTTTGCAAAAACTTTTTTTTTTGAAAAATGGTAAAACAAACAACTTTGAATGGTTTTAATATAATTATTCTTAGTACAGCGTCAAATAATAAGATTAAGAGATTAATGTAAGAAGACAGAAAGAACTGAATCGATGCTGAGGAGAAAAAGCCATATGTAACTTTGTGTAAAGCAAAAAATTAATAATGCATCTCTGAATAACAGGAAGTCAGGACCATATTTTTATTCAGTTACATAAGAGCAAAGCACCTTGTTACTTTTAAATGGAAAATTCATTGGTGAGATGAAAAAAAGGAGTCAAAACTCTTAAAAATTTAAAATAAGGAAGCAGATTACTTTTATAATTTCTTAAATTGACAAAAAAGAAATATATTGTTTAAATTTTTTAAAAAGCCCATAATTTTCATTTTTCTTTTTTTTTGAAAAAATTGTCGAAAAAAAGTAAAATTGACTATTTTTGTCAAATTTAAAATCCCCTTTTTTTAAAGAAATTTACTTTTTTGCAGATTCACGCATAATTATAAATGTTCTGTTAAACGCTTATATTGAAAACTGTTCATTAACGTTCTAATCACATGCATGCAGGAAATTAGAAATGATATATCTTTATATGAAAAACAGACTCAATTTATCATTTCAGTAGAATTATTATCATTATTATTTTCTAATACCTTGTTAAACACAATGTTTCTGCATTTTTACGCAACAGTAGTGCCTTTCAATGAATCTCGAATACAGTGTGTTAAAAAAAAAATTCATAAAATACAGTTTTAATGTTAAAAAAATATTTTTCCACTATCATTCGCATTTTCGAATATAATTATAAAATTAATGAATTTAATTAATTATAATTATAAAATTTATATAATCTTTAAAAAAAATAATGACAAATGAAAATAAAAAAATTAATTTTTCGCAAATCTTTGGCATTAAAAATGAGACATTTGAATATGAATTGTCAATTGTTCCAGCATGGGAATTTGCTGGAACAGTTCCAGAATTAGAAAATATGACTGATGAGCAAATAACAACTTTGGTGCATTTAAAGAAAGGACTAGAGGATGTTTTAATTGATCATGTGTTCTTTGATGTTGCTGCGCCTTTGTCATTACTTTATTTGGTGGTTTTGATCTTAGGTGTTACAGGAAATGTCATTACGTGTGTAGTGATAATTAAAAGTCCATCATTACGAAATGCGACGAATTATTATCTTTTCAATTTGGCTGTTTCTGATTTAATTCTCTTGATTGTTGGTAAAAAATTATTTATTATTACTGTTTTTATTTTTATTTATTATTAATTGTATCTCTACTTTCACTTTCGTTTTCACTTTCACTCTCACTTTTAAAGATGTATTTTATTTTCTCTTTAACTTTAATTTATTTTCACTCTCACTTTAGCAGAAATATTTTTTACATTCATTGTCACTTTCATTTTCACTTTGACATTTTATTTTCACTATTCATTTCACTCTTATTTTCACTTTCATTTTGACAGATTTTTGCCGATTATTTTCACTGTTATTAAAATAGATTTTTATTTTCACATTCATTTCACTTTCATTTTTTTAAAAATGAAAATAAAAATCCGTCAAAGTGAAAATGAAAGTGAAAATAAAAATATAACAAAGTGAAAAAAAATTCTATTAAGTGAATGAGAAAATAGAAGAGAAAATAAAGTACTAACTATAAGTCAAAATTGCTGTAAAAAAATAAAAAATAAAATTCTATCAAATTAAAAATAAAATTAAAGTGAAAATAAGGAGTATACATTAATTACGTGAGGTGAAAATGAAAATTTCATTTTAACTGAACAAAGAATATTTAGTGCCATATGCGCGAAATCAGGGCTACAGTTTACGTATGTAAACATACTTCACATGTTTTTAATGATTTTTAATCGTCTAAAAAAAATATTTTATTTACATTGAAGCTTATACCTACACATTGTAGGGATGTATAAATTCTTATAAAGAGAAACAATTTTAATTAATATAAAAAATATATAATTGTAATTGAACAAAGTGAAAATGGAAGTGAAAGTGAAATTCTATCAAAATGAAAATTATAAAGTAAAATTGAAATCTAACTTGAAAATTAAAGTGAAAATAAAAATTGATGAAAGTAAAACTGTAGAGTCAAGATAAAAATGAGAATAAAAGTTTTTTTGAAAATTTTTTTTAAAAATATTTTTATTTACGTTAAAAATTATTTTTTAAGTATAAAAATTATGTTAGGGAAAATATTAGAAAATATTTATTTATACCATCGTATCTCTCTCAATGAATTACATTGAAAATTTTTATTTTTATTCTAGGTATGATTCTTGATTTTAAAGTTTTATGGAAAAAATATCCATGGATATGGGGACTTGCACTTTGTAGAATTCTTCATTATTTATACAGCGTGTGAGAATTTATTTAAATTTTTGACATCTTTAATTAGTCCAATTTATCAAGTATTTTATGAAAACAATTAGAAAAAATAGTGACCCAACTATCTATATTTCGACATTTGAATGATTTAAGGTTGTTTTTCCCGTAGCCGTACAAGCAAAAATCGACCTAAATACTAAATTTTCGACTTTTATTTTGTACTACCAGAAAAATAATACAATAAATGATTAATTATATTTTTAGAGCCTATCATGTATCAGTATTGACAGTATTAGCATTTTCCTTCGAACGTTACCTGGCAATTTGTCATCCACTACGATTAAATAATATGAAAAAATTAAAGAGACCTATTGGCTTCATACTCGTTTTATGGATAATTGGATCAATCTTTTCATCAAATCAACTATTTCGACGTTTAACGAAAACTGTCTTTCAATTCTCTTCTGGTAAAGTTGATCTATTAATTTCACAAATACTCAAAAATATATATCATTTATAAAAAAAAAAAAAATCATTTTATTTTGATTTTTATTTTAATTGAATTTTGGTTTTTTTATTTAATTATTTATTTATTTTTAATAAGTTTTAATTTTATTTCAGTTGAATTTGAAATATTTTTTTTTCATATTGCAGATTTAATCGTTGATCCAGAAAAGCTCATTGATTGCGAGTTAACCTACAATTTAAACTTACTTATTCACAATCATTTGGATTTTCTACTTTTCTTCGTCCTACCAATGTTGGTGATTATTATTTTGTACGTAAAAATAGGAAAAAAATTACGAGACAGTTGTCGAGTGAAGACATTAAATTCTGGAAAGAGCAGCAGTTTCACACGACAATTTCAAATCAGAAATTCATCAATCAAGATGTTGAGTATGACGTTCAAACTTTTTTTTTTTTCATTGCGTGGCTAAAATATTTTATTCCATCAAAATCGAAATATTTTATAAACAATTAGAAACTAAAAATAGAAAAAAAATAATAATATAATAATAATAATTTTTTTTTATTATAGGTAATAACAAAATGAATACAAATAATAATAATAATAATAATAATAATAATAATAATAATAATAATAATAATAATAATAAAAATGATTTTAAAAAATGGGAATGAAAATTAAATTTTCTTTTCTTTTTTAATTTTACAGGAGTTGTTGTTGTAGTGACGTTCATATGCTGGGCACCGAATAATATTATTTTCATGGCAGAACAAACTGGAATAGTTCAATCCCTGGATTATGTAATTTATCACTGGGTCATGTTTCTTTCGAATTTATTTTTCTACGCCAGCACCATTGTTAATCCAATAATTTATAATTTAATGAGTTCTCGTTATCGCGAAGCCTTCAAAGAAATTTTTCATGGCAAGCGAGAGATAACTTCCACGAAGATCAAAGTCAAGTGCACAACAATGGAAAGCAATGTTTAGAAGGTACTATTTTTTAAAACTATTTTTTTTCAATTTTTTTAAAAACTATTTTTTAAAACTATTTTTTCAAAATGATTTTTAAAACTATTTTTTAAAACTATTTTTTCAAAATGCTTTTTAAAACTATTTTTTCAAACTATTTTTTCAAAATGTTTTTTAAAACTATTTTTATTTCAAAATGTTTTTTAAAACTATTTTCAAAATTACTTTTTAAATTTATTTATTTTTTACTATTAAAAAAAAAAAAGAAAAAAAAAATTACTTGATTCAAATAAACGATTACTTGACTGTTATCAAAATATAAATATTTACATGAATCAAATAATTTTTATTTAAATCAAATAACTTGTATTTAAATCGATAAATAATTTCTGTATTTAAATTTTAATTGAATAAAAATTTTATTAAATATAAAAAGTAAAAAAAAATTTATTTTTAAATTATTAATTTTCTAATTTAATAAAATTTGAATAATAAAAACTTGTTAAAATTACAAATTGGTAATGTTAATGTTACGTCACCGTAACCTATTTTCAATAATTATAATAATAAAATAATAATAATAATAATATGTAGAATAATAATTAATAATAATAATTATTATAATAAAAGTCAGTAACAAAGATTGTTATTTACATATTATTATAAATAATAGATAAATATAACAAACAACAATAATAAACAATTATAAATTGTAATATTAATATAAAAAAATTAGTAAAAAATATATATAATAAAATAATAATAAAGTAAATAATTAGATAATGAAAAATTAAACAAAATAAACTATAATATTCTCTGTAGATTTTCATTTCACCTTCTAATAATGTTGGGTTGTCAAGATACAGGGGAACTATTTTTACTACAGAAAAAAAAATTCTTTACTTATAAGAACCCAATATAGTAACATTTTTAAAAAGTTTCTTAGGAAAAATATAATTTTTCAGTTAATTTAAAATTATATAATACTTAGAAAAATTTTCTTTAAATAAATTGATTTCAAAATGTACCAAATTGAAATTTTGGAAAATTATAGAACTTTTTGAAGTTTCAAATAATTTTTATTAAAAATAAAAACTCAGAAGAAATTAAATTTTTACAATTTTATTTAATTTTTTTTCAAATTAATTTAAATTTTTTAATACAATACACATAAAATATATTATTTAAACCAAAAATTCTGTATTAAACAAAATTTTTTTTATAATATTGCTCGAAGCGGATATCAGAATTATTTTAAATGAAAATTCTTTCTTTCTTCGAATAATTGAATTCTCAAAAAAACATTCTGATAAATTATTAAAAAATAAATTTATAAAGCGAAATTATAGTTAAAAATTTCAGAAAATAATTGAATTACAATTTTGAAAATAATTTAATTTTTTTTAAGGGCATTTGAACCATTATCACGTCACAATTTGTAAGAAGCATGGGGTTTTTAAGCTGTGACGTCACAATGATTCAAATGCCCGTAAAAAAAAATTTTAAAAACAAAATTAAAAAAAAAAATTTTTTTAAGGGCATTTGAACCATTATGACGTCACAATTTGTGCAAAGAATGTGTTTTAAAGCTGTAATGCCATAATGGTTCAAATGCCCATAAGAAAAATTAAAAAAAAAAAATTTTTTTTTAATTTTTTAAATAAATTTAAAAAAAAATTTTTTTAATTTTTTAAAAAAATTAAATAACAAAAATAGAACAAATTATCGACGATAGAAAAACATATACGGAGAACTATTTTGCGATGCTTGGTGATAATACAATTTCTTCGCCTCCAAACTAGATCCATAAAAATTAACCTCACTTGAACTGTACTTTTTCTTCAGGTACATCAAAACATTGCTCTCAATCCAATTATTATCCCCATCTCTACACGATGGACAATCATTTATTGAGGGATACTGAATTTTTTTATGCTCCGGATCCTCAGTTGCATCGCCAGCTAATCTTCGATTAACTTCATTGTGTGCCCTCCATAACCAAAGAATACCCTCGTCCTTATTTTTAACTTGAAAAATTTCATTTTTTTCCGCCATTTGCAAAAAATGACGAGAACATTCGGCGCAGCCAAAGAAATTTTTCACATAACCATGCATTGCTTTTAAAACTTTTCCAGAATCTTCCTCTTTGTCCATTTTTGCAAAATTCACACTCAACAAATGAAACATTGTCCACAGTCCACAGGGATAACCTCTATAAATATTAGTACTTCCCCTACAACCGATCCATTCATCATTTCCTGAATAGATCGTTGGTAGTCGATTTTCAAGTTCTGAGGAGAATCTCCCGAAATTCTCACCGGTTATAAATTTTAAATTGCTGATGGATTTTTGAAGACTTAATAAATAGGTGGTGCCATTGCTCTGCATTGGAAAATAAGAGGTTAGAATATTAACGTAATTCTTCAGTGCTGACATTTTTTCTTCAGTGATAAATCGACTCATGGGAATTTCGTGCTTTAGTGAATAGCGAAGAGTTTTTTCCAAATCAAGTTGAAAGAGAACGTCTCCGAATTGTTGGATTTTTGGATCTGGGGATTTATGAATTTTATCATCCACTGGTATCGGGGTTTCGGAAACTTTTTCCTCGTCCACTAGGTTCGTTAGGTCGATGTTTGTCATCACTCCTAAATTTTGAAGTTTGTCTTTTATCAATTTTTCAATTTCGTCACTACTTGTTGGATTGTTGATGGTCATTGTTGTTTGGGAAGCGTAACGCTGGAGAAAAATTAGTGTCAATGCGCTGTTGTAAGTCAAGGCTCTTCCAATATGAATTTGGGGAGTTATGGGAAAATTTAAAATTACACTTGTACCCAGAATGGATCCTGGATTTTCGAATATGAGAACTATGTGCTTCACATTGTCGTCGACGGTTTGCCAAATGTTTTGAAGACTCTGTCCACTGTTGGAGAAAAAAAATATTTTAATCAGTAAAATTCAAAAAGGTTCAGAAAAAATTAATTTTAAAAAACTATCAAAAAGTAGTTTTAAGACTGAAAAAAGTAGTAAAAAAGTAATTTTAATAATTTAATAATAATTTAATAAAAAAGTAAATTCTACTAAAATTTTAGAAAATAATTAAAAAAATCACAGAAAAACAACATAGTAATTATTAAAATTCAGAAAGAATTCGTACTCGATAATTAATTTTAAAAAACTATCAAAAAGTAGCTTTAAGACTAAAAAAAGTAGTAAAAAAGTAATTTTAGTAATTTAATAATAATTTAATAATAATTTAATACACAATTATTTAATAAAAAAGTAAATTCTATTAAAATTCTGGAAAATAAAATAACAAAAAATCCTGAAAAAAAGTGAAGACTTAATTTTTTATAATTTCTAAATTAAATAACATTTAAAAATAATTTTTTCAAAATAAATAATTAAATACCTATTTACTTTTCCAAAAAAAATTAAAATATTTTAAATCATTATCATAATTATCGAAATTCAATTATTTCTAAAAATTTCAATTCTTCCAAAATTCAATCCTTTTTATCTTGAAATTTTTTAAGTTCTTCAAAACTTTAAGTATTTTATTAAAAAAAATTATTTACTTATATTATTATAGTTTTACAACAAATTAAAATTTTCAAAGATTTAATTCAAAAATGCTTTTGAAATTTAAATATTTCTAAAAATTTCCTCTATAACGCTTCAAATATTCAATTATTATGTAAAATTTTAACTGAAATTCAATTTTAAATTAATGTTCATATTAGAAAATTCTACGAGAATTTTAAAAATACAAAAATAAATATCTAATGAATAATTGAATATTTCTTAAAATTGAAATTTAATTAATTAATTGAATTCTTGTAAAAGTTTTATATATTGTTTATGAAAATAACAGATAAAAATAACAAAAAATTTGTAAAAAGAATTTCAGTGGAAATTTTATTATTTATAAAAAATAATAATTGAATGTTTGCAAAGAATTTAAAAAAAAAGAATTTTTATTTTTTTAATACTTTGGATAAATTTTTTATGAAAATGGTAAATACTGAAAGTAATTGAACTTCGAAAAAAAAACATCGTAATATTATTAAAGTTTTCGAAAAAATTGAAATTATCAAAGATTTTAATTCAAAAAATCTTTGCTATTTAATTATTTCTTAAAAATTAAAAAATTTCTTATTTATATGAAAATAATGAATAAAAATTTTAAAAAAATAAAATTGTACTGAAAAATAATTGAATTCTTAAAAGTTTATCACAATTTTTAAATTAAAAGTGAATTCTATGAAAGAAATTTTCTTAAACTTTTAAAAAATAATTAAATTCTATTATAAGAAATTTAATTCAAGTTTTATTGAAAATAATTGAATTCTTTTGAAGAATTTTAATAAAATTTTTAAAAATAATTGAAATTCTGAGATGAATTTTATTAGATATGAAAAGAATTGAATTTTTCCAATGAATTTAATTAACATTTTTAAAAATAATTCAATTTAATCAAAAATTCTATTTTTATTGAAAATAATTGAATTCTTCCGAAGAATTTTATAAATTAAAAAATAATTGAATTTTCGCGTCAAATTTTATTAATTTTTTTTTTTTAAATAATTGAATTCTTTTGGTATTATTGAAATATAGTAGATATTGAAAATATAATTGAATTTCGATAAATTTTTGAAATTAAATTAAATTTCTAAGAATTTTATGGAATTTTTTGAAAATAATTGATTTCTTTTGAAGAATTTTATTAAATTAAGAATAATTCCATTTTTCGTGGAATTTATTAAAAATTGAATTAATAATAATTGAAGTCCTGAGATGAGATTCATTAGATATGAAAATAATTGAACTTTTGCGTCGAATTAAATTTTATTAAATTTTATTAAATTTTTCAAAAAAATAATTGAATAATTGAAAATAATTGGATAACTGAAAATAATTGAATAATTGAAAATAATTGAATTTAAATAATTTACTATTTTGGGTAAATGTTTTATTAAAATATCAAAATAATTGAATTTCGAAAATTTTTTTTAAAATAATTGAATGGTTTGAAAGAATTTTTTTAAAAGTTTATTAAAATTATTTGAATTGTTTCTAAGCATTTTATTTAATATTTTTGAAAATAATTTTTTTATTCCAATTATTGCATATATATTTGAAGTATACCTGTAGGGAATGAAATTTGGCCATAAATAGCCACGTCCTTCTTGCTTCTCCGTTTCCAATATGTTGAGTAAAACCTTCTGCATACTAGCAACGTCATTTTCATTCTCAACTGATAATCCTAATGATCCGGGTCGAGAATTGGCCGAAAAAAATCTCAAATCTGGATAACGTGTGACTTGATTATTCCGGCAAATTTGACTATTAATGTCATTAGCACAATCTAAAGCTGCTACACGAACAATGCTGTTCAATTCTGAAATTTTTAAATTTGTTCAATTATTTTTAAAATCGTCATTACCTTATTAGACTCTAAATATGTGAATCACGTTAAATTTTTAATTCTTAAATTTTTACAGTTTATTTTGATAATTTTGGAAAAAATTTAAAACTTTTCTGAAAATCAGAGAACAGTCAGGTGAATATAAAGTTAAATTTTTTATAAAAATACAGAGTAAAATAAACAACTTTTTCGATTTTTTGAAAATATTTTAAAAAATTTTAAAACACAAAAAATGATATAAAATTTTTAATTCTATAATTTTAATGTTTTTTATAAAAAATACCTTGAACACTTCGAGCAAAAGTCTTCCAAATCGGCGTATATCGAATACAATGTCCACACCAATTACTGTAAAATTTAACTATCCAACTGGAATTGCTGTAGTAAACGTGCGAATAAAAATTATAAGCATTAAGAATCACTACTTTGTCATTAGTATTATACAGTCCTTCACTATATGAATTCACCGATTTTGTAGCAAATAAAAATAATAAAAACACTTTTGTTAAAAATACAAAATTTCGTTTCGTTATTTTTAATTCCATTTTGAATTTTTTAAATCCGAAGAGATTTGTAAATTTTTTTTATTTAGGAAAAAGAATATAAGCCTTTCCTCTTATACTGTTGAGGAACAACTAAAGTATTATATTGTAATTAATAACTAGTTGTCAGATGTCGTAAATAGTCTATTCACATTTCTGTGACATGACAATTACATTGTATTCAAAATTTAATTATTTGTCTTTATTGTTATTCTTGACTGTAAGCATTGTAGCCTAATGAGTTAATAACTATATCTGATAATAGAGGCAAATAATTATATTAGAAAAAACATATTTAAAAAAAAACAAAATATTTTATGAAATTTTTTAATTTCATATAGATTTTCCAATGAATTAAAAAAAATCCAGTTGAATGCAAAACAGAGTTTTATTTAAATATAAAAATGTTTAATAATAATTGAAGAATTTGGTTGAATTAAGAAAACTTTTAGTGTTATATCAATGCATTTATTTTACATCGACTTGAATTTGGAGATTAAATACAAATTATTATACAACAAAATCCTTTACTAATGCAGCATATTAACGGTTTCAATATGTACCATAATGAAATGCTTAAAGTCAACAATTTCAATATCTTTGAAATTGATGTCATCTTGAATAAATTTAGCTGAAAATAAAAAATATATTTTAATACAAAATATTACTTAATTTGTTTCTTGTTGACAGAAAATTATAATTTTTATTTAAATTTTCAGTTCAATATTTTATTTAAAATATATAATTTAATTATTTTTTTCATTTTAAAATAAAATGTTGCGGAAGGACTGAAAAATACTGGCAAAGCTGCAGTACTTTTTTTTTACATTTCCGATATGGTTTACGAGAAAACGAGACTTATCTCCAACAACTATTTCAAACATTCTTTTCGTATTACACTCATTTAGAAAGGCCGAAATTTTATCAAAAAGTGCTAAAGTAATATTAAAATTTTTAAATTTATTAATAGATTCTAGTTGTAGATGTTCGACAATCTTTATAATAATATTAACAAAAATTAATTATTCCTGAAGTTTTTTTTTTTGGAAAAATTTTGCAAAATTTTAATTTTAAAAAATTTTGATTGAAAATTTTTAAGTCGTACTTTTTGACAATGATACTTTCAGTTGAATATTGAACTCTCATTTAAAGAATATGTTATCAACAAACTTTTAAATAGGTAATTAAAATCCTTTTGAATAACATTTTTAAGAATAGTTTCATTAGAGAAATTAGATTAAAATTCTATTAAAAATAATTGAATCTCAGTAAAAAAGATTTGATTGAATTTTATTAAAATTTTTGAAAATAATTAAAATTTTGCCAAGAATTTTATTAAAATTAAAATTTTTTTTTTTGAAAATAATTGAATTTTGGAGAAAAATTTTATTATTCATAAAAATAATTGAAATTTTGAACAGAATTGTTTTAAATTTTTGACGCACAATTGGATTTCTGCGAAGAATTTTATTACTTTTGAAAATAATTGAATTCTTGAGAAGACGAATTTTAATAAAATTTCTTTTTAAATAATTGAATTCTTTTGTGAAATTTCACTGAAATATGATCTATTAAAAATTAATTGAATTTTAATAAATTATTGAAATTAATTGAATTTCTAAAAAGAATTTTATTACAATTATTTTGTAAAAAAAATTGAACGGTTAAAGAGAATTTTATTAAAATTTTTGAAAAAATTTAATTAAAAAATCTATTGACAATAAATTATAGGAAGGCTTTTTAAAATAATTGAATTTCTCTGATGAATTTTAGTAAAATTTTTAAGAATAGTTACATTTTTCGAGAAATTAGATTAAAATTTATTGTATTAAAAATAATTGAATCTCTGTAAAAAAATTTGATTGAATTGAAAAAATTTTTTGAAAATAATTGAAATTTTGCTAAGAATAATTGTATTAAAATTTTTTAAAGTAATTGAAATTTTGCCAAGAATTTTATTAAAATTAAAATTTATTTTTGAAAATAATTGAATTTTGGAGAAAAATGTTATTATTTACAAAGATAATTGAAATTTTGAAGAGAATTTTTTTAAACTTTTGACGCTGAATTGAATTTCTGCGAAGAATTTTATTACTTTCGAAAATAATTGAATTCTTGAGACAAATTTTAATAATATTTTTTTTTTTAAATTGAAAATATGTTTGAAAAAATTTAATTAAAAATCTATATTGACAATAATACTTAAATTCTAATAAATAAATTATAGGAAGGCTTTTTAAAATAATTGAACTTCCAAAAAAATAATTGAATTGAAATTTTGAGAAATAGGTATTTAAAAGAAATATTTTGAGAAATATTTAAGATTAAACTCACCGCGAATATTATTCCTCGCAGAAAATCTCAAAAACAAATTATTTTTTTCTTTTTAAAATAAAGAAGCTTTAGGTCGACATTCAAGTCGCTTGCTCAGAGTTTTAAACTGTACTGAATAATTCCCCGGTAGTGACGCAAACGAATATGCAACTTAAGGGTCCGTTCATGGGGGAAAATATGAAACAAAGGATTTTTTTATCAGAAGAACATTCACCTAACAGAACATACATTCCTATAAGCTGAAAATATTATTTTCGTTACGAATTTCCAATACATAAAATTCTCATAAATTGCTTCTCATAATGCTCCCTCTAAATTTACCAGAATTTCATTAATAAATCGTTGTTTGTTGACAGAAAATTATAATTTTTATTCAAATGGAACTTGAAATTTGTTTTAAAATGTTGCAAATAAAATTCTGTACCAAGAAAGAAATTTAAAAATTTAATTTTTCATTTAAAATATAAAATAATAAATATATAATAATAAAATGAAGAAGTATCTTAAACTTGTTTCTTTTATTTTTAAACAATGTTTTTTGTAAATTACAATTTTACACGGACAATGTTTAGAAAGTTAATAATAATTTAAATAATCGAGGAACATTATAAATATAGAATATAAATTAAATTTATCTTGATAATATCAGTCATATAACTTCCGGATAATATATAATTTCATTCCTGGAAGTAATAGTGATAAGTTTTTTAATTCTTAATCTCTTTGCAAGTGTTTCATTACCTACCAAAAATAAAATAGAATTAAAATATAACCAAAAAAATGTTTCTCATCCTGTCAATCGGATTTTAGTTAAAAATAAACCAAATTTTGCAATATTAAATTTATGTCAAGTCTGATTTTTAGGTCAAAAGAGAATTCTTTTTTATGTTTAGGATTATTTATAATGTTTATAATTTTTATAATTGTTTATAATTCATTATAATTGTTTTAAATGTTTAAAATGTTTACAAATTGTTTATAAAGTTTACAATTGTTTAAAATGTTTATAATTGTTTATACTGTTTATAATTGTTTATAATGAAATGTATACATTATTTGATATTAATATGTTTTGTAATAATGATGATGATTTAAAACAAAAAAAATTTTTTTTATAAAATTTTATCTTTTTTTACAAATCTCTATTAATATTTTTTACATTTTATAAATTCTTTTGCAAAATTTGTTTTTTACAGTACATTTATTTCTATAAAGAATACACAATACAGAAGGAATACAGAAACAATATCATATTTTTAAATTGCTTTAAAAAATAACGAGCAATAATTAAACGTTGAAATAATTTTTCCAGAAAATGAAATAGAATCATTTTGTAAAAAATATTTTTAAAGTAACTAAACAATGCCGTTAATAATTGCGTGATAATCTAGAAAAAAACACCAAATTTATGGTGTTGGTGCTATTACAGCCGCTGAACAGAGCGACATACATGTTGCGAATGCAGAATTGCAAGCCGTAAGTGCTGGGATAGCTGCTATTTGTGCCCCAGGCACTGTCCCAAAAACAGCGCCAGCCGCTGAGAAGCATGCAGTTACGGATATTCCGCAACCTGCATAACAAATTCCGGCAGCTAAAGGTCCTGCCATTGTCGTACAAGTGGTCAATGTTAAAATCAAAAAGATGCTCAAGAATTTATTATTCGCCATTTTTTAATCTGCCTGTAAATAAAAAAATACTTCAGACAACAAAACAACATTTTTTTTTTATTTTAAAGACATTTTTATTTATATTACCTACATTAAAAATTTTTAAAAAATTGTTAAAAATTAAAAGAAAATTAAAAAAAAAATAAAACAATTTTTTTTAGATTAAAAAAAAATATTTAATTATATTCCTATGCCCAGACTTATATTTAACTAGATTATAATAAAACTGCTGATAAATTTAAATACATATTTTTTACCGTAAAATATTTTTTATAAATACTGAAATATACTTTTTTTAAAAAAAAAAGTTTGAAGTATAAAATTTTATTTTGAAGTATTAAATTTTAAATACTATTTCTAAAAATTAATAAATATAAAAATCTTTCCTTTCCTGCTATCTAGAAAATTATAAAGAATAAACTATAATCCTTCTGTAAAATAAAAAAATATTATCTCGGGGTTTATAATAATTTTAATAGATAGAACCGAGCACGTTAATTAATAGTATTAAAAGTTTTCCAGATATGATGCAATAATCACATTGCGGAAATATGCTAAAAAATATTTTTATTAATTTAAAAAAAAAATTCTCTAAATTTGAATTAGTAAAAAGCCCACAGGTTTACAATAGGGATATTTTTTTTTTACTAATTTTCAGACATAAGTGTTCACTACAATAGTTTAGTTAAAAATAAAACTACTAAATAAAAGAGTGTTTTAAATTTTACTAAATAAATTTTAAATTTTACTAAATAAATTTCAAATTTAACTAAATAAATTTTAAATTTAACTAAATAAATTTTAAATTTTACTAAATAAATTTTAAATTTTACTAAATAAATTTTAAATTTAACTAAATGAATTTTAAATTTTACTAAATACTAATTTTTAAATACTAAAAATTAGTGGATATTCTTATTAATATGTAAATCTATGGTTCAATTTTCGCTAATTCAGATTTAGAAAGTGCACATAATGCATTCAATTTTTTCTAAGAGTCCTTTAGTAATCTAATCTTTTTTATTATCAATTTTGTAATTTTCCATACCTCTAGATCTAGAAAATAGTATTATATGACTAATATAAGCTTTTCTAAAAAAAAAATAATAATAACAATAAACAATATCTGTGGGTAATAAAAAGTAAATTTTTGCGCAATAGTTTTTTCAAAAAGTAGAGAATTTTAATTGAACAAAAAAAGAGGAATTTACCAAAATTTTGAAGTTTAAATAAATAAATATATAAATAAATAAATAAATATACGTTATTATAAATAAAAAATAAACACATAAAGAAAATAAAAAATAATAAATAAAAATAAAAAAATTAATAATAAAAAAAATAAAAAAAATTAATAAATAAATGAAAAAAATTATTACATTATTAATATTGTATTGTAATATATTACATATTTGTTTATTTTTATTTAAAAGGTGACCTTGCGAAGTTACATTAAATAATAAGTATACAAATTCACCGCAGTGGTCGAAAAAGTTTTGTTATTTTATAAATAAATTATAAATTAATTATAAAACAGAAATAAATACATTGTTTAAAATTATTTTTAATCACCTATATCAATTTTTTTATAATATTTTTTTCTTAATAATTAGGATTTGAATAAAAGTAAAAGAAAATAAATATAAATAATTATTAACAATTATTATTATTATTGTTAAAGAGATCTATTTCTTGCTTTTTTTATTGTTTCCCAAAATATTAATGATTTGAAAATTAGTATAATAATAAAAATAATAATAATAATAAGTGATAAAATTAAATAACAGGATCAATATAAAATAAAACATGAATAATAAAAACACGAATACATATTTTTGAATATAATTATATTTTATATAATATTGCGTTGCTTAAATATGAAACTTACCAAATAAAAATTTTTTTTTTCAAGAAAAAAAACAATAATAATTAATTTTCACTTTCTTTGAGAGTTTAAGAAAATTTTAAACACTTTGGAGCTGCAAATCCGTTTAATAGCAGCGTAATACTGAAAGGTAAGTAAGAAATTTTCTGTTGAATGACTTTTATTCATTCAACAGAATGTTTCTATTGGCTTCCAGCATTTGTTTTCAAAATTTTAATTTGAAATATGAAAACAATGATTAGTTTCTTTTCCCTGACTTTTTACTAAATTTATTTCTGCTTTCTCGTGACAAAAATAGAGTAACTGACATATATAACAATAAATTAATATCTAATAATAGAAATAAACGATAATAAAAATCTTCTAATGAATCTTCTAATGTTAGACCCCCTGTTAATAGTCCCCACCCTTTGGTAAAAAATCTAAAATTCCAAAAACCGAATTTCTTAAAATTCAACATTTTTTCTTCTGTTTTATGGCATTTAGCTCCACTATTTTTGTGCTCTTGAAAAACACTTTACTTATTTAATAGTCTGCACCCTTTGGTAAAAAATCTAAAATTATAGAAAATTATCAAAAATTCAAAAAACCGATTTTCTTAAAATTCAACATTTTTTCTTCTGTTTAATGGCATTTAGCTCCACTATTTTTGTGCTCTTGAAAAACACTTTACTTATTTAATAGTCTGCACCCTTTTGTTAAAAATAAAAAAATATTAAAAATTATCAAAAATTCAAAAAACCGAATTTCTTATAATTCAACATTTTTTCTTCTGTTTTATGGCATTTAGCTCCACTATTTTTGTGCTCTTAAAAAACACTTTACTTATTTAAAATTCTCGACTCTTTTGTAAAAAATAAAAAAATATTAAAAATTATCAAAAATTCAAAAAACCGAATTTCTTATAATTCAACATTTTTTCTTCTGTTTTATGGCATTTAGCTCCATTATTTTTGTGCTCTTGAAAAACACTTTACCTATTTAATAGTCTCCACTCTTTGGTAAAAAATAAAAAAATATTAAAAATTATCAAAAATTCAAAAAACTGAATTTCTTATAATTCAACATTTTCTCTTTTGTTTTATGGCATTTAGCTCCACTATTTTTGTGCTCTTGAAAAACACTTTACCTATTTAATAGTCTCCACCCTTTGGTAAAAAATTTAAATTTATTAAAAATTATCAAAAACTCAAAAAATTGAATTTCTTAAAATTCAACATTTTTTCTTCTCTTTAATGGCATTTAGTTTCACTATTTTCGGGCTCTTTTAAAACACTTTACTTATTTACGCAGGGTGTCTAACAAGGATCGAGAAAATAATTCTGATTTTTTACTTATTTTATTTCTGTTTTCTTGGGACAAAACTTTTGCTTGGTAACTGACGTATTTAACAATAAACTAATATCTTATGATAGAAACAAACGTTAATAAAAATCTTCTAAATTTTGTTAGATTAAAAAAAATTTTTATTCACAAAAATTTTAATTTTTGTATAAATTTTTAGAAATTTCCCTGACTTTCAATGACATTCCCTGACTTTTCCCTGACCATTAGACACCCTGGCTTAATAAAACACCTGATTTTATCAACAAAAAATAAATTTTTAGTGGAAAAATTACTGAAATTACTATTGTTGATAAATAGTATAATATAATTATAATAATAATGTAATATAATATGTTTAATATTTATTCACTTTTTAAAACCAAGGCAGTATTTTTCATACCAAAAATAATTTTATCTCTTTGTATTATAAAACAAAATGCATTCAATTTTTTTTTCATTTTTTGGGAAGTAAATGTTTGAATAATAGAAATTTTTATTAAAAGTACATTAATGAACGTAGTCGACTTTATTTTTATAAAAAAATACAAAATACATTGAAATTACATAGACAATATCATGATTTCTTATATACAATTGCTTTGAAAAATACAAGCAATTAATCTTTGGAATAATTTTTTTTATGAATTAAATAGAATAATTTTTAAATTGGCATTTAACTTTAAGCAATGCCGTGAATAATTGTGATAATTTAGCAGAGCATCATATTTATGGTGTTGGTGCCATAAACGCCGCTGCACATAGTGCCATGCATTTGGCGAAAGCTGTATTACAAGCCTCAAGTGCAGAGCTACCTGCAATCATGGCCGGAGTCAGAGTCCCGAAAACGAAACCCGCTGCACTGCAGCACGCACACATCATGCCCGCACAACCTGCGTAACATATTCCTACTGCTATTGGTCCGGCACTAGTCATATTCGCCAAAGTCAAAATTAATACAATCATTAATTTTTGGTTCATCATTTTTAAATAATCTGTAAAAGAAAATTATTGTTTTTTCACAATAATTTTTGAATATTGATTCAAAAAGGATGAAAAATTCATAAATTGTACGATATAATTTGAATAATTTTAGAGAAATTATACGAACGATTTCAGAAATTCAATTATTTTCGCAAAAGTAATAAAATTCTTCGCAGAAATTCAATTCTGTTAAAAATTTTTTTTTTAATTCTCATCAAAATTTCAATTATTTTTATAGAAATATAATTAAATTCTTCTACGAAATTCAATTATTATTTTCAAAAATTTTTATCAAAATTTCAATTATTTTCAAAAAATTGCATCAATTATTCAATGATTTTCAATATCTACTATTTTCATAAAATTTTCCAAAAGAATACAATTATTTAAAAAAAAATTTAATAAATTTCTACACAAACTTTTAATTATTTTCATAAATAATAAAATTTTTACGTGGATTCAATTATTTTCATAAATATATATAATAAAATTCTTTTTTAGAAATCCAATTATTTTCATAATTAAGAAAACTCATTGCAGAATTTCAATTATTTATTTATTTTTAATGCAACTTTAATCGAATTCCTCGAAAAATGTAATTACAAAAATTTTATTAAAATTCGTTGATAGAATTTAATTATTTAAAAATTTGTGGATAACGATTCTTTATGGAATAATTGAATTTTAAGAAACATCCAATTATTCAATAAATTATTCATTTGCATATTATTTGTATTTAAATAATTGAATGTTGAAAAGGTTTCAGATACAAATATGTGAAAATTTGAAATTTTCATATTTTTAACTAACAATAATTGAAATTTTGTAAAATTAAATATTGTAAAGAAATAAATTTGAAAAATTCTTAAAGAACTTTTTTAAAAAATTATCAAAAATAATGGATTTATAGATGGTTTTAGTTAAAAACACGAAAAAAAAATTCAATTTTGTAAAAGTTAGAAACAATTGCAGAAATTCAATTACTTTCAAGAGTAATAATATTCTTCGCAAAAATTAAATATTGTTCAAAAGTATAATAAAATTCTTCTTGGGAATTCAATTATTTTCACAAATAATTAAAACTCATCGCAGAATTTCAATTATTTTTAATACAATTTTAATCGAATTTTTAAGAATAATTACATTTTTCGAAGAATTCGATTAAAATTTTACTAAAAATCATTAAAATTCTGCGATGAGCTTAATTTATTATTTATTAAAGTAATTGAATTTGTAAATCAAATTTATTATTTATAGAAATAATTGAATTTATAAAAAAAATTTATTTGTTAAAGAATTAAAAAATAAAAAAAATTAATTATTATTATTATTTTTTATTATTATTATTTTATTTTTAATTAAATTTTTTATTTAAAAAGAAATTATTGGCAAAAATAGAAAAAATTGACACAAAAATTCAGAATTTTCTTATGAATTTTAAAATTTTCCGCAATATACTATAATTTATTCTATAGAAATAGAACGACAATTAGTTTGAATTTTACTTTGTGAAAATAAAAATAAAATATCTTAATACTAAATTAGGTTTTTGAATGAAAGTAAAAGATAATAAATACAAATTGTTATTTGTAACAATAATAATTATTAATTAAAGGAAATATAATAATTATTATTATTATTTTTAAAGAATTTTGTTCTTTACTTATTGTTATTGTTTCGCAAAATATTATAATGACTTAAAAATTAATATAAATAATAAGAAAAACAGTAATTTATATTTTTGAATATAATCATATTTTATAATATTGTTGCTTGAATATGCAACTTACCAATAAATAAAAATGTTCCTTTTCTCAGAAAAAAACAGTAGTAATTTTTATTTCCACTTTCTTTTAGAATTCAAGGAAATTTTAAACTATTTGGAGCTGCAAGTTCGTTTAATAGCAGCGTAATACTGAAAGGTAAATAAGAAATTTTCTGTTAGAATGACTTATTCATTCAGCAGAATGTTTCTATTGGCTTCACGCTTTTGTTTTCAAAATTTTAATTTTAAATATGAAAACAATGATTAGTATTTTATTTTTAGAAATAATTTATTATTGTAAGGCATCAGAATTAAAAAATAATAATTATTGTAATATTCATTCTAATATTTTTTCATAATTATTTTATTATTTCATAATTATTCACTTTTTAAAGCCAAGGCACTATTTTTTATGTCAAAAATAATTTCATCTTTTTGTATAAAAAAATTGAATTTTCTTCATATTTTATATATTATTATTTTATTTTATATTATAATTTAGAATAAAAAAAATAATTTTTTTAAAAAATTTTTTGGGATATAAATGTTTAAATAATAGAAATTTTTATTGAAAATACATAGAAGAATGTAGTTGAATTTATTTTACAAAAAATACAATATACAATGAGATTACATAGGGAATATCATGATTTCTTAATTTGCTTTGAATATAATACAAGCAATTAAACTTTAGAATATAATTTTTTTAGAGAATGAAATAGAATAATTTTTAATTTAGCATTTAATTTTAAACAATGCTGTGAATAATTATAATATTATTTATAATATAATATATATAATATTCTAATATTTATGGTGTTGGAGCAATTACAGCCGCTGAACATAGCGACATGCATGTCGCAAAGGCTGAATTACAACCGGCAAGTGCAGGTGTGGCTGCAATTACGGACAAAGGCACTGTTCCAAAAACTACGCCAGCCGCTGCAAAGCACGCACACACAACGCCCGCACAACCTGCGTAACATATTCCAGCGGCCAGTGGTCCGGCTGTGGCCACATTCGCCAAAGCCAAAACTAATGCAATGATTAATTTTTGGTTTACCATTTTTAATTTATCTGCAAACAAAAAATTATTCTTCTTTATAATTATTTTGAAAATCGATAAAAACGTTCATTTATAGTTATTTCTTTAGAAAAATTTTAAAAAATTTATCTCGAAAGTAGTAAAATTTACTCTATAAACAAGAATTTAAAATTTTTTATATTGTTGTACTACCTTGGAGGAAAATTTGAAAAATTTTTGTATTAAAAATAATTTTACCATTTTATTTAGCGGTTTCAATATCCATTTTTTAAAAATTTTTTTAAATTAAAAAAATTTTTTTTTTTGGTAAAAATAATAATAATAAATAATGATAATAATCTATGATTATTTTATCTATTATTATATCTATGATTATTATCAATATTATTAAAAACGGTTCTTAAATAAAATTAATTAAATTAATAATAAAAATTATTTAAATTAGTGGACGACTTGATAAAATTTGTGAGGTATTATTTTGAAACCAAAATTTAATTTGAACTATAAATGCGATTAGATAACGAAACGGTTCAGTAAAGGTCGAAGAAATGTGGGTACTTCTTGTTTTTTTATGAAGTCGTAAATTTTACTTTATGTCATATGTCCATCACTAACGGACAGAGAGTTGTAAATTTATAATAAAAAGTTCTCTTTGTCTTTAAAAAATGAATCCGAAAAATGTATTATTTCAATTTTTATGTTAATTTAAACTGCAACGATTTTTAATATACTATGATTTTAATATTTCAAATTTAGAGAAGATTTTTGAATTACATTTGAATTTAACGACGACATTGTAGTAAATAGAAAAAATAACATTTTGTAGTAAGAAATTTAAAAATATTTCTAAAAATAATTATTTCTTTAAACAATAAGTATGTGTTTTTTCAAAAAAAAAATATATATTTTCTGCACACAAATATTAAAATGAATTTATTAACATTTTTTAAGATAACAAAATGTAATTTAAATTTAATTATTTTGTTATTATTCAAATTTAATTATTTGGAATTTTTAACAAAACTTGTTTTGTTATTATTTATTTTTAACTATTTCCTATAAATTTTTCGAAACTTCAATTATTTAAATACAAAAATTCAATTTTTTTATAGGTAATTAAATTTAACTCTAACTTCAGGGTTTTTTTTCCTATTAAGGTAAATTATTGATAAAATTATTGGTAAAATTAAAAATTTATAAAATTAGTTTTCTAAAAATATTTTTAAATAATTTTTAAAAGATAATGGTTAGTCTTGAAAGAATAGAAAATAAGTTCTTGAGATTTTTATTGCTGAACGTAAATAAATAAGTAATTGATTCTTTAATTCTGCAGAATTTAAAAATTTCCAAATAATTGAAATTTTTCAATTTTTAGAAAATAATTGAATTTTTAAACTTTTTGAAAGTAATTGAATTTTTAAACTTTTTTTTTGAAAAATCCAAAAAAAAATAGTTTTCGAACAATTTTAATTTTAGTTTTTTTTAAGATAATTGAATTTTCAAAAGAATTATAAACCAATTCTATAATTAGTTTATTCAAAATAAATTTGTAATGCAATGTTTTGAAAATAATTGAATTTCTTAAAAAAAATTTTCGACACTTTAAGAAACTAATAAATTTGTTAAAGAATCTTAGTTAAAAATATTAAAAATGATTGTTTTCTCAAAAATTTTAATAATACTAAAAACTAAGGTTCTTAAAAAATTGTTAATGAAATTATGCTATTTTGTTGAAATATTTGGTCATGAAATTATTTTTTAATAATTCAGATAATTTTTTTAGTGTCTTGAAAAAGTCTTTTAAAATTTATGTTAAAAAATGAAGGACATTTGGAAAATATTTCTGTCGGTTTAATATTAAAATGTATTCTTGTCTGAGAAGCGTTTGTTTATATGTGAGTCTATTTTTCTTTGAAAGCTGATATGCGACAGTTCATTTTGATAAACACATAAGTGCGCACATAAAAAGTATAAATTCACCAAAATGAAGCACATAAAATAAAATTAATATTTACAACTAATTTTCATTTTCAATAGATGAATTTTAATAAAATTCTAACTATAAATTAAAATTTAATTATTTTAAGAATTACAAATCAACAATTGAAAAATATATACAAATAAAAAAATTTATTACATAAATAAATAGTCATTGTTTTGTAAAAATAAGATTAATCATTTTTAAGAAAAGTATTATTTTATAAAAATTTAAGTAGATATCTCACAATAAATTATTTAAAAAAAATAATTGAGGGGCTGGATGCTATAATGTGTTACGCGCCATGTTAAGTGAATGACGCGTAACACATTATAGCGTCCAGCCCCTCAATTATTAATGTCATGTTATAAAAATAATTTTTAATTTTATTCTATAATAATAAAATATTTTAAAGGCACAGAAAAAAAATATAACATTATACAAGAATTTTGTTTCAATATGATCAACAATTGCTTTTAAATATTAATAAAAATTACACTTTTAATTTTCTAATTGAATATATTATTAATTGAATATATTGTTTAAAATTAAGACTTACGGAATAGATTTTTCCAATGAAATCACCAGAAAACTCAGTAATTATTAATTTTTAATTAGGTATTTTTTTAAAGTATGTCTGAGAAGAAGCTTTTACTGCTCGACTCGAAGGTGTATGACTGTATGCTGCACTATTTCGTTTTCGCTGACACAATGGCGACAAGTTACTTGCTTTGAGAAAACCGAGGGATTCCCAGAGGCGGCGAAAGGCGGACTATAGTGCCTTTCAATTTAGAGATGAAAGAATCCCATACGGCATAAAGGCGCGTTCAGCGTCAGATTACAACAAAAAGAAAAAGAAAAGGGGAAAGCTTTAAACCAATAAAAAGTCTCTATTGGAATTATATTCATTGAGCAGAATATTTCTATTGGCTTAACGCTTTTAATTTATTGTTATAAATAAAAATAAAAAAAATATAACATTCAAAATATTCACTTTTTTAAAATAAATTTTACTCATTTCTATTGGCTTAACGCTTTTAATTTATTGTTATAAATAATAAATAAATAAAAATAAAAAAAATATAATATTCAAAATATTCACTTTTTAAAAATAAATTTTACTCATTTTCTTGTTGTAATTGTAATTATTTTAAAAATATTTTAAGTAATAAAAGTTAATTATTATTGATTAACAAAAACAAAAATAACAAATTTACAAAAAAAATAAAAATGTTATAAGTAGAAAATTACTATTTTTTATTAATAAAATATTTAATAATATTTAATATTACTAAATAATAATAAATGGATATTTATTATTAAAAATATTTAATTGCTATATTAAATAGTAAAGTAAATAGTAAATTAAAAATAGTCGAAAATAGTAAAGTTTCACAACTTCAATTTGTAGATGTTTTACTATCGAATTAGTATTTTGTTCTTAGTAAATTAATAATTTCTACTAAAAAAGTATTAAATTTTTTTACAAATTTAATTGCACTAGAGAAAAAATTTATTTGATTCAAATATAACTGATTACTTGTATATTATCAAATTAATATTTACTTGAATTGAATAAATATTTACTTGGATCAAATAAATATTTACTTGAATTGAATAAATATTTGCTTTGGTTAAATAAATATTTACTTGAATCAAATAAATATTTACTTTTATTAAATAAACATTTTCTTGAATCAAATAAATTTTTGTCTAAATCTAACAAATTTTATTTAAACCAATAATATTTCAGTATTTGAAGCAAATACCATTTAATTGACTCAAATCAAAAATTTTTTGTTAAAAATAAATATTTATTTGATAATAGTTAAGTAATCGTTCAATTATTTTAATTATTGAATGAAATAAATTTTTTAGTGGTTAAATTTAGGAAATCTTTTAAATAAAAAAAAAAAGAAAATTGGCTACAAAACAAAATTTAATATATTTGAGAAAATAATTATTTATGGAAATTTATAAAAATTTCGTATTTGTGAAAAGTTGTATACGTAAATTTGTATTGTATTGCTTTACGTGCTTGGCACATAATATACTATTAATAGAAATATACATAATTTTTTTCGTTATTTTTTTAAAGAAATATTCTTAAAAAAAATTGCTCACAAAAAAAAAATTTCGAATTATTTAGATATATTTTCTTAAACTATAAAATATACAAATTATTTTACGACTTCATTTGTAGTTTGAACGCTAGAAATAAAAAGCATTTACAAAAAATATTGCTTCGCATTTTAAAAATAGAAAACGGATAGGTACATTTCGTATAAAAGAACGAAAAAAAAAAAGATTTCTTTACCTTCAAAAAAAAATTGTAGAAAAAGTTTTAAAATATGTCAAATTTCTTCCCATAAGAGAAGGAGTGAACTAATCCTCAATTTTTATTTATTTCTTATTTTTCGTTTAGAAAGAGTCCAAATACGTTCAAGGGGTCCGGCTAACACATGTTTTATTGTTCGGTCATCGAAAGGAAAAGTCTCAAATTACTCCAAGTTGTTTTTATGCCCTTTCATTGTCGCTATAGACTTTTTACGATTTCAACATAGAGAAATAAATATTTCCCTCCGCTTTTCACTTGATTTATGACTTAATCCTGGAATACTTGAAAAACTCAACATTTTCTAAACAAAACGTGACAAACTAATAATTCTTTTTCAATATGAGAGAATTTTAGTCGATTACATGATTTTTTGAAATTTTAGAATTTTTTTAATAGTAAAATAATCATGAATTGAAAAATTTTGCTACACATTCATATAGTTAAAGAGGAGAGAAAAATTAATATTTTTTTATAATTTATTCAAAGAAAGCTTATATTTTTAAAATATAAGAATTTACAAAAGGATAACATTTTGGTTTTTAATCTGATTCTGAATCGGCAGCATTCTTGGCTAAATTAAGGGCCCCGTTCATCCCATCAAATTTATAATTATTGTGAAATATCTAAAAATAAAAAATTAGGATAATTTATAAATTTTAGAAAATTCTTTTCCTTCTGTACTAAACAAAGTTAATAAATAAATGTTTTACATAACTTTCAGTACCTTAATGAAAAAAATTTACTTATTTTTAAAAAAAAATGATTTTTTCTTACCCAATCAATTTTTTCGAATTCATCGAGAGCATCTTGCATTTCAAGAATTTCTTGTTTTTGAGCTAATGTCTCTCCAATACTATTTTTCCAACCATTACTCCTCCACTTTGGTATTAAAGTTTCAATACAATTTTTTAAAAAAGCAGATGTGAGATTTATTTTTAATTTTCTTACGTTCGCTTTTCTTGCTTGTCTACAAGCAATGGTAATACTTTTAAACGCTGCTCTATTGTAACAAGGATTTTCATATAATCTTCGCGAAACATTTCTGTGAATCAAAAGATTACAATAATATTGGTTGAATTTCATATTAAATTTCTTAACATTAATGAAATACATACAGTTCGTGATTATCCATAAACCAAACACCAATTGCTGCTTTTGCGTATTCAGTACCATCGCCAGGACAAACGCATTCGGTGTACACATTTACAAAACCTTCATCATTTCTTTCCAATTCGTGTTCGATTAATTCTAATTGATATTCACCCTGAAAGAAAAATCAGTAAATACACAATTTACAATTTAAAATACTTTTTTAATTTTAAGTTTAAAAATTAATTTTTTAAATCGAACTTTAATTTTTACGTTTTTACAGAAAGAACATTTATTGATTAATTAACATTTATTATTAATTAAATTAAAAAAATAGTTATTTTAATATTTTTCTTAATATTTCTTAAGTATTTAGTAATTTTTGTTTTTAAAATAACAAGGGAAAAAAATACCTCCTCAGATGATGAATATTTGCTACTTCCGTAGTAAGACATTTTGTTTGAATACTGAAAAAGAAAATAGTTACTTGTATCAATAAATAAAATTATGTAAACAACAATTTTTATACAGTTTAAAAAAATTTTTTAATACGTTAGTTCTAAAAATAAATTTTAAAACATAGAATTTAAGACGACAAATAATTTTTCTGTTATTCCTACAACAATTGTTTTTGTACGAAGTTATAAGGATTTTAATTTTTCAAGTCTGAACTGTCCTTTTTTCAAATTTAAAAAAAAATATTTTTTTTGAAAATGAGTTTACTTTCTCTATTTGAATCTAAAAGAATTTTCATTCCACTTTCAAAATCCGTTGGAAAAAGTACAAAATATTCGAAAAAAAATGGTGAACGTGTTGTTTTTTAACCAAACTTAGCAATTTATTTACTAAAATTGTTAAAAAAGATATAAATAACAATGAAAAAAACAATTGAGAACTTAAGCAAGTATTCGGAAAGTAACCTCTTTCCTGGTAAAATTCAACTTGTACTTTTATTTAAAAAAAACTTTAATGAATAATTACTTTAATTTCATTTAATTGTTAATAACTTTTCTAATAAAATAACTGTTAACGATATGCAATTATAACACTGCTGATAATTTAGAATCTGACTAAAAATGTTAATTTCCGAATTTGCACGCTTTTGCTTTATATTCTGAATAAGTATGTTCTTGTCTCTTTTTCTGAATAGGTATATGTTCTTGCTTTGTTTTCTGAATAAGTATGATATTGCACTAACTCGACGAAATTTTTATTTTTAAGGTTATGTATGCTATTTATTTTTATAGTATAATATAAAAAATTATTTTAAATAAAACAGATGGTACACATATTCGACAATTCTACTAAACATTTACAAATTCTATTAAGCAATTTTTTTTTATAAATAATTACACCTTTTCTAATAAAATTACCTACCAAATGCTTTTTTTCTGTAAAATTTCCTCTCTACCGTCTGTCTGCAAATGTAAAAAAGGTTTCTCGCAGTGTTACCAAATTTGTTTAGATTCGCAGGCGATAAAAAAAAATTACCCAAAAAATATTAAAAGCGCGTTTTTACACCTAGTTGTAAAGGTGTTTCTACAGTAGCTTATAAATGAATTTTTTTTATCTGATTCAAAGTAATTGTATATTCTACATATAGATTGACATTAATTTGTAAATTCAAAATGATTTATAGTAAATTCGTATGTAAAATATAAATTTGCTTCGAATTTAACAAAACTAATGCAATTGCAAGCTATTGCAGAGACACCTTTACAGTCATTCTTCCGTTTGCGATTTCAATCCAGTTCCGGTTACTTTTCTATTGTCCTTCCGCCCAGAGGCCTGATAGGACAATTTTACATTCCCAACCTTGGTGATGCAATTGAAAAAATATTGCAACTACCCTTGCTTATCGCCTGACTTCATTTCATTTCATTCGAGGAAAGAGGAACACGTGCATCTCAACGGTTTTTTGCTCCTGCGTTTTATTCTCATTTCACGAATATTACGAAAACTGCAGGTATATTTCCAATTCTTTTTATTCTCATTTCTTATTAATTATTATTTTTCTAAATTATTTCAACTCTTGTAAACTTTAAAACGATTATACTAGAAATAAAACAATAAAACGACGCCACAGCCTCCCATATCCACCTTCCATTACGTTTTCATAAAAATTTTTTATCGAATTGTTATCCGTGTAAATCGATGGAATCTTAAATAAAAACACATTATTTACGAGAGTTAATTAAAAAAACAAGTTTTTTCGAAACAAAAAATAGATTATTTCCTTCTTTGAATTGCAATTTTTTAAGCTGTTTCATTTTCAATTGGCAATTGGTTTATAAAGCTAAATTAATTCTTTGTCACAATTGATCAATCTTGATTCTAGAATCAAGAAAAAAATCACTAATTTTATGAGGTTATGTAACAAATAATTTTTATCTAAAACAAAAAAATTAGGAATTTTATTCATTATAATTTATGAGGTTATGTGACAAATAATTGACGAATAGTTAGAAATAAATTAAAAAACAATTACAGTTACTTTTGTCAGTAATTATTTCAGGTTAAGGAAGAATCCGACAAACAATCGGAAACAAAAATTAGTATTCGTATTTTTTTTTAAAAAAAAGGTTAAATTAAACTTTAAATTCATCCTTTTTGGTAGAAGCGTAAGGAATTGAATTTTCTACATTTTTAAGAATTTAAAGTTAGATTTGAATAACAATTATGATTTTTTGTCAATAATAAATAATTTAAGTAATATAACCTAAAACTTAACAAATGTTTCTTATTGCCAAAAAATTGTAATTTTTATTGAAATGCAACTTTCAATCATTTTAAAATGTTCAAAATTAAATTCTTCGCCTTTTCACCAAAACGAATACAATTATGTTAAAAAAAATATACGAAAATCAATTATTTTCATAAAATTTCCCAAAAGAATTCAATATTATTTAAAGCAAAAAATTAATAAAATTCACCCAAAATTCAATTATTTTCATAAATAATCAAATTCATCGCAGAATTTCAATAATTTTTAATACAATTTTACAGAAATTGCTCAAAAAAATGTAATTATTAAATTAAAAAATTTTTTTTTATTCTTTGGAAGAATTCAATTATTTACAAAAATATTAGAATTTTTCACAGGAATTCAATTATTTTCAAATATTTTAATAAAATTGTTCGAAAGAAATCAATTATTTTAAATACAATTTTTGAAAATTGTAATTAAATTATTTGCAACTATTTAATTATTTTCATAAATAATAAAATTTATAGTAGGATTTCAATTATTTTTAACACAATTTTAAAGGAATTTACAAAAAAAATGTAATTATTCTTAAAAATTTAATTTCAATTTCTCGAAAAAAATAATTATTTAAAAGAATGTTTTTTTTTTAAATTCTTTTGAAGAATTCAAATATTTGCAAAAAATATTAGAATTTTTCACAAGTATTCAATTATTTACAAAAATATTAGAATTTCTCACAAGAATTCAATTATTTTCAAATATTTAAATAAAATTAGTCGAAAGAAATCAATTATTTAAAAATTTCAATAAAATTCTTCGCAAGAATTAAATTATTTTTATAATAATAAACAAAAATTTTCCATTTTAATAAATATTTAGTTACATTAGTAATTTTAACCTTTAGAGGGCCCGGTAAATTTACAAAGAATTTTAGTAGTTTTTTATTTAAAAAAAATTTTAGTAGTTTTTTTTATTTTAAAAAAATTTTTGAATAAGGAGGTCAATTCGTTAAAAAGATTCGTCAAAATAAACGGTGGCCACTGTAGTGGCCAAAAAGATTTAAAGATTAAAGAGTGTATGGAGAACAAAAATTTTTTGGATAAAATCAGATGATGAAGTATACTAAACTTCATCATCTGATTTTATCCGAAAAATGTTTGACTAAATTTCAGAATTAAAATGAAATAATATTGATTATTTTTATAGAATTAAAATGGCGAATCAGTCATCAGTGAAGCTGACAGTGACGGACGCGATGAGGTATTTAACTTCATCTCAAAGGGGACCGGTCACTGTGAATGTTAATATGTGCCCTGAACATTGCCAAAGCAGTTTGAACCATGCGGCTCCAGTTCCTCAAAATTCTTACTCTTATGCTCCATCTTATTCATACGCTCCAGCTTATCCGTACCTTCCTTCCTATGCATCTCTGCCAACTGTACTTCCAGCTACGATTCAAACCCTATTTAATGCTCCTTCCCAAGCATCATACGCTAATCCTCTTCCAAGCACTTCCGCTACCGCCAGTTCAAGTTCATCTGCTGATTCTCAACAAGCTCCAATTGTTGTTCCGGTTACAATGGTGATTAATACTCCTCAACCTTCAAACTGTTGTGGCTCATCATGCAGTCACACAAGATGCCAATGCTGTACGTATTTAATTTAAAGGATTACGATTCTTGTCCTTTTATTAATTAATCAATTATCAATTTATTAATAATAATAATAATTATTATTATTATTATTTAATTTTTTCTCTCAACCTAATTACGAATAAATATAAATAGGGTAAGAGGCCCCAAGGTGGCCACCCATTTTTTGAACGAATGTAATTCCTAAACGGTATTGTATAACATTTTTATAAAAGTTTTAGTTAATTATAAAACTCATTCACAACAAATGTTTAACAAAAGATTAGAATTTTTGCGTCTATTTAATGAATAGAGTTGTCTAACGCCGCGTTGATAATCGGAATCCCTGCCCAGCTCATTATAATAAAATGGTTGTAGTTCATAATGCGGTGAGGTGTGATTCATCTTTACAGGTAGAGGACACAGTTCCTTCTGTAGTCATTATTCTCAGATTACAGGTAAATAACACCTTAAATCTGTTTATTGCCCCTGACTAAAGGTTTAACGAAAACAACGTATTATGACACAGTAGGATATTAAATAAACAAGTCTCAATAAGAGGAAAATGAATATCCGGAATCAGCAAAACTTTTTCACTTCAGAAAGTTTAAGCCCAAAAAAAACTCATTTCGAGGATAATATTAATTTTTCCATTTTTTTTAAACTAGGTTTTATCAATACTAAAATTAAAATTTTACCGTGATATAAGATAAAAAAAAATAATAATACAAAAATCTGAAAGTTTAAAATATTCCTTTTGTTGCAGATGAAAAGAATAAATGTTCATGCTGTGGTGTTAGTCGACGTAAAAGATGGTATAGAAGAAGAAATTATTATCGTTCTCGCTATTATGGGGTAAATTTATTTTTATTTTTCAAAATTTATTAATTATTTATATTATTTATAATTATAAATAATATAAATAATTCATAAATTTACAATTTATTAATACTAAAATTTATTTTTAAAACAAATTCTATGCACTGTAATTAACTAAAACTTATAATTTTTTTCATGTTTAGAGTTACTACTAGATGGTAGGGAGCAACGACGACACTACCTTCACCAAAGTTAGCTTTAAGTTTCGTCATAATCTGTGCAGCGTACTTTGTAACTTTCCTGCACTATTTTTTCTTTATTTTACTAATTTTTCACTTTTATATTTCTTTTCACAATCCTAAGCATTGTTTACTTATAAGTTGGTTTTTGTATTAATATTTTGAATTTTTATTTTCTTTAACATTAAGACACCTTCTCACCATGAAGTACAAAAAAATTATATAATTTACATAAAAATCTAGTATTCTCTAAGAATCGAAATTTTGTAAAACAAAAAATAAAATGCCAACTTTAAAAAATTATTACACTTGAAATTTATTGTTTTAGTCCTGATGAGTTGTGTTCACAGTGAAAATGCATTCGACAATGAAATAGAAAAACAATTCTAACAAAGAGCTTTCTTGTAATTATTTGGACCCAAGGGCCACAATTAACAAACAGTATTTGACAAAAATCCTTGGAAATACTAAAATTAAAATCTAAATAATAGCAAAATTTTTCGAGCAAGTTAAAACAAGTTTTATACTTTTAAATCACAGGTCGAGACACGTTCAGTGTAAATTTCTTAAGAAAATTTCAAGTATCTGTAAAATAGAGTAATAAAAGGAAAACATTTTTAAGACGTGCAACAATGGGGGGCCCCAAAAGGAATAAAATACTTTGGGGATAATATTGAAACTCCCAAAAACTCGAGTGACAATAAATTGTCGGATCATCTCTTTTGGAATTTCTTACTTTTAAATAATAAAAAACTTTTTAAATATGAATAATAAAAATTAAGAAATCTAATCTAAAGCTTTTTAATTAACTTTAAATATTGTCTCGAAACCGGAATTTAAATATAGACAGAATTTTTAAGTTTTTTAGTTAATTTTTCAAAAATTTCTTTTGGAAAAAGTGTTATTACAACTTTTTTTTTAACTAGTCATTGATATTTAATTTTAAAAAATTTTTATAAACTTTTTTCAAAATGGTTAGTATTTTTAAAACGTGTAATGTATGTGAACAGGTAAAATAAGAAATAAAATACTTTGAAGTTCATGTAAACTAAATATATATTTATTTCTTAAATAATGTTTAATAGCTTTATAAAAATATAGTCAATATAAATTTAAAGGGAAATTTTTCTTAAATCTCATAATATAAATATAATTTTTAGTATTCTTTGGCCCCCTGTCTGGCAAGACGATCAGCCGCTTCGTTGCCATAATTGCCGGAGTGCGCTGCGACTGCCTCCTGGAAAATAAATTTAAACAAAATATTTTAAAAATAAATAAAAATTTACAATGTTATCATAATTATTAATTTAAAACATCCAATTTTACACTAAAATTATTTTTTTAATTTTTGCATTGAAAATAAAAAATATTTTTGGCAATATTAAATTTTAACTAAAATTAACTTTATTTATTTAATTAAAATAATTTTTTAAATGTTAAATTTTTAATTTACCCATTTAGTGTTAAGTTGATCAACATAATGCATCATTTCCTGAATATCGCCTTTATTCGCTACAGGATTTCCTCGGGCATTAATCCAGCCATTTCTTCTCCAAACATGAATCCACTTAATGGCGCAATTCATGGCATAATGTGAATCGGTAAATATAAACAATTCATCAAATCCTGCAGCCAGCGCTCTTTTGCAAGCAGCTACGACCGCTTGCAGTTCGGCTCTTTGGTTCGTCGCCCTTCCTTTCAAAGGTGCTGAAACATTCCTGCAAAGAAAAAAAAATTATAAATTTAAATTACAAAAATGTTTATAATTACAATAATTTTAAACTAAGGATGAAAATTCTTCAAAAAATCAAATTAAGAAAACAAATTTTTTAAACTTTTCAAATTTTCGCGGTTTTAATGGGAATCACAGTTATTCCCCTTTTTTTTACCTAATCTTCTTTTTTCCTCTTTTCCCCTTTTTTTATTCCATTAAATTAATAAAATCCCCTAAAATTTTTAAGAAATTGTCATTTTTTGTAAGTTAGAAAAATTTCTTTTTCGTAGTTCCTAACTTTTTTTTAAATTTTAAAATAAAATTTTTATTACAACGCTACTTTTATTTTTAAAATTACATGAATTTTACAATATTCGAAGTAAATTTCAGAAAAAAAAAATTAGTAAAACTATTTTATTTGAGACTTGGAAAAAGATTCCTTCAAAAATAGTAAAATTTAATATTAATTAAATTCTTTGGAGAAATAATTTAATTCTTGCAAAGAATTTTATTAAAAATGAATAAATAAATAAATAAAATTTGTCGATAATAATAATTGAATGTTTTTGAAGAATTTTATTAAATTTTTTGGAAAATAATTAAATTTTTTAGAGAAATTTAATTTTTTTTTAATTTAAAAAAAAAGAAATAAATTTCCATTAAACAATATTTTTTTTATCAAAAGAATAAAACTTACAGTTGATGACCATCGGCAAACCAAACACCAATTCCGGCTTTGGCGCCTCCACGACCATTGTTAATGCAACATCCATCGGTATATACCATTATATATCCCTCATAATCTTCCTGTATTTCGCGGTGTGACATTTTTGAAAATATGTCTTATTTTCTGAAAAAAACGAAAAATTTTTCTATTTAGTAAAATTTACATATTTAATTTGAAAAAAAAATTTTTTGTCTCAATTATTTTTTTTTTAAAATACACATAAACATGTCGAACAAAGTATAAATGAAAAAAATAAAAAAAAAACATAATTTAGAGTAGAATTTATTTTTTAAAAAAATTAATTACAATATATGTGTATTGTAAATATTTTTTTAAAGAACAATTAAATTTAATTATTTAAACAAAAATAATCTTTTTTTTAAGGAAATTTCGAGGAAAATTTGCAACAAAATTGCGCCCTGTGGTTTTCTATAAGATCAATGTTTATGAAAAATAAAAGAAATTTAATTGAAAATTATTTTTCATATCAAAAATAATGGTATGTCTTATATAGAAATATTAAAGAAAAATTGTATCTAGATAAGATTTCAACGCATAATGTTTTGACTGTACGAAAAATCATAATACTTTGTTTACATCGAATTATGAATGTGTGTATACATTAAATGAATGAGAAAAAGTTTTTTTTTCCTTTTTTTTGGTTCAAAGAATTTTGCTCATTAGAAATTTTCCTTAATTTTAAATTAACGTTTCAAATACATAATATTGCTGATAAAATATTTGCCTTTCTTTTGAAAATTTTTTCCATAACGTATAGATATAAATATTTCAAATTTTTATAAGTTACAATTTTAATTAAATTATTTTTTATAAATGTTATAAATAAAATATTTTCAATATTTAAAAAAAATTAATTGTAAATTACTTACATTAACAATTATTTACATTAATAAATTTTAAAGTTTTTTGAAAAATCTAAAATTTATATACATCGAACACAAATGCGAAATAATTTATAAAATTTGTTATAACAATTTTTTTTTACCTGAATAATAAACGAAAATGATGAAGTTTAACACTTTAATTATATTTTTTTCACACTGAAGTGAGCACAAAAGATCTTGATCTTGGACAAGGTTTAAATACAGAAAACAATTTTGAATTGCTTCGTGCTATGAAATCTAATCTTTAACTGACTCATAAGATTTCTTTCTTATAATGGAAATAAGAGTCCTTTACTCATCCCTTTTTCAAAGGCACTGTTTCCCACTTCACAACCAAAGTGCGCGCGCATTATTGCAAACCTATTTTGAAAGGTGGGTGTATTCTCACCAATAGAATGTCCTAAAAGTTCTTCGCATATTTTGAATTTAGTTTTTGATTGGTCGAAAAAAGAACCCTTTGGAAGGGATGCTTTTTTTAAAATCTATATTCTCCCTTCTTGGTTCCTTCTAAATGGGCGGGTCCATAAATTTACCTATACTTTCGATTTTTCATAACATCTGATGATAGTGAATTCAATAATAATTATTTTATTCTATTTTCAAAAATTTCCAAAAAATTCTATTTTTAAAAATTTATTTAAACAATAAAGCTTAACTCTTATTATTTTGAAGAAAAAAATTTATTCCAGAAATAGCATTAAAATTATGATAGAAGTGACAAACATTATTTTTAAGGTTTTTCTTTATATTAATATTAAAACTTATTTTTTACTAATAATTTATTGTTTTTTTTACTAAACTAAAAGCTACTTTTTTCTTTATTTGAGAATTTAAACCACTTTAAATTCGCTAAAAGTTGAAGTAAAAATATTTTCAAAAATTTTAATAACATTTTTTTAAACGATTCAATTATTTTTCATAAATTTTCCGAAATTCATTTATTAGCAATATCTACTATTTTAATAAAAAAATTCACAAAAGAATTCAATAATTTAAAAAAAAATGTTATAAAATTCTTTGCAAACATTTAACTATTTTCATAAATATAACAAAATTTTCATAGAAATTCAATTATTTTTATAAATTATGAAAGTTTTCTAAATAAATTCAATTATTTTCATAAATAATAAAATTTCAATTATTTTTATACCTATAATACAATTTCAAATAAATTCTTTAGAAAAATGAAATTATTCTTAAAAATTTTAATAAAAGTCTTCGAAAGAATTCAATTATTTAAAAAAAATTTGATATATTTCGTTTATTAGAATTGAATACCTAAAATTATTTTCAATACATTTTTTATTAAATTAAATTTTATTAAATAAGTAAGAATATTATTATTTTCGAAAATTTTAATGAAATTTTCCGTAAATAATTAAATTATATTAAAAAATTTTAATGAAATTTTTCGTAAACAATTAAATTTGCCAAAAGAGAATATATAAAATAAATCAAACTGCCCCCTGTATATTGATATTTCTCTAAGCGTAGGCGTCAGTAAGAAAAGCTAGTTCAGATTCACCCCAATGAAATTTTTATAAATTACCCTAAGAAAGCGGTAATTTCCAGCATAATATCAAAAAAGAAAATCAAAGTTTTTATCAAAGTTTTTTTTTATTTAAGTTTTTATTTTTTTATTTTTCGGTTCCAGAATTTATAAATTGCAGTATTATTTACAATAACTTTTTATCAGAATTTTGTATATTATTAAATTCATTGAAACAAATTCTTCGTTTGCCCGAATTTTTATTTGCAAGAATTTTTATTTTTTAGAGAATTTTTAAAATACCGAATTGTCATTTGACCGAATTTGCAAATATGGCCGAATTAAAAATATTTCTACGTGGATTTTGAATTATTGAATTCATTTTTTGTGAATAAGTCTAAAATAATAACGATATGAGAAAAAGCAGTGAAATGTATTATAGAGTTTTAATATTTTTAAACTCATTTATTTTAAAAAAGTTTGAATCTATATTTTTGTTTTAACACTTAATCAGTAAGCAGTAACGTGAATAGATGTGGACGTCCGCATGAAAAGGGACCACTTTGTCGGTTCTAGATTCCGAGATATTCGCAATTTACTAATTTTGAAGAAAAATATCGAAATTTTTTTTATCTTTTTTTCTTAATCTACAGGGTCTACCACGTCGATTCATGCAGTTTTTATTAATTTATTGACACTCTAAGTATTTTATTTCGTTGTTAGAAAAAAAAATGAAAAGGGACCACTTTGTCGGAAATCTGTTATTTTTTCATTGTTTCAAAACGAAGGGAGGGAAAAATTCGAAACCTATTGATTTTCAATCTTAAGGGTGTACTAGACTTAAAACAACTCTTATCTGAATAACTTCCCAGAAGAGCCGGAGAAATTCGCATTACAATTTTTAATTTCGTGTTTTTGGAAAAGGAATTTTTAATTTTTTCTAAGATTTTTTATAATAAAGTCGCTTAAAAAATTTTTTTTCTACCACACGCACCGAAAGTACACCATTTCCTACGTGTTTAGCGGGAGAAAAGTGTATGATTCCCTGCGAGCGGGAGGGAGGAAAAGTAACTTGCTTTCTCGGTAATATTATCAAAGTATGACCATTGATGAATCAGTTACGTGAGTTACGTCAGCTAAGTGACTTACGTAACTTACGCGAGTTACGCAAATGGTGTAGTTACGTAACTTACGTAAATGGTGTAGTTATGTTAGTCTTTCGAGTTACAAATAATAAATGATTTACGTAAGTTACGTAACTTACGTTACTTACGCTACTTGCGTAAACCTACGCTCTTTGGGTTAGTTTAGTTATTTCAAGCTTTTCACAAACTTTCAGTTACCACAGTTGTAACTATACCGCCCCCAGCTACAACTATACATTCAAAAGTAACAATCAAACTGCCGCGTTTGTACTTTCGGTATACGTGTGTTAGAAAAAATAGTATGTGCAACTCGGGAGGAAAATTGATTTCCACTCGTGTTTTACAGTTCTCGGCTTCGCTCGCAAGCACTCGCCTTCGGCTCGTTTGCTCGCTACGCCTCGAACTGCAAACTACACTCGTCGGAAATCATCCATTTCCCTCCCTTGATGCACAATCTACTATTTTAGGTTACTTTTCTTTTCTTTGCTTGAAATAACTCTAAAAAATAACACCGAACCTTTAAATTCGTTAAATATTCCACTTTATTAATTAATAACCGTATTTTTAGAAAAGGGACCACTTTGTCGGAGATCCATTATTTTGTCATTGTTAAAAAATGAGGGGGAGGGGGGAATTCGAAACCTATTGATTTTCAATCTCAAGGGTGTACTAGACTTAAAACAACTATTATCTGAATAACTTCCCAGAAGAACCACAGATATTCATATTACAATCTTTGATTTCGTTTTTCTCGAAATGACGTATTTGATACTCCAAACTTTAAAATTCTGTAACTCATCGAATTTTTCACCAAAAAGGTTGTAAGACCACTCAAAATTTTCCAAATTTTGTCAGGAATTCGCCCATATAGATAAGTCCAATAGTGCCAAAGTGGTCCCTTTTCAAGCGGACGTCCACAGATAAGGACAATCGTAAGAATGAATAAGAGAAGGACAGCAATATAAGTTAAGTTATGGTTACTTTTGAATTTCTATGAATTCCCTAAATTACCAAAGGCGACACTAGGCCCTGGTGACATCACATATTATATTTTCAAGTACTATTTTGCTTTGGCGTTAGACCTTTTGAAAAATGAGAATTTGCTCTATTCTGATCTCTATGGTCTATGATCAATTATGTTCTGAACGTTAAAACGAGGATAACTTTTGTTAGTTCGTTTTATATAAAATAATAATAATAATTGTGAAATTACAAGGTATTTTTTATCAGAAACTAATATTTAAATTTAACATTTTCTAAACTCATTGTCTTTTTATTTTAAAGGTGCCCTTGGCTTTAAACAAATTCTCTTTCGAATAACTTATCAGAGGAACTTTCCAGGTAAGAAGAATGAAATTAATAAAGTTAAATTCTATTTTATTCCGAAAATTCCCTCTATTTTTTAAGCCTATTTTTTATACACATTATTTAACAAAAGTTTTTGGAATTAAAAAGTTACGATATATAGTAAACTCTGATGGAATAAAGTTGCACTTTGTAATGGAATGGAAATAATTTTTTTTTGTTCTGAAAACGTTAATGAAATTCTAATAACTTTCTTTTTCAACATTTTTAGGAAAAAGCGAGGTTGAAGATTAAGGAAATATAATGGCTTATGGTTCTACATTATTTCATCACAATTCAAATTATAATAATAATTGTTCATTACTTTTCGAGGATGAGAAATTATCTGATTTTACATTTATAATCGGTGAAGAAAAGTTTCCTGTCCACAAACAAATTCTGGCATCAAAATCAAAAGTTTTTTTCGCTATGTTCACGACTGATATGGAAGAAAGTATGAAAAATGAAGCTAGTATCACTGACATTGATTCTGTAGTGTTTAAAGAATTATTAAGATTCTTATATAGTAATTGCTTAAAAGATGCGAAAACTATTGCTTATGAACTTTACAAAGTTGCTCACAAGTACGACATAGATGGATTATCAAATTTATGTAGGCAAATAATGACTAATAATGTTAACATTAATAATGCTATAAAACAACTTTTACTGGCTGATCAGTACAATGATGAATCTTTACAATCAGAAATGATTGACTACATGGGGAGAAATATCAGAAAAATTATGAATACAGAAGAATACAAAAATTGGTATCCACATGCATCACCTTTATTAATACACTTATTGTTACAAAATTTATCACGTCATAACTGTTTCAATGTACGTTAACAAAATTTCCTCCAGATAAACGCGCTTCAAATTTATATACTGAAATTCTCTTATCTGATAGAAGAAATTTGTAAAATCTTTAAAACTCAAATTAATTACATGTACTTGAGTTTAAGATTGTGGTCTTTAAACTAAGATGTATTTATAAATAATAAAAACTTTTGCAAAAAAATCAATTATTTTTATTAAATAATAAAATTTTCATCAGGATTTGAAAACTTTAATTATTTTTAAAAATCTTTTAAAAATTCTCCGAGAAACTTCAATTATTATAAAAAATAATTGAATTTTTCACAGGAGTTCAATTATTTAAAAAACTTTTAATAAAATCCAATTCAAGAATTCGTAATAATTATTAAAAAAAAAAATAATGAAATTTTCGCTGGAATTCAATTATTTTTAAACATTTTTTTTTTAATTCTTCCAAAGAAAATAATAACAAAAAAAATATTTAATTGTTTTTGAAGAATTGATTTTAAGTTACATCGAAAGAAAGGAAATTTTTACTGAAAATTGTGAAAATAATTGAAATGTGTGGACGACCACGTATTCTTTTTTTATTTGAAGGTTAAGGAAAAATAATGAAATATGCTACTAATTTTATTAATGTTTTTAATATTTTCAAAGCGCAATGTACTCTCTAAATCTGAATATGTGAAAATTCACATATTTGTACGTTATAAGTCGTCTTCTCGATCAATAAGTGCATATGCACTTATAATAAGTGAAATTTCACTCAGAATAAGTGAAAAATTCACTTATCTATAAGTGTATATGCACTTATTGATCAAGAGGACGACTTATAACGTACAATAAGTGAAATTTCACATATTCAGATTTAGAGAGTATGTTAACAAGTAAATATGAAATAAAACTTTCAAGTTTATGAACTTGAAATATAATATTTATTTATTTATTTAAATATATATATTTATCTCTAAAATATTATTTTTGTATTTTTTTGTTTCTTTTTTTCTTGTATTTTTCGGCTCCCTGTCTGGCAAAATATTCAGCTCTTTCTTTGCCATGACTAGAAGAGTCCGGTGAGTTTAGTTCCTGGAAAATAAATTTAAACAGTATATAAATTTTTAACAATAAATTAAAATTCACAATATTATTATAATTATTTGAATAAAAAATAAATACAATTTTGACACAAAAAGTTTTTTAAATTTTTTTGCTTACAGAAATCCCCCCTCCCCAGGCCCCTAACTATTTACACCTATGAGTAAAATTACATTTTATCGAAAATTAGCTTAAATTATTATTTAACTATAAGAAAAATATTACTTTTAGTGCAAGGACTATAATTTAAATTAAATAATAATTTTTAAAAAGTACAAATTTTAATTTACCAATGTAGCGTTCAATTGTGTCACCAAATCCACCATTTCCTCAATTTCACACACAGTTACTTCTTCATTAAATTCGACAGTGATTCTGCCTGTGTCTCTCCATTCAGAAATCACATTAGTTACCACATTTACGACATATTCTGAATCGGTATGTATAAATAATTTTTCAAAAAAGATTCCCTGCGCAGGCCGTGCTTTCATACAAGCAGCTGTCACCGCCTTAACTTCCGCTCTATGTTTCGTGGGTTCTCCTTGTTGTACGGGTTCAGAAACATTACTACAAAAAAAAAATTATATAAATTTCAAAAAAAAAAAAAATTTTTCCAATTTTTGAATATAATTTTTTATAAAATAATTGAATTTTTTAAGAAAGTTTTATTAAAATTTGTACTAAAAATAAAATTGAATCTTTTATATTTTTAAAAAGTAGCCTGAAAACTAAACATTATAAATTTATAATCTTGAAATTTTATATTTTTTCGAGTAATTTTCGTCAAATTTTCTCCCTCATTTTCCGGACAAATTTTTACTTTTTTCCTCGAATTCCCTGAGCGCACGTGTACAAAAAAATTAAAAAGAGAAAAAATTACAGTTGTAATTCTAATAATAATTGTAATGTAATAATTATTGTATTAATGTAATGTAATAATAATAATTACAGTAGTATTTGATTCTCATCATGATCATCTTCATCGTAAAACCAAACACCAATTCCAGCTTTCGGGGGATTTCTCAATAAGACTCCAGCGGTATATGCATGAAAGACCTTTTCTGAAGCCATATTTTATTTTCTGAATAAAAAAAAACAATATTCAAATTTAATCAATTTTTAAATAATTTTTACAATAAAAAATTCATATATTAACACTTTATTATATAGTTTTTCACATATTGAAGCACAAAAGATGAATTGAAGGAAATTTGAATTACTTACTTCGTATATTATGAAATCTTTATCACAAAGTGTTGCGCATGCGCAAAGGCGTCCACATATTATCAATAATAATGTCGTAATGCTCAATTTTTTTTTTCATTATACAATTTTCATTTTTATTACTTTTTAATAAAAACTGAAAATTTCAAAAAATTTGCAAAAAAAATTCACTAACACGGAAGAAGATATAAAATAATCTAATCTTATCTAATTATAACCGAGCTCAACATAATTGCATGGGTGTTGCACTTACCTTCGATAGTATTAATATATATTTAATTAATTTTATTAAAAATAATGAATTTAAAGAAAAATTTTTTCTTAAAAACATTTCTAAAAAGTTGATGATTGCAGAAATTCGAGATATTTATTTTGCTCGACCGCTGGGCTGCAGAAGAAAAGAATATATTTTCGGCGAAGAATAAAACTATTGTTAACAGGTTACATTGTATTGCAACATATTGTCTAACGCTTGACAATATACGTTAACATTTTTTGTCCAGCTATTTAAGTTTATTACTAGCCTCAAGGTTTTTAAAAGATATATTTCATAAGAAACAATGGTTTTAATTTAAGAAATGACCTCCACTTGCGAAATTGGAAGCAGGAAGGAAGGCAAAGTAAGGTCAAGTCAAAGGGTGTGGTTTTTAGTGGGATTTTTCACTTCCCTCGTAAAAAAAAAAAACTTAAATCTATTTTCAGGTGAATTTTCAGATTTACTGATTGTGAGACTTGTATGATAAATAAAGTATTTATTATTTATCAGAAGCACCTGAAGTTCTGTATTATTATTTGTTTGGGAAATGCTCACCTGCATCAAGACAACATTAAAGCAATTGATAGTTGTACATTTTGTTATTCATCCTATACATGTAATTGTGTAAAATTTCCCAGTAGTATGTTCATTCCATACGTTAATAATTGAATACCTCTTCGTGACTTCATCCTTTTCTTTAGAAATCCATATTCTGAACAAAATTTCACAATGGACGTACTACCTCAAAATTTTCGAACTTTATCATTGTGTGGTCTATGGAATGAAACTGATAAATTCTCACCAGTGTTCATCATCTATAAATTATTCGTTTTATTTCTAATTTTTCATATTTCGTTAGGTCAAGTAATATATGTTTTTGTAACGAGTAAAAGTGTTAAGGAACTGACGAACGGTTTGATATTTACTGTCACGTTCGTTACACTTTGTGTCAAGTTAATTAACTTTGTGTCTAAGGTGAAGGATATGAGACGATTGTTAAATATGTTTCGGGAGGATATTTGTCAACCGATACTATCAGAGGAGAGACGGATTTTGAATGATTGTAGAACGAAAAATTCACGATTCTTCTTTCTGTTGATAATTGTATCGCAAAGTGTGAGTTTAACCTACATGAGTCAACCAATTTTCTTAGGCGAATTAATAGAATTGCCGTTGAGAATTTATGATCCTTTTGATACAACGGATTTTACGATGTTGACAATTTTGTATGTCATGCAAGTGGTTGAGTGTATTTATTCCGTTTGCCTACACATGTGTTTGGATACAATGATTTTTGGTTTTATAAATTTAGTTTGTGCTTTGTTCGATATACTTTGTTTTCGTCTGCAGAATATGGGAAAGGGGAATTTATCCGTAGTTTCGTTTAACGATTGCTTTAAATTGCATATTGTTATTTTGAAAATTTTGAAAAGTCTGAATTCTGTCTTTATGGGAGCAATCGCTATTATGTTCGTTCTAATTCTCCTGGTGATCTGTAGTGGAATTTTCCAAATAACAGAGGTTGGTTAACTTTAACAACTTTTTGCAAAATTTCTAGATTGTATCAAGAAGTTAAGCTTCTACCCTAACAGCATTTTGATATTCCGAAAACTATTTTAAAATCCGACTTCGACTAAAGTACGACATTAAATTATTTTTCAGAAATCATCCAAATTTAACGTAGACAAAATAATATTACTGTATTTTATCTCATTCATCATAGGCCAAGCTTACGTCTACTGTTGGTTTGGATCTGAACTTGAGGAAAAGGTATCGGTTTATAAAAATTTTTCTACCATGTGATGCTTTCTTCTTTAACTGTATTGAATTATATGTAATTTTACAAAGGTAAAAAATTTAGCATCTACTGCATATGAAGTCGACTGGTCTTGTGCATCGACTGCGGAAATTAAAAATCTGTCATTTATGATTTTAATTGCTCAAAGAGGATCCACTATTTCTTACAGAGGAATCTGTACATTAAGTCATGAAACATTTGGTTTGGTATGAAAATTAAAAAATATAAATGTTATGAATACGTTACCTCTTACTGTAACCTACCTAAGAAGTTTATGATCAATTTACCTTTATTGATCCTAAATTAAAAATATATATAAGATTTATCATGTTATTTTTATTTTTCCAGATAATGAAGTCATCATACGCCGCATTGAATGTCCTTAAGTGTTATTCCGAAATTTAAAAAGTAGATATTTCCAGCCTTTTATAATTATAGCCTAATTAAGCCTAATTATATATTAAGCAGGATAAATCGAAGAAGGCTCATCAAGTATTTCTGAATTAGCCTCGACTAACAACCAGAAGAAAAATCCAAAAGTGCAGATCAACCTGAACCAGGATTTCGCTAGATTTACATCTCAATTATGATTTCTCTTAAGCTGTGTGACTAAATAAAAAAAAAAACTGAATACGAAAAGTGACTATGTTTCGTAAATCTCTAGTATCCTGGTTTTTAACAATTGGAAGCATTTGTATTCTTACTCTTTTGTTTTTTTTAATTTTAATCTATTTACTTTCCTTAAATAGAAAACAGAAACTATTTATTTGCAATTGTACAAAACAATATTTTCAATAAATCAATTATTATAGGAGGTAAGAAAATGACAAGCTTGAATCGATTCTCAAATTATAGCACAAACAGTGCAGAGGCAAATACAAACAACTCAAAAGTATACCTGTAATTTGTAGCATCCATCGATTTATTTAGAGAATAATGCTGGCAATGTATAAAATATTCAAAATTCTATCGAAACTGTTTAAACCAACTTTTTTTCTATTTTATCCTCTGTATAAGGAATTATTTTTCAAAATATGTTTCGGGAAAAAAAGAATTAAAAAAACTGCTTTAAGAGAATACAGAATATAGTAAGAGAATATAGTATTTGTAACACTATTTTTTCAGCCTCTTTCAAAAGTATTCAGACTTGAGATATTTTATGCAATAAGACCTGCGAGGAAAAGACAATTGCAAGTTATGTACATTAATCTTGATTCTAACATGTAATTCATTTAATTTTCCTATAGACCCCCCTTCAGAATGTGCATTCAATAAATAATTGACTATATAGCCCTCTTGGTTTTCCAACTACATATTCTCTTGACTTTGACTCAATATGGATATTCTCCCACAAAACTTTCGAACTTTATGGCTATGTGGTCTTTGGAACGAAAATTACAAACTCACACCAATTGTTTTCATTTACAAATCAATTGTTCTATTAATGATAATTCACATTTCTTCAGGACAAGTTTTTTATGTTTTTGCAACAAGTAAAAATGTTAAAGAATTATCAAGTGGACTGGTATTTACCGTGACTTTTGTAACACTTTGCGTGAAACTCTGCAATTTTATCTTTAAACTAAATGATATGAAGCAACTCTTGAATTTATTTCGCGAAAATATTTACAGTACCCTTGTAATTGAGGAGAGGATAATTTTCGATAATTACCGAAATAGAAATGATAGGTTCTTTCTTAGTATTTTAATTGTTTCACAAAGTATAAGTTTGACACAATTAATTTTGCCGATAGTGAAATGGAGGGAGAAAATCGAACTACCGTTTAAGATTTACGATCTTTTTTTTGTGAGAAATTCCACGCAATTGATGATTTTGTATGTTATTCAAGTAATTGAATGCTCCTATTCGGTTTTATTGAATGTCTGTTTTGACACAATGGCGTGTGGATTTATTAATTTGACATCCTGTTTGTTTGACATTTTATCCTTGCGTTTGAGAAACACGAGTAGAAATAAAAATTTGTCTTCCGGTTCAATGAAAAATTGCTATAAATTGCATATCGATGCTCTGAAGATCCTAGAAAGTATTAATTCATTTTTCATGGGATCAATAGCAATTGTGTTCGTGCTCATTCTTTTGGTAATCTGCAGTGGAATTTTTCTGTTAACTGAGGTTTGCAGTTTTTTTCTTTGAAATTAATATTTGTTTTCGTTTTAAGAAGCTAAAATTCTCTATCAGCAATCACTTAATTTTAAAGTTTAAATATTTTTTTTTTTTGTATAAATTTGTTATTACAATTTGTTGAATTTTGATTTTAATATTTAGTTGGTGACAGCGGTGGGATTCTTTCTCTATATTCTTGAAAAAGGGGAAAAAATAAATTTGTTCTTTAAAAAATAAAAAAATTACACATACAGAGTTACACTAAACATATCAACAACATTTCCATTAGAAATATTATTTGTTATTACAATTTGTTTGTGGGATTCTTGTAAAAAAATTGTAAATTAATTTTGCCTAGAAATCGTCACTACTTAGTGCTGACAAATTAATATTACCATACTTCATCGGATATATAATTGTTCAAGCATATGTCTATTGTTGGTTTGGAACAGAACTTGAAGAAAAGGTATTTGTATACAGATTTTAAAATTCTTTAAAAAAAATCATGAATAGCTATTTTATAATCCGTTTCTTTTTTCCAAATTTTCGAATTGCAATAGGTGAAAAATTTGGCAGTAGCTGCTTATGAAACTAATTGGTGCTGTGCATCTGTAACGGAAGTTAAAAATTTATCATTCATGATATTAATAGCTCAAAGAGGATCCAACGTTTCTTTCAAAGGACTTTGTACTCTGAGTCACGAAACATTTGGTTTGGTAAAAAAAATTCAAATCGATTATAATCCGAAGTGTCGAATTAATAATTTTTGTACCTAATTTGTAAAAGTAAAGCTATTATGGAAAAAAATAAGGAAACCCTTATATGACAATTTCATATTCTCAGATAATGAAGACATCATATGCTGCTGTAAACTTACTGAAGAATTATCAATAAGCTAAGAAGAAAATTCGTGTATCTACAACTTTTAAATTACCAAATGTCTATTTCATATTTGTTGTACAAAAGAGAAAATTGACAGTGTACTTCTATTTAAAAATCATCACATATCAAGAAATGTTTGGAATAGCTGTATAATCGACATGCTTAATGAAATAAAATTTAAATTTAATATTATTAGTTTTTATGATTATAATGATTCATGATCCAGATTCTGTAATGGAATCATTTGAGCATTTAGTGATTACTTGAAATAAAGTTGTTAGTAATCCTCCAAATTGCAATATATCATTTATATCATATATATTTATATCATTTATATATATATCATTTATATCATTTAATTGAAAAGATTAATGTTGTCAATTGATTCGAAAAGAATCGGTTCGTTAGGAAGAAGTATTTGTGTAATCATATGATTGCCTTCTGTATAATTAATATTTAACTGTTCACCAAGAATTATCAGATAAGGAAACATTAAAGGATACATCGTAGGATCAACATTTTAAGACTGGAAATTGCTGAAAATCTTTGCAAATCCTTTGGAGTGTAAAATTACTTTATTATACAGTAAACGTTATTCTTCACAATATTTACATAGAAGTCTCCCTTTGCATCAAGAGCGATAGTTTCAAATTTTAAAGTCACAAAATTGTATACTAAAATTATGGCATGTAAGAAAATTATACCTTTCGGTATGCGCCATGTGATGCCAGAAGGAAAATCGAAATTATAGCCTCAACTGCTAACTCCAAAGAAGATTCGTTTATGATTCTAAAATTGTACTTTTGGAAAATTTTACAAAGTATTTTTTACGCATTGGAAAATCATTGATTTAGTAATGTATGAAAAGGAACAGGTGCGCATGAAGAACATGTTGAGAAAATTGTTATGCACTTCTTGTATGTAATTGACTTTAGTCACTACTATAAATACCCTCGTCTAGAATACATATTCAATAATCCCTCTTCCTTTTCTTGACTTTATTACACAATGGATGTTTTGCCTCAGAACTTTAGAACCTTGTGGCTCTGTGGTCTGTGGGACGAAGATAAAAAATTCTCCCCCACATTTTACTTGTACAAAATATTTGTTCTTTTGCTAGTTTGTCATATCTCGTTGGGACAATTACTATTCGTATTTGTAACAAGTAAAAATGTTAAGGAACTGACAACGGGTTTAGTTTTTACTGTCAAATTCATTGAACTATGTGTTAAATTAATAAACTTTATGTTTAAGAAAAAGCATATGGAGGATTTATTGTCAATTTTTCGTGATGATACTTGTCAAGAAATGTCAATAGATGAGGAATTAATTTTAAATAAATATAAAAGAAAGAGTCGTCAATTTTTTTGGATATTTCTAATTGTATCGGAGTGTATGACAACAATTTATATGATACAATGTGCTTTGAATTGGAAAGAGAGTATCGATTTACCGTTTCAAATTTATGATCCATTTAATTTTACTGAATTTACGATAATGATAGTTTTTTATGTTGCGGAAGTGGTGGAGTGTTCATATTCCGTTTGTTTAAATGTTTGCTTTGACACAATGGTTTATGGATTTATTAATTTAACTTGTGGTTTATATGAATTACTTTGCTTTCGAATAAAACGATGCGATAGGAAGGACTCGAAATTACCGATAACGGTTAAGGAGTGTGTCATGCTGCATATCACTATTCTTAAAATTTTAAATAAGATTAAAACATTTTTTATGGGTGCAATTACAATTATGTTTATTTTTACACTCTCTGTCATCTGTAGTGGCATTTTTGTCGTCACTGAGGTTATTTGACTGGAAATTAAAATTCCTTTTTTCGAAAAGTTTTAAAATTAAATATTTATAATTTTATTTTGTAGAAATCATCTAAACTTGATGCTGAAAAAATGATCTTATTGTATTACATTTTGTGCATTGTTGCTCAGTCTTATATGTATTGTTGGTTTGGAACAGAACTTGAAGAAAAAGTGAGTATTTAGAAATTGTTGTAGATTTTTTTTTTTAATAATAATAATAACAATATTTTTTAGATGAAAAGTGTTGCTGTTGCAGTATATGAAGTTGACTGGACATTTTCCACTCCTGCAGAAGTGAGAAGTTTAACACTAATGATTTTAATAGCTCAAAGAGGATCAACAATTTCTTATAGAGGACTATGTTCCTTGAGTAATGAAACTTTTGGATGGGTAATGAAATATTTTCAAAAAGCTAATAGAAAGAATTCAAAACTTTATTTCAATAAATTAATATCAAGATGCATGTATATTTTTTCAGATAATTAAATCAGCATATGGGGCACTAAATGTTTTGAAAAATTATTCGAGTTCTTGAATAAGTTAATCAATAATATAATTTTCCAGACTGATATTAATAACAATACCGATTTCAGAAATTATTCTCATAAAGATTAGGATAATAGTTGTAAAGGACATATAATTTTTGTATATTTTCTAAATAATTATTAAAGAGATAAGAATCTACTATATATATAACCTAAATTATTAAATTTAAATAAAAGTTTTTTACTCTGGAAAACCAAATATAAAAAAACTTATATACAATTCTTTATTGAAGAAAGATCCTTTAAAGACCATTTCTATTCTCATCGTAATCATTTTCTAACAAACAAGGCCGACGAAATTCTTGTCCATGTTCGTTGAACCATTTATTCGCGACTGGAAAATAAATTTTCTTTTGTAAACTAAGAATTTAGAATTATTTTCATTTCCCAAATTTTTTTTTAAAAGTACAGATATATGGGAAATCATAATGAGTTGAATAAAATTAAATGAAAATATAAATACCCCATTTTACTCCAGAAACAACACGACATCCTGCATGCATGGTAAAATAGTCCAAGTATCCATTTGGTGAAATATTATACCAAAAAACAGCATTTCCTTTTTTTGGTGTCAATGAAACATTCAGATCAGTGAAAATTGTTCTGCCACCTTCTTGAACATTATTTAACTAAAAAAATGATTTACAATATTTTTATACACTTCTAAAAAGTCTGATTAACTTGCTTAAAACTGTCATCTTTAGTGAACCAAAAAATTAAAAATAAGATTAAAATTTTTAAACTTATCCCTTCTTACGTAAAACATTAGTGTTCCAATTCGATTTCCAGAACTAGAATTCAGAATTTGATAATCCTGAAAAAAATAGTTTACAAAAATTGAAAATCAATTTTCAGAAAAAAGTTAAGTTAAAAAGCAATGAGAGACCTCGTCCTCGAAAAAATCATGGTGTTCATTAAAGTATCCTCCAGGTTTATAGTATGCAATTTGAAGAGGCTCTGATGTACCAATATTCAAATTTGTCATATGTCCTGCTCGTTCGTTTACAGACTTAATTTTTGGATCAATGTCATCAAAAAGCCAAGCATTTTCAGAAACTCGCATTTTTGATGAATGTATTCCTTGTTTATATGAGATAACTCTAGAGGAATCCAACTTAATATAACAGGAAGAAAAGAATCTTATCGAAAAGAATCTTATCAAAAAGAATTAAGATTTAAATTTTTTTAACCATTCGAACATACCGCGGGGTAGGCCTCTTCTTGGAGCATTTCTATTTCTGCATCTGAAAGAACATTGTGGTAGATGACAATGAAAGGATCTAAATACACATCTTCCTGTTTGAATGGTGCTATTTTTAGAAACGGATTTCCATAATCAACGAATCGACATTTTAAATGCTTTTCGATATCTGGAGATTGGGAAATCATTCCATTGCATAACTTTAGTGCAGAATTTTCAAAAATCCCAGATTCGTAGTCATCATAATCATACTCGGGCTCACACCCTGTCTCTGAAGACGTAACATTATGGAGACCAATAATTTTCTTAGTATCTTTCATATAGTCATCAATTTTAAGCCACAAAGTTTCTAGACTAGTTAACATACTGATTGTGGTTTTGGCAGATAATGAATATTCATTTGCCTTATATGCAGCATCTTCTAGTTCCTTTGAGAATACTTCTTCGTTGCTAGAAAATATTTCTGTTTTTATATTTTTGTGGCAAATATTTTTGTATAGAAGGCACATAAAGAGAAAAGTAAAGCAGATTTAGAGTTTTAGAAGTAAGAAAATTTTGTACACTTATTTAAAAGTTTTTACCTTATTGTCTTCAAATGTTCTTGTTGCTGTAAAATTTCATAAAGGAGTCTGTCGAACAAATCTGCTTCTGTCCTAAGTAATTTTTTTAGAACCCCTACGTTAAAATCGAATTCATGATTTCCATTACACGATGCAGCTAATCCTACAGCAACTATCAGTAATAACATTCTCGCCATTATAAAGATGCTAGAATAACATAATAACCATTTTAGTAGAAGTGTCACGTTCGAGTAACCTTACTAGGAATAATATAATTGAATTAATATAAGTTTTCTAATTATTAATAAAAATCTACTTATTAATAAGAATCTAATTATTATTAACAATCTAATTATTGATAACAATCTGATTATTAATAGCAATCTAATTATTAAAATCAATCTAATTATTGACAACAATCTAATAATTATTGATAAAAATCTAATTATTGACAACAATCTAATTATTGATAGCAATCTAATTACTAATAACAATATAATTATTGACAACAATTTAATTATTAAAATCAATCTAATTACTAACAACAATCTAATTATTGACAACAATCTAATTATTGATAACTAGTGTGAAATTTAGTAAAGTTATATTTAACTAAGAGTGGTTTTAGTAATAATTATAGTAAATATAATATTAAAATAAAAAAATTTATTACCTAAAAAAGATTCTATTGAAGCAGCTTTGCGTCACAAATTGTGGTTTTTAAGTAAAGGCACTTAAAATAATTAGTAGATAATGGAGACAAGACGGTAACTTAAATATGCATCAAATAACGAAACATTATATCGAGTACACTAAAGGAAAGATTTGACAGAAGCTGTTAAAAGTTTTTGAACATTAATTTTTAATAGTCTTGATATATTTTAATAAAAAAGTTTGTCTGAACTTTTTAAACGTAAAAAAATTACATAAAATAAACAGTATCTTAATAGTATAAAAACTAGTTTATAATTGCGTTATGTAACAGCAGCTTATAATGGATAAATGCTCTACTATTAATTCACTGTTATATATTTCTTAAACTATTTGGTAGGCTTTTTTTTCTTGCTATGTCTTAAATCAACAAATTTTTATTTATATTTACAATAAAAATTTTTCTGTAAAACTAGAATCCATTTGCTCGTGTAACTCTAAAAATAACTAAAGAAAAATAAAAAGATTTTTTTAGCTAAAGTACATTATTTTGAAATTTCTAAAATTCGGCTTTAAATTTATTAATTCGAAAACAGATCCCTCAAGGACTATTTCTCTTCTTATCGTAAACATTTTTTAACAGACAAGGTCGAAGAAATTCTTGTCCTTGTTCGTGGAACCATTTATTCGCGACTGGAAAATAATTTTTTTTTTGTAAATTAAGGAAAATAGGATTATTTTCATTTGAATAGAAAAATTATGAAGAAAACTACAGACATATGGCAACTATCACAATAATAAGTTGAATAAAATTAAGAGGAAATATCTATACCCCATTTTACTCCAGAAACAACACGACATCCTGCATGCACTGTATAATAGTCCAAGTGTCCATTTGGTAAAGTATTAAACCAGAAAACAGCATTTCCTTTTTTTGGTGTCAATGAAACATTCAGATCAGTGAAAATTGTTCTGCCACCTTCTTGAACATCGTTTAACTAAAAAATTATTTGAAATATTTTAATGCACCTTCTGAAATGTCCGGGTTAATTTGCTTGAAACTGCGTCTTTAGTGACCCAAAAAACTAAAAATAAGATCAAAATTTTTAATCTGATTCATACTTACGTAAAACATTAGGGTTCCAACTCGATTTCCAAAACCAAAAGTCGGAAATGGATTTTCCTGAAAAATTCAGTTTACAAATAATGAAAATAAAATTTCAAATTAGAAACAATTATTATACTTTCAAGCAGAGACCTGATCGTGGTCAAAATCATAGTGTTCATTAAAGTATCCTCCTGGTTTATAATATGCTATTTGAAGAGCCTCGGCAGTATGAACATTCAAATTTGTTATATGTCCTGCTCGTTCGTTTATAGACTGAACTTTTGGATAAATATCCTCATACAGCCAAGCATTTTCAGAAATACGTATTTTTGACGAATGTAATCCTTGTTCGTATGCGATAACTTTAGATGATTCCAACTTAACAGGAAAAATATTATTTCACTAATGTGAAAAGTAGTTATATTCAACTAGGAGTGGTTTTAGTAATAATTAAAGTAAATATAATAATTATGTTGAAACATACGGCAGGGTAACCCTCTTCTTGAAGCATTTCTACTTCTGCGTCTGTGAGAACATTGTGATAGATGACAATGAAAGGATCTAAATACACATCTTCCTGTTTGAATGGTGCTATTCTCAGAAATGGATTTCCATGATCAACGAATCGACATCTTAGTTGCTTTTCGATATCCGGAGATAGTGAAATCATTCCATTGCATAACTTTAGTGCAGAGTTGTCAAAAATCCCATATTCGTAATCATTGTAAGCATACTCTGGAATCAAGGGTTCTCCTGCAGATGTTACATTTTTGAGACCAATTTTCTCCGTAGTCTCTTTCACATAAGCATCAATTTTAGGCCACAAAGTTTCTAAACCAGTTAACATACTAGTTGTCGTTTTAGCAGATGATAAATATTCATTTGCTTTATGTGCAACATCTTCTAGTTCCTTTGAGTATACTTCTTCGTTGCTGGAAAAAATTTGTTTTAATATTCTTTTGGCAAATTTTTTTTTTGTACGGAAGGAACATGAGGAAAAAACTGATTTAGAATTTTAGAAGTAAGAACTCAGTACACTTTTTAGTTTTTACCTTATTGTTTTCAAATGTTGACGTTGCTGTGCAATGTCATCAATAATTCTGTCGATTAAATCTGCTTCTGTAGTTAGTAATGTTTTTAGAACCCCTACGTTAAAGACGAATTCACGACTTCCATTACTCGATGCAGTTAATCCTGCAGCAACTATGAGGAATAATATTCTCACCATTCTAAAGAGGGCAGCAAAAAATAATTACCATTTAGTAGAAGCTTATTGAGTAGTAGATAGTTTTTCTTACCTAAGACCACGTTTAAAATGAAGCAATTTTTGTGGATGTTTCTTTTCGAAGGAAAGGCGTAACAAAGTGTGGTTTTTAAGTAAATGCACTTAAAGTAATTAGTAGATAAGGCAAGAGCTTAAATATGCTTTAAGTAACGAAAAAATATATAGAACACCCACTGTTAACGTTTGACAAAAAATATTAAATTTTAAAAAAGAAATATCTATTGATATTAAGGAATATTAACTGATATATTTTAATAAAATAGTTCGTGTGCATTTTTTAAACGTAAAAATAGAGAAAATATGGTGTTAAATAAAATAAACAGTAGCCTAATAGTATAGAAACTAGTTTATAATTTCGTTATCGACTCGCAGCAGAATATAGTAGATAAATACTCTATTACCTGACTGTATATTTCTTAAACCCAATTTCATATATTTTTTCTCATCATGTCCTAAATCAACAAATTTTTATTTATATTTACAATAATGTATGCAGAAAATTTGGAAATTTTCAAAAATTTTGATTTAAATTCTTCTATTTGAAAAAAGATTTCTTAAAGACTATTTCTCTTCTGATTGTAAACATTTTTTAACAAACAAGGTCTGCGAAATTCTTGTCCATATTCGTGAAACCATTTGTTTGCGACTGAAAATAAAAAAATTTTTTGCAAATTAAGGAAAATAGGATTATTTTTGTTTGAGTATGAAAAGTATTAAGAAAACTAGACATATATGGCCAACTATCACAATAAGGAGTTGAATAAAATTAAATGAAAATATAAATACCCCATTTAACTCCAGAAACAACACGACATCCTGCATGCACTGTAAAATAGTCCAACTCTCCATTCGGTAAAGTATTGTACCAAAAAACAGCATTTCCTTTCTTTGGTGTCAATGTAACATTAAGATGTGAGAAAATTGTTTTGCCACCTTCTTGAACATTGTTTAACTAAAAATTTGAATAAATATTTGAAATATTTTAATGCACTTTTGAAAAGTCCGGGTTTTCTTGAAACTGTCTTTAGTGGCCCAAAAATCTCAAACGAAAACATTTGAATAGTTTCCTACTTACGTAGAACATTAGGGTTCCAATTCGATTTCCAAAACCAACATTCGGAAATGGATTTTCCTGGAGAAAAAAAAGTTTAAAATTTATTGAAGATCAAATTCCCAAAAACAGTTAATTTAATTTTGAGAGACCTTGTTGTGGTCAAAATCAACGTGCTCGTTAAAGTATCCTCCTGGTTTATAATATGCAATTTGCAGAGCCTCGGATGTATGAATATTCAAATTTGCCATATGACCTGCTCGTTTGTTTATAGACTTAACTTTTGGAAAATAATCTTCAAAGAGCCAAGCATTCTCAGAAACTCGTACTTTTGACGAATGTAATCCTTGTTTGTATGATACAACTCTGGATGAATCCAACTTAATAACAGGAGGAAAAGTATCATATCATGATAAAAAAAAAGAAAAAAAAAGCATTAAGACTTAAATTTTCTGAATCATTAATAATGAAATTGGAACATACGGTGGGGTAGGCCTCTTCTTGTAGCATTTCTATTTCTTCATCTGAAAGAACATTGTGGTAGATGACAATGAAAGGATCTAAATACACATCTTCCTGTTTGAATGGTGCTATTCTCAGAAACGGATTTCCATGATCAACGAATCGACATCTCAGTTGCTTTTCAATATCTGGAGATTGGGAAATCATTCCATTGCATAACTTTAGTGCTGGCTTTTCAAAAATTCCATACTCAAAGTCATCATAAACATACTCAGTTCCACCTGCAGATGTTACATTTTTGAGACCAATTTTCTCCCTAGTTTCTTTCACATAAGCATCAATTTTAGCCCACAAAATATCCAAACCAGTTAACATTCTAATTGTCCTTTTGGCTGATAATAAATATTCATTTGCTTCGTGTGAAGCATCTTCTAATTCCTTTGAGTATAAATCTCCGTTGCTAGAAAAAATAAATTGTGTACCATTAATGGATTAAGATTAATGTTAAGACATTAACAATAATTTATTATTGTAATTAATTTCCAATCTTAATAAATCTTCAGGAATGTCATCATTTTATTCAAAATATCATTTTTATCAGAAGATAAAAAATAAAATAAGAAAGGTTTTAGTTTTACCTTATTGTTTTTAATTGTTGTTGTTGGTGAGCAATTTCACCAAGCAATCTGCTCATTAAATCTGCTTCTGTGCTTAGTAATTTTTTTAATACCTCCAACTTAAAGAATAATTCTCGAGTTCCATCACTTTTTGCAGCTAATCCTACAGCAACTATCAATAATAATATTCTCACCATTATAAAAATGCTGGAATAAAATAATTACTGCTTACTAGTAGTTTGATGCGAATAATTAAGAAATTCAGCAAATTGTAATAATTGTATTATATGTCATTTCCCTTACTTTCAGTTTCAGAGAAATTAAAATTTTGTTAAATATTTACCTTTAATGATCCATTAAAATTTAATCACTTTTTATGTTATGTAAATTAAATTATATAAAAAAAATTCTCTTTGGGGTTATTTGCGAAGATTAGTGATGAACTTTAGGAAAATAAAAGTGTAATTAAATATTTGTGAAAATAATAAAGTAAAGAGAACAACAAAAATAAATAACTCGACAACTTGTATCCGCACATAACTGTCAAGAAAAATCTCGAGGTAATTCAATAAAGTGAAGTCAAGAAAATTGCATCTACTTAATAGTAGCACGCGATGGCAATGTGTATTTTAATTTTGCAAGTAATACAACTGAGATATAATTTCAGTTCAAGTGTAGTAAAAAATTACTTATTCTTCAATTAATGTAGCTATGAATTAATTTTATAAAATTACTCTTTAGAGGCTATTAATTTATATTATAAATTTATATTATGAATTTATATTATAAATTTATAAATAAATTTATATTATAAATTGATACTATAAATTTATATTATAAATTGATACTATAAATTTATATTATAAATTGATACTATAAATTTATATTATAAATTGATACTATAAATTTATATCATAAATTGATACTATAAATTTATATTATAAATTGATACTATAAATTTATATTATAATTTATAAACTTATATTACAAATTTGTATTAATTAGTTTTTTAAATATGTTAAAAAATAGCAGAACCTGTAATTTAATATAAAAAAGTTTTGTAAAAAAAAAATCTTGTAAAATTTTTAGTAGGTCGGAGTTGGCATTAGGTGGCCTCACATAAATTATAAGGTTTACTTATTTATAAATTACTTTTCCTTTTACACCAACCCCACATAATTTTGGAGTGTGGTATCCAAGGTATCTGGAAGCAGATTTTCCAAAAGTCCCTATGCACAGAAAAATTTATATTATATATTATAGAACTATTATATTATTATTTTAATTGTTCTAAATTTATACATTTTCAAAACAGCTTGATTTCTGACTGATTGCATTAGTTTTAGTAAAGAAACTATCTGATTGTGGAAAAAAATTTAAAAGTAGCAGTGGAAGTAAGAGATAACTATTTTTTGTTGAACATGATGAGTAAATAAGTGGGTATTCATGACTTCAATTTTTTCTGATTATATACAATAAACTCGGTAGTGAAATAACGTGTGGAATTCTCATGATGTCGGTGTTTGCTAATTTATAAAAGTTTATTTTACATAAAGAATAAAATATTATGCTAAGAATTTTTATCCACAATTAATTTATGTGATACTTTTTTTTATTAATTTAAATTTATTATTATAATATTTATATTCTGTTAAAATCGTTATAATTCATGACTTTCAATAATCGATGAAATTAATCACATATAAAGATGGTTAAAGATGGTTCAGTTTATTTTATCAGATGATAAATTCGAATTATAGCTTTTGATATTAAAAAAAGCTTCTTAAAAATATCCACTTCTATATTTATCGTAAACATTTTTTAACAAACAAGGTCTGCGATATTCTTGTCCATGTTCGTGGAACCATTTATTTGCGACTAGAATAGAAATTTTTTTGCGAAATTAAGGAAATTATTTTCATTTGGGTATAAAAAATATTTTTTAACGATACAGACATATGGAAACTATCACAATAATTAGTTGAATAAAATTAAATAAATGAAAATATACCCCATTTTACTCCAGAAACAACACGACAACCTGCATGCATTGTAAAATAGTCTAAATCTCCATTTGGTAAAGTATTGTACCAAAAAACAGCATTTCCTTTTTTTGGTGTCAAGGTAATATTCAAAAAAGAAAAAATTGTTTTCCCACCTTCTTGAACATTGTTTAACTAAAAAATGATTTGCAATATTCTTATACACTTCGTAAAAGTCTGATTAATTTGCTTTATTCTGTTTTCAGTGACGCGAAAAATCTAGAAAATAATTAAAATTGATTCCTACTTACGTAAAACATTAGTGTTCCAATTCGATTTCCAACAGGCTTATTTGGAAAAGGATTATCCTGAAAGAAAAAAGTTCACAAAAATCAATTATAAAAATTTCTATCTTAGTTATTATTAGTTGTTACTTCAAAGAGAGTTAAACCTTGTTTGGGTCAAAATCAACGTGTTCATTAAAGTATCCTCCAGGTTTATAGTATGCAATTTGAAGAGGCTCTGATGTACCAATATTCAAATCTGTCATATGTCCTGCTCGTTCGTTTATAGACTTAACTTTTGGATAATATTCCTCAATAAGCCAAGCATGTTCAGAAATTCGTATTTTTGATGAATGTGCACCTTCCATTTCTGAGGTAACACTAGAGGAATACAACTGAACAACAAAAAGAATAGAATATTAGAGTAGAATATAAAAAAATAATAGAATAAAGATTTTTTTTTATTTAGAAGAAAGTAAGGTAATCATGAAGAAAAAAGAATTAATACTTGAAAGTTTTTAAACTATTCGCAGAATAATAATGAAATTGGAACATACCGCGGGGTAGGCCTCTTCTTGGAGCATTTCTATTTCTGCATCTGAAAGAACATTGTGGTAGATGACAATGAAAGGATCTAAATACACATCTTCCTGTTTGAATGGTGCTATTTTTAGAAACGGATTTCCATAATCAACGAATCGACATTTTAAATGCTTTTCGATATCTGAAGATTGGGAAATCATTCCATTGCATAACTTTAGTGCCCAGTTGTCAAAAATCCCATGTTCGTAGTCATCATAATCATAATCGGGCTCACATCCTGTCTCTGAAGACGTAACATTATGAAGGCCAATTTTGCTCCTAATCTCTTTCACATAATCATCAATTTTTGGCCACAAATTTTCTAGACCAGTTAACATACTAATTGTCCTTTTAGCAGATAATGAATATTCACTTGCTTTATAAGCAACATCTTCTAGTTCCTTTGAGTATACTTCTTCGTTGCTAGAAAAATTACTAGTTATTAACTAGTTATTAAATACACCGTTCGAGTTGAGACAGTTGACACGAACGTCTCAGAGTTACTATACAGAATACCAGCACGCGCCAGAGTTGAGACACTGTCGTTCGGAGCCAGCGAAATTAAAATTTTTTCGTGAAATAATCAATAAAAAAAACACATATTTTATCAAAATTTATTTGTATTATTTTGAGAAGTAAGAACTTTTTTGTACTCTTTTTACAAAAGGTCTTACCTTATAGTTTTTAATTGTTGTTGTTGATGAGCAATTTCATCAAGTAGTTTTTCGATCAAATCTGCTTTTGTATTTAGTAAATTTTTTAGAACCCCTAGGTTAGAGACAAATTCACGATTTCCATTACTCGATGCAGCTAACACTACAGCAACTATCAGTAATAACATTCTTGCCATTATAAAGATGCTAGAATAACATAATTACCATTTTAGTAGAAGTGTCACGTCCGAGTGACCTTACTAGAAATAATATAATTGAATTAATATAAGTTTTCTAATTATTAATAAAAATCAACATATTAATAAGAATCTAATTATTAATAACAATCTAATTATTGATAACAATCTGATTATTGATACCAATTTAATTACTGATAATAAACTAATTATTGATAACATTCTAATTATTGATTACAATTTAATTATTGATAATAAACTAATTATTGATAACAATCTTATTGTTTGACATAATATGAATGTTTATAACAATCTCTTGATTGATAACAATCTATTTAATGATAACAATCTAATTATTGATAACAATATAATTTTTGATAACAGTATAATTGTTTGTAATAATATGAATGTTTATAAACAATCATATTGTTATAAACATTTATATTATTACAAAATTAAACTGTAAGTTTAAATTGTAAATATTTATTGTAAGCATTTGATTTATAAACTTTCATAACTAATTATTATAAGAAAAAATTATTGTTCTCAGCTTAGGAATAATTTAAGAAAAATAAAAACTTGGAACAACAGAAGCTTAGTAAGAGTAATAAATAATTTTTATTACCTATGACAACGTTGAAAAAGTTGCAATTTTTGTCGATGTTCTTTTCCGAAGGAAAGGCGTAACAAATTATGGTTTTCAAGTAAATGCTTTTAAAGAAATTAGTTGATAACAAGACAGTAACATAAATATTCGTTAAATAACGAAAAAATACAAACTGTAATAATAGCGAAAATTTGACAGAAATATTATAAAACTTTTTAAAGAAATGGATCTGAATTTGTAACAGTTTTATTCTATTTTATTAAAAGTGTCTGTATTTTTTAAAAATAATAAAACTGGTCGCAATATAGTGCTAAGCGTTATAATTTTAAAAACTAGTTTGTAATTGTGTTATCGACTGGAAGAATATTATATTGTAGATATAGACTGTTTTTTTTTTCTTAAACCTCTTTGGTAAGATTATAATTAAATATTTGTGAAAGTAATAAAGAAAATTAATAAATTAATTTATAAATAAAAATTACTCTTTATAGAGACGTTCATCTATGATTAATTTATATTTATATTTTACACTGAATATTAAATTTTTTAGTCTGTAATGTATTTTTTTACATCACTTCTATTCTCGTCATAAAAGTTTTCCAAGGTACAAGGTCTACGAAATTCTTGTCCTTCTTCGTGGAACCATATATTGGCCACTGGAAATAAAATATTTTATAAAGGCTACTATTTTTAATTTTTTCTAAGTAATTTAAATTTTGAGATTTGTTATCTAGGTGATTTGTTGACAGAAAATATAAATACCCCATTTTACTCCAAAAAGAATATGACATCCTGCGTGCATTGTATAAAAATCTAAGTCTCCATTTGGTAGAATATTGTGCCAAAAAACTGCGTTTCCTTTTTTTGGTGTCAGTGTGACGTTCAGTTTTGTATAAACTGTTTTACCACCTTCTTGAACGTCGTTCAACTGACTAAATAATATTTTTTTTTAATACTTAATTTTATTTCTTTTTATCAGATTTTACATCTACTTACATAGAACATTAGTGTAGCAATTCGATTGCGCGCATTGAGCATTGGAAATGGATCATCCTAAATATTAAAATTTTACAAAGTGGAGAAAGAATATTAAAATTGGAAAATTATTTATTGTTCTTTTATATATTAAATTCAGAAATGCTTTCTTTTTTGGGTTACCTTGTCAATGTCATGATCAACATGTTCATTATGATATCCCTCAATAGAATTTTCATTATCATTAAGGTGCTGTTAAATATTTGTACGATTTTTTAAAAAGTACTAAATTAAAAATCAATTTACAAAACTATTACAATAAGTTAGTGCAGAAGAAAGATTATTTAGATTTAATATTAAATACTATTTCTGTTTATAAAAATAATAAAAATCCAAAATTACTGATTTAAAGAAATCAAAATAAAAATGTTATGTTGGGTTGAAAAGAAACGAACTTGTGTCTCGATAACAATTTTCCACAAAATGGAGATATGTAATTAGCTCTTAGGTGACAGCTTTTCAATTAATTTGTAGATAAACTTGAGGTCAGAAAAAAACTAATTTTTTACTTTTTAAAAAATATTTTTTTACTTCTTTCGGCTACATTTTATTTTATTTGGTTATTGTCTTCATCTCGCGACATTTTTTTAAGAAAATCGATTTTGTCCCTTGTTCGCTTCTTCTGATCTTTAAAGAGATGGATGATTGTAAGATAATCTGGACCTTCGTTGCACCAAAAAATTTTTGTCAACTAAAAAATTTTAGGACAACTTATAAACCTCGAGGTTTATTTTCGAAGGAAAGCAGATAATTCAGGAATGTCGAGTAAAAAAAAAAGTTTCTAAAATTTAATTGAGTACAATTGTTTCATTATTCCATGAACATGGTCGATGGAATTCTTGTCCTAAAATATGCAACCACTTATTTGCCGCTGAAAATAAAATGAATGCCTTAATTATTAAGTCATTAAATGACTAAATCAGTTAAAAGTCAGTGAGAGTAAAATTAATTTTTTAAATTCTTGAAATCTTCAAATATTTTTAGAGATTCTAGTTCATACTTGATTTAAAAAAATAAAAATTAAATTAATTTCAACTGACTAACCCCATTTAAAACCGGAAATTACAGGACAGGCCGAATGCCTCGTTAAAAAATCTCTCTCTCCATTTGGTTGAAGATTGTACCAAAAAGCGGCAGCTCCTTTCTTTGGTTTGAGAGAAACATTTATTTCTGTAAAAACTGTGTTGCCTCCCTCTTCAACGTCATTAAACTAAAATAAAATTTTTTTCCAAGTTACATCAAATGTGAAAATAATATTTAAAAAAAAAATAATGAAAAGATTTACATAAAAAAGAACAGTAGCTATTCGGTTGCCAGTTCCAAGATGTTTGAATAGATCTATGTCTTCTTCCTGAATGTTTAAAATATAAAACACTGCAATACTTGTTAGTGGATAAAATGCAATATTTTGGAAAATGTTGATAAGAAAAAAATATAAATCTTTTTTTAAAAACTACTGAAAATTAAAAAAAAATTCAACAACTTACGACAGCAAAATCATAATGTGGCCTGTAATGACCCCCAACATCATAATAAGCCACTTGTAACTGTTCTGCTGTTTCCATATTCAATTGTGTCATGTCCCTTATTCGATAACTTAAATCTTCTACGATTATACTCTCAGAATCGAGTAACCATCCAGTTTTAGTGTCCCTAAATGTTGGGTCCACATCAATCGAACCTGATTTAACATTTCTGAATCCTGCTGTTGCAAACTAAAAATACCACAAAATTCTCATATCACTTCTATTCTGCCTACCAAATAAAAATAGTTTCTAAAATTTTTGTAAAAAGAATTGTTTAAAATTGTCGCGATTTTTTGTCGAAAACATGTTCGTTAGCATCAGTATGGAGATTTAAACAATTCTTTCAAGTTTTGAAAATCAAGAAAAATACCTTGGGTTTTGCTAAATTTTTTATGATATCAATTTCTTTGTCAGAAATGACGTCATGGAGCAAAAGAATTCTAGGTTCCAAAAATATTTCCTCTTCCTTGAAGGGTGCTATTTTTAAAAATGGAATACCCCTATTGACATACCTACATCTCAGGTGCTTTTGAATTTCCAGTGGTTGAAAAATTTCTCGAGCGCAAAGAAATTCACGCCTCTCTAGTTCTGGCATTTCTTTTAATTCTTTAATCTTATCATTCGTAAGAATAATTTTCTAAAAAGTGGATTAATTTCCGAAATTAATATTTTTTTCGACAAATTTTTTTTTTAATTCATTCTTTACAATTTACAAAAACTATTTAAAGTAATATGATTGAATTGATCACTTAGCAGTATTTAATAATTGAAAATCACAATTTATCAATCACTCCTATTTTTTTTTTTTTTTTGACTCGGAGTGGTCGATAAATTCTGATTTTTTAATTATTTAAAATAATATTTGATAATGTCACGATATAGGTTTCTTGTCTTTAGTTATATTAGGAAAAAATAGTTCTAAGAAATTAGTAAAAATTGATTTTTTTTTTTTTTTTTTTTTTTTTTTTTAAATTGGAGTAGTTGATAAATTCTGATTTTTAATTATCTAAAGTAATATTTCATAAATTCACGAAATACTTTTCTTGACTTTAGTAATATTAGGAAAAATAGTTCTAAAGAATTAGAGAAAATTGAAAATTATTAAACATTAAAATTATTAGAAATAAAATAAAAAAATAATACTACCTCAATTGCTTGGCTCTCATGTCCGCCACAACCCTGTGTTGGATAAATAATATCAAGAAATTCCTCTACTACATTACCAAAAACAAAATAATTTTCAAAATTGTTGATATTTAAAAAAAGCACTCCAGTGAGACACAATTTATTAAAAAATGCAGTTTTCATTTTATTTTTTGGAAAAAGTTAAACTTTTGACACCTGTAATAAATAATAATTCATAGTTAATTCGTCTGATATTGAATTTAAGAAAATAATTAAAATAAGATGTTTCTACATAAAAAGTAATTAATCAGAATTTAATTAGAAATTAAATTTAATTAAATAATAATTAATTAGAATAATTATAGTTTTTGCAATTTATTTTCTTGTAATTTACTTTATTACATTTTTGAACAGATGTTTTAGCACATAATTAATTAAAACGTTATAAAGTTACGATAAGATAAGGATAATATTAAAAAGTCACTTCTTTCATATTTCGGCACTACATTTTCATTTAATAAAAAATATAAAAAATTTCTTCAATAATTTTTCAGAAATAATGTAACATTAAATAAATTATTCTTTATAACTAATAACTTCATAACTGATTTATATTTCACAATTTTTAAATTTAAAATTGATAATGTAAGGCGATTAAATATCATTTCAGGAAGAATATTTTTATAGTCCTCGAATTGATAATTGAAGGTCATACATTTAATTTCCGCTTCATATTTAAAATATTATTCACACAACTATTTTTCAACGAAAAAAGATTTAATATTTTAAATTTAGAAATTTTTTACTTACAGTTTATATAAAAATTAAATTTTAAATTTACTCACCTTCTTCTTAACTCTGAATAAATGAGATGATTTTTTTTAAAATGAATAAAAATAAGGAAATTTTATCGCAATATTACTGTCATAAAGTATTTTGTTTAAATAACATTCAAAAATATTTTTATATTTTCCTCTTATTTTTTTTTATTACTGTAAATTCCACTTGAAACAATAAATGACATAATAATAAAAATACACTGTGAGGAATGTTTTGTTGATCTCCAAGTGTTAATGAATTTTTTTAAAAGGGAAAAATTTTTTTTAATTTATAATTAATTTATTAAATCTGAACGTTAATTAATATTTCATTTTTTTCAGTTTTCAAATTTTTTCATTTAAAAATTTTAATTGTTATTTAATTTTTGATATTTTTAATTGTTACTGTTTTTATAAGACACTGCGTCGTAGGAAGTAGGATTTTATAATTAGTATTAAACCTGAAGCTGAATTTTTATCTGAAGGTAAGAGACATTTTTTTTTTTTTTTTTTTTTTTTTTTTTTTTTTTTTTATTTTTATTAACGATTAAGAATTTTAAGTAAAAATTAAAACATTCAAAATGGCGGATCCAATATGGAAGACGAAAAAATTATATTTCTAGTAACATAACCTAAGTGCAACAAATTTATTGTAATGTTATGTCCAGAAGGGACAATAGAAGATAATTAAATATTAATAAATATTTCGCATTACATTTATAATCTATTTTCTATTAATAAATAATTATTTATTATATTTTCAAATTGTTTATTAAAATAATCACATTATGAACTTATTTTACAAAATACATTTACTTTTTTCTAGTAATTTTAGGAGATTCGCTTATTATGCTAGTATAAAGTATTTTTAATTTAATTTCCTTTTATATAACTAAAATTAATTTAATACTATTGTTTCATTATTCCATGAACAAGGTCGATGAAATTCTTGTCCAAATATATGCAACCATTTATTTGCCGCTGAAAATAATAATATTTTATAAAATGAAATTTCAAAATTTATTAAATACCTGATTGTAGAAGTAGAGTCTGTTATTATTTTTAAATATTAGAATAGTTGAATTTATTTCAATTTTTCAATATTTAGGATGATTTCAAGTTATTCTACTTTAAATTTAATACAAAATGTGAATGTTAATAAAAAGAGTAATTTTTTTTTTTTTTTTTTAAATAATTAAAAGAAGTTACCCCATTTGACACCAGATAATACGGGGCAAGCTGAGTGTAAAGTTAAATAATCTCTTTCTCCATCTGGTTTAAGATTGTACCAAAATGCTGCAGCTCCTTTTTTTGGTTTAATAGAAAGATTTATTTCTGTAAAAACTGTATTTCCTCCTTCTTCAACCTCATTAAACTGCAAAGGATGTTTTTTATATTAAAATACAAAATTGGATAAATTCGACGCTGAGGATTCTTTGACTAAAAAAATATTTATAACACTTACATAAAAAAGTACAGTAGCAATTCTATTTCCAGTTCCAAGTTCTTTAAACATTTCTGAGTCATCAAACTAAAGTGAAATATTTTTAAATTAATAGTTAATGAAATTTAAAAAAAAAAAAAAAAAAAAAAAAAAAAAAAAAATTGTGCTCTATTTGTAAATTAATATTATTTATTAGAAGTAGTTATCATTTTTTATATTTCTGAAAGTAAAAGTCAAGGGTATGATAAAAAATATTTAAAAGTATGCTAATTTTAACATACTTACAAGAGCAAAATCAAAATGGGGCCTATAATGACCTCCAGTTTCGTAATAGGCGATCTGTAATTGCTCTGCTGTTTCCATATTCAACTGAGTCATGTCACCTATTCTTGTACTTAATCTATGTACAAATCTATGATCCATATCATGTAACCAGCCTGTTTGGGTGTCCCTCAACTTGGCATCCACTTCAATCATACCAGATTCAACATTTTTAAATCCAGCAGCTGCAAACTTTAATTTTAATTTTTTTCTTTTATTTATGAACATAAAAAATGGACTTGAGGATTTTCATAACATTTAATAATTAATAATTCATAATTTAATAACATTTAATAATAAATAATTAAAAATGTAATAACATTTAATAATTAATAATTAAAAATGTAATAACATTTAATAATTAAAAAATGTAAAAATTAAAATTAAATTTAAAATTTAAAAATGTAATAACATTTAATAATTAATAATTAAAAATTTAACAACATTTAATAATTAATAATTAATAATTTAATAACATTTAATAATTAACTAAATTCTAAAATCAGAAATAAAAAATGGAATACCTCCGGTTTAGCTAAAGCTGTAATAAGATCAATTTCTGCATCAGAAATGATGTCATGAAATAAAAGGATTCTGGGTTCCAAATAAAGTTCCTCTTCCTTAAAGGGTGCTATTTGTAAAAATGGATCTCCCCTATTGACATATCTACATCTTAATTGTTTTTGCATTTCCACTGGTTGTAAAACATTTCTACTGCAAAGAAAATCTAATCTTTCATGTTCGGGCATCTCTTTCAATTCTTTAATTTTATCCTTCGTTAGAATAATTTCCTATAAAAGGAATTCATTTTTATATTTAAGGATATTTTTTCAAGTGTTCTTTTTAATTTTTATATTTAATGTCAAAAAATTTTCATTTATTTTAATAATAATAAATTTAAAAAAAAAATTCATTTTAAATTAAAAATTTATATTTTAAGAAGAACATTAATAATTGTACAACCGTACCTCAACTTCTTTGCTTTCACCGCATCCCTTCCAGGGATAAATACTGTCAAGAAATTCTTCTACTGCATTACCAGAAGCAAAACAATTTTTAAAATTTTCTATATTTAAAAAAGTGAGTAAACCAGTTAAAAGCAATTTTTTTAAAAGTGAATTTTTCATTTTAATTTTAGAAAAAATTTGCCCTTCGATACCTGTAAGAAAAATTATTTTAAGAAAGATAAAAATTTTTATTTTAAATTTTTAAATTTTTTAAATTTCTACTACACTTTCAAATTTTTGAACTCTTTTTAAGGTTTTTTTTAATTAACTAAAACAATAATTAATGGACAGCTTTAAAAATTAAATATAAAGTGTAGGCAATTTTATACTTACCTTCTGCTTCAATATGCAAAGTGATGAGATAATTTTTTTGAAATGAATAAAGTGAGGAAAAATTAAGCGTAATATTACAGTGATAAAATATTTTTCTTTAAATATTCAAAAAAAAAGTCCTAATGTTTTTCCTCTTATTCTTCATTACTGTAAACTCCACTTGAAACAATAAAAATAAAAACCGACAAGCAAGTAATAAAAACGTAAAAATAATATTCATTTTTTTTTATTAAAAACATTGTTACGTTGTCAAAATAAATTGACAGGTGTAACTGACATCCACTTTTTGGAAATTAAATTTGAAAGAATAAATATTTTAAGAAGCTGAAACTTGTACTTCGTTATCAGCATCTATTTATGCATTTAAAAAAAGTTTTTTTTTTGTTTCTAAAACAAGAAATAATATTTTACAATTTCTAAAATTAAGTGAATTGTTTCAAACAGCAACAAAATTTACAAAACAAATTTACGAAAAAAATTTTTAATTCTAATTTCTAAAATAAAAAAGTTTAGAAATAAATTTTATTTATACAACTCGATTCGATTTTACATTTTTTTTTTTCAAATTCAATTGTAAATTAGAAACGAAAAATTCGCGAACTTCCAGTTTTCTTATTATCAGATTGCGTTCCCTCGGACTTGACATTCGGTCGTTTTCGATATTCAAAAAGAAAAAGATCCCTCGAATATAAATATTCAACTTGAGCATTATTTGTTTCCAAACTCGGTTTCTCGTGAACAAAATCTGTACATCCACTTTTTACATTAATATCCTTTGGATTATTATTATTATTATTCACAAGCGTCGAATTTTTTTGAAATTTATTTATCATCATTGGAGTATGCGACTGACTTTGACCATAAATTTTTCTCTCGAGATTTTTTCCAGAATTTATTTTATTTATTGATGAAAATGTCGAAATTTCGTTTGTCACTGTTTCTAAGGATGATGCTGAATATTCAAATTCAAGACTAATTTCATCTAAAGTTTTTTGCTTTTTTTCGATTATTGATGATTCATTATTTTTGAGACTTGTTTCAGAAACACTTATGGAATTTATCGAATTACTTGGAAATTGATGAGCATGAAGTTTTGGATAATGAACAATTAAGCGTGGTGCTTTTTCAATTTTGTGTCGACTTTTACTGGAATAATAATGAAATGCTCTGCACAGCATCCAAGGATCTTCCTTTAAAGTGAAAGAAAATAAATAGCCATAGAAAGTGGTTTATTAATTTTAATCTTAAAGGATAATTACATTTTCTTCAATAAAAAAAAAAAAAAAAAAAAAACCGAAAACAATCCTAGGTTGACAAAAAACCAATAAGCAAAAGTAGCACGTATTTTTAGTCATAATTTATTTAATTTCTTATCTTAAGGTTATAATTACTTTAATAATTATTTATTTTGTTATTAATCTATTCCAAATATTTATCAAATTAAATTTATTATTTTTAAACCCTAACGTTGTGGAATAGATAGCAGAACACTGAGTATAATTAATAATTAATCTGAATTACTTACGAGTAAATAATGAAATTGAATAAAGAATGGAAGAATTATGACAATGGTTAAAATCAGTGTAGTTAGTTCCATCGTTTTTGCCGAAAGGAAATGTTGAAAATTGCATTTTTAAAAATTTAAAGCTTCTACATTATTTCAAAGCAGAAAAAAGTTGCATCCCTTTGGATGCTTTATCGGCATATTTGATTAGCTTTTTTTAGAAAATTTTTTGACAATAGTAATAATAACCTGAACATTTCTTTAATTCGCAACTATTGGCTCATTTGTTTTTATTATTCCAGATGTTCACAAAACTTCAATTTTTATTCAATAATATTTTTTTATAATTTACATAAGTATTACGAATTAATTTGCCTTATCGGTAAAATTTCTGAAGGAAGAAAACAAAATATGATCTCTTTTATTTTAATTTTGGGTCCCCAACTGTCCAATACAGGAATTGGAAATTGAAAAAATAATAACAATCTGACAATCTTTCTTGAAACCTAATCCCTAATATCAGAGCCTTCCCCTCTGTTAATAAATCAGGTTTGAATCAATACCAGACAATTTAAATAAATAATTTTAGGATATGTTGCTTTTGTTCTGAGACATAACATTAAAAAACTTTGCAACAGAGAAGATACCAAAAAACAGCTCCACTAAAATCATGATATCTTGGAGCAAAATGAAGCAGAGATTTATTTCCTCCAAAGTTTATAGTAATGCAAACACACCTCTCCAATAAAAGCAACAAGGGACGAACAAAATCCAAAGCCAAAAATAACCATCATGTTTTGATAAATCTGCAGATTCGATGAATCGCCATCAGAATTAAAAGCATCAGCCATTGTAGGTTTCTCTGTCTCAGTACCAAAGTACTTCTCATACCACTTGTAAGGAATTCCCGTCTGCTGAAATCTTGTTAACAACATTCTAAATCTTAACTCATACGGAAAACCCGGTTCACATTTCAAACAACTCAATAAATCCGTCAAATAATCATTAACCCTATGCATTGAAATCGCCGCCTTCTTCTTTCTAGCTTCCTTAATTCCCAAATCAGCAATTGTCGATCTCATAAAACATGTCACATTTCCATTCGTTGATAAATACTCCAAACATTTCTTATCCGTATTCACAACAATAATAGATCTATTGATATATTTCGCAATATGCAATTTACTAGCATCAAACAGTGGTTCCACGTTTGGAAAAATTACTGGTGTTAAATTTGACGCGTATAATTCTTCCATCGTGTCAATTACAACAATCGGTTGCTTATGCAAATTAATACTTGTAAAGGCAGAAAAAATTTCCGTCGAAAACAAAAAGTAGGTGAAAAGAGTAGATGTGAGAAAAATTCTTTCTGCTGATTCACTGGGTGATGATGAAGAACTCATTCCAAGCATCATTTTGAAAAGTTCGATCATTCGCCAATTCGCAACTGCAAATTTGACGACGTGAGCGAAAAGCCATGCCATTACCAACAAGATAACCATTGTCATCAAATAGGAAACCTTCATTCCAACGGATATTGAAACATTATCAGCTGACAATGTTGGTGTCACTGGTGAATAGTAAATATTCTGAAAACTCAGCTCTATGTACTTGATCACTTTCAACATACATTCGGACATGAATCTACCAGATTGTACACCGACAAAATTGATATGATTGTAAAGTAATGCGCGAGTTATGCCAACGTTGCCCTCTTTCTCGCATACACTACGATCCCAACTATTTTTCGTTGAAACTATTTCCATAACTCGAAAATTCATCGTTTCGGAAAGGATCCTCACAAGCTGATAATCGGGTCCATCTAAATTGACGACATCTCCTGATTTGTTCCTAGTAACTACGACATAGGGCGGATAGTGGAAGTATCCAACCTTCAATTTGTATCCATGAAGATTTATCACCTTCTCAGGAAACAATTCCCCTTCTAACGAAATTTCCCTCTCTGTAAATCGAGCTGTAAACGGATTCAAGTAATGCTGCAAAATCAAGTTCATACTTGGGTTCGTCGAAATAAGATTTTCATTTCTACTCCTGTGGATTAATTCCAAAATAGTCACGTCTAAAAAGTTTCGTTCCCACATAAATTTGAGCAAGTTTCGATAATTTCTGCCAATTTGGACTTTTTCGATTATTAAAAGCTTTGGTCTCTGATTTGCATGAATTAGTTCGGTGAAAAAGTTCAGTATTCCCATATCGTCTGGTAGGGAATTATTTGGAAAAAAGTTCATTGAATTGAAACTGATTACAATTAGTGTTGAACGAGTGGTCATGAACATTGGCAATGCGGACAATTTCAAACCTAGTTTTTCATTTGCATTTTTGTGAGGAATGATAATAGACGGTATGTGAGTTGCAACTTTTGATAAATCAAAGGATTCGGTTTTACTTTCGACTAACCACATAATCTGTCTTATTCTTGAATCTTTTTCGATGGTTTTCATCAGAAAGGTGGGTAAGTCAATGCTTCCTGATGGTACAAATCCATTGGTTGTTTTAAACAACAATGCCAGTGAGATAACGAATGCTAATTCCATTCTGAAAAAAAGTTTCTTATTTAATAGTTCCGAAAAATTGAGATCGATAGTTAAATCCAACGGATTTGGAAAGGAATGTAAAATTCTACGTTAGGGTAAACATTGCTCTAGGTTTTTAAAATGTTTTAAAGTTGTTAATTCCCTACAAGAAAGTTTATGTGTTGAATAAGAAAGTTTGGTGAGGTACAGGGAATTCTATTTACCTAGTAATGGAGAATTTCCTTTCCAAAACTGCTTTTACAATAAATTCTGTTTCTCCAAAGTTTGTCTTTTGGTATGTAAGAGGAATTCCACTTGACGTATAACGTCTTCCTTTGAAATATTCCTACCTATTAGGTTGAGCTAAAAGGTCAATAATATAAAAAATTCCTATTCAACTTAATAGATGTTGATATTTGCGCTAAGAGAAAATAAAAAATAAACATAAACTGGTGGCATGTACATAAATACCTATTTGTCCAAAGACCGATTTTTTGAGTCCAAGGCAACTCTTGTTCAATTTTGTAGTTATTTTCCATTAGAAAGACAAACTAAGTGCAAAGTTTATAGCATAGAAAATTCTTTGCAATTTTAGCGATCGATTTCTAGAGTTCATGGCTACTTGTATTCTTTGAAGTTATTTTCGAAAAGAGTGTATGGTTATTTTTTTCTGTATTTTTTCACAAATGTTATTATATTAACAATATTAATTTATTTTAATAAATTAGTCAATTACTCCATTTTAATAAAAAGGATACATAAGGGAGTATCGATATCAACATTTTACGAAGAATAAATAAATTCAAAAAAGAAAATGCGTCTTTAAATAAAATTAAGTACAAAGAAATGCATAACGAAGATTAAAAGGAATATCGCAAGTTGGGAAATTCCATTATCATACATCAGGATGCTTGGTTTCAACGAAGAGGCTGCACTACCTGCCATTTTCTGCACCAATAAAAACGAAATTAGATTGTGATACAAATATAACAATTTTTTGGTTTACTATCTACAGGCTAAACAAATTAAAAAAAATTTTGACTAGAATAATATTTTTGTAAACTTTAAAAGTTAAAAAATAAATTCCTTCAAACTGAATTTTGTTTACTTTATTCCTGTGTCTCAAAAAAATTCATGAAAAATAGATTTAAAAATGTACAAAAAAGACCTCAAGGGTCCTCAAGGATCACTCCTTAATTCCACATTAATTTTTTGTCAATACACTTACAGCTTCAATTTTTTCAAGCTGAAAAAACGAAAAGAAATTTTTTTATTAACAAATTATTAAGTATTTATAAAATTAAATATATTTAGCTTATTATAAGGTTACACGTACATCATTTAGTAGCCCCTAAGAATGTAGCAAAAAGAAAATGTCACGTTAATTCTTATGATGAGAATAAAAAGATAAAACAAAAAATTTGATATTTAATTGCTTTGCAATAAATTCTTGATACACTTACGACATTATATTGTTTCTGAAAAATATCGTAAAAAGAAGTGAGAAAAATTCTAAACAGTATGAAATTGAAACTTTCTTGTTAACATTTTATTTTAAATAATAATAATAATAAATAAACAATAAAAAAGTTCACATTATAGATAAGTCACACTTACCAATTGTAATAGTTCCTAAAGAAAAATAAATTAATGTTAATTGTAAAGATTAGAACAAAAGAAATGTTCATAGAATATTAATGATATAATATGCAAAATTTCTTGAAAATATTAATTTACATTTTAATCTTTATTTAATTAGATATTAATTTTTCTATTTATCAAAATTCACTTACAAACATTTCTTCTTCCTGTCATAAAATAAAAAAAATGTTAATTATTCAAAGAAAACCAAATTGAATAAAAATAACATTCGTGGGTATATAATAGCGGGTAATAACAGAATTTTCAAATATTCACGAATAAAAAATGTATAATATTTTTTTTTAATTCTGTAATACTTACCATCTTTTTTCTGTCCTAAAGAAAACGAAATAAAAAAGGGATAAAAGAATCTATTATAATTATTAGGTTCAGAATAAAAAAATTATAAAACAATTTTATATTAAAAAATAAATTAAAAACGTACCTATACCATCAGATGTTAATTTTTATAACTTTCAAATACACTTACGGAACGAACTTTTTGCTGCAAATAAAAAAAAACTTAAATGCTTTAATTTAGAGTCAGATGTTCAGGTGGTAATTATATCGATATGGTTGTTGATAAATAATTTATAATTTAAGGTTATATTTACCTGCAAGTCATAAGTCTGTAGGGGACAAAAGAGAGTATTATTTTCATTTGTTTTCATCCAAATAAAATATATTCGCAAAGTCATTCAAATTTTGCTGTTTTGTATTATTTATGTTTTTTAAAATTGAAATAATTCCAAAATGTACCCCAAATGAAATACAACGCTAAATATTATTTCAAAATAATTTTAATTTATTATATTTAATACTTTAATAGGCGAATACCTCTTGATCTTTGTAATTTTTAATCTGATGAACTATCTGAAAAAGGCGGAATATTACTTGATTATGTTAAAAAAAAATTAAAATTTACACTCATTGTCAATTTTTTATGATGAGGCGATGATTTTAATTATAATGACTCTTAAATGAAACTTACTGATAAAAATTTAAATATAATTATTTTTAAAAGTTAAATATACCAAATTTTTCTCCTCCTAAAAACAAAAAGGCTTGCATGTTAGTTTTGAAGATAAGATTAAAAAATGAGCTAATTATATGAAAATGTTAATGCAAATATACATTTTCTTTAATTAAATATTAATTTTTTTTTGTCAATACACTTACTTCTTCATATGCTGCTTTCTAGAAAAAAATTGATTATTTTTAAAAAATATTAAAAAGAATAGGATAAAAGTATATCAATTGTCAAAGATATATCTATTTTTCGATTAATAATATTTATTTTCAGTTATAGGTTTAAAGTTACCATCATTGTTATGTTCTAAAAGAAATAAAAGAAAGAATTGTTAATTTTTCGAAGATGAGAATAAAAAATTGTTTATAAAATATTTTAATTTAGTAAAATTTAGTGAAAACATTTCTCGTTTCATGTTTGAAAATGTTTTCAATTTTCCATATACTTACTTCTTTCAACTCTTCCTGAAAAATAAACTAATTAATATTAAGTGATTACAAAAAAAAATAATTATGATCAGCATCATGAAAATAATTTTTAAACTAATTATTCATTTTTAAATCAAATTCCACTTACTATTCGGTTGTCATTCTAAAAAAAAACAAAGAAAGTTGGCATATTAATTCACAAGAAGTAAAATAAAAGTAAAATAAAAAGTATTTGTAACTTCAAAATTAAAATTATTCGAAAACAAATAAATAATTTATTGAATAATAATTGAATGTTTCTTTAAATAAAATTTTCAAAATGAATTTTTCAAAAAAAATTTTTTTTAATAATTGAATTTTTTCGACGAATTTAAATAAAATTTTCAAGAATATTATACATTTTTCGAGAAATTCGATTAAAATTGTATTAAAAATAATTGAAATTCTATTATGAGTTTTATTATTCATGAAAATAATTGAATTCCTATAAAGAAAAATTATTATTTTTGAAAATAATTGAATTATTATGAAGAAATTTATAAAAAAGTTTTGTAAATAATTGAATTTCTGTGAATTATTTAAAAAATTAATTTTATTTTATTAATTTATTATTATTAAAAAAATATTTATTTATTTTCTTATTTATTATTATTTATTAATTTATTTAATTTTATTCAATTCGACATATTTTATTTATTTTTTTATGTACTTACATCATTTAATAGTGCCTGGAAAAGAAATTAGAAAGTGATGTCGATTATTGTGTTCAGAATACTAACTGTTCGTAAAATTTGACAATTTTGAGCAAATTTTTAGAAAAAGATGAATTGATGATTTTTTTATAAGCAATTATATTATTCTTACTCTTAGAATTTCAAACTGTAAGGAAAAAAGATGACACATGTTAGTTATTGTTTAAAAATATTTTTTGTTTTTAATATGGTGAGTGAAAATTACAATTTTATTTCACTTTTTCATTTTTAATTAATTTTATTAATGATTGTATTTTATATATTTTTGTAGTTCCTGCAGAGAAGTTTATGATTTAACTTGAAACGTTGGACTGTTAAAAAATAAAAGTAACATTTTTGTCCAAATGTGTCGTTTTTATTAAAAAAAAAAAAAAAAAAAATCCATTATTTGAAATATTCTTATACTAACAAGTAATACATGTATTTTTCATCAACAATAATTACCTGATCGGATGCATAAGAAGACAGAATATAAATGCAACTAAAAGTTAAAAAAATAATTGAAAATTGTTTCATTTTCACTTTTATTTTAGAACAATGTTGAATATTTTACAGTGGAAAATAGATTCACGAAACTCGTCTTTATATACTAGTTTTATGTTCTTTTATAATGTAGCTATAACAACCGATATTGAAAACGTGTTCTTTTTATACTTTCGTACATTTTTTTTAAGTCCAACAGTTTCAAACAATAATGGGACTAAAAAATAAAACAGTAATTTTGCTATCAAAGGTAATGCAATTTCGTAGAATATAAGTCTTTACAAAATTTGAAATAAGAAAGAAAATAATTATGTGCTATGGAAAGTAGTAGATATCACAAATGATAAATTTTATTTTCTCAAAACGAAATTTTTTAAGAGTTTAAAATATTGAAAAATATTTTTAAATTTACAGCGAAGATGACGTGGAAATATTAAGAGAACCAATCACTTAGGTATGCAATATGCAACGTGTCGATCTCAAGGTAACGGAATTTTTTTTTTTTTTTTTTTTATTGCAATAATGTGATTGGTTCTCGAAAACTGTACAATATGGTCAAACTAACAAAAAAAAGAAACAGACGCAGAAATTCAACAGCGCGAAGATTTGACACAATAATATAAAAGTAATTCCCCAATGAACATAACAATCGAACAACTAAATCCAACGCTCAAAATAAAGATGATGTTCTGATAAACCTGCAAATTTGATGCATCGCTTTCTGAATTTAAAGTTTCAGCTTTCGTTGCTCCTTGAATGGTACTTTTTAGATATTTCTCCTGCCACCGATAAGGAATTCCAGTTTGTTGTAATCTCGAAAATATTATCTTGAATCTAGACTCGTACGGAAAGGCAGGTTCACATTTCAAAGAACTCATCAAAACCGAAATAGGTTCTTTCACCTTGTGCATTACACCACCACCAACTTCTTCCTCAATTTTTTTAATTTCCATTTCCGCTTGGGTAGATCTCATGAAACATGTTATGTTCCTATACTTTGCCAAATAGTAAATACATTCCTTGTCTGTGATGGCAACCATGGAGGCTCGTTTCACATAGTGGGCAACTTTCAAATTATCAAGTTCGAAAAGTTGTAGGACATTCTTATGAATTGTGGGTGTGAAATTCGATGAGTACAGATCATTCAGTGAATCGATTAGGTTACTCGATTCCTTCTCTAAATTAAGACTAGTGAAGGCTGTGAAAATTACGGATGATTGGAAAAAGCAAACGGTGAGCACGCAGATGAATAGTAGACGTTCTTTTAGTTGACGTGGTACTCTTGGAACACTCATTCCCAGCATCATTCTAAACATGTCAATCATTTGCCAATTCCGAAGTTCGAATTGCATCAGATTTGAAGAAAGCCACAAAATCGTAAGGAGGAACGTAATCGATATCAAGTAGGATACTTTGAATTCTATCGAAAGTCTGACATCATCTCCAGACAATGTTGGCGCAACTGCTGAATAGTAGATTTTTCCAAAAGACAAGTCGATGTACTTTATCAAATTCTTCAAACAGGGAACTATCAATCTACCCGTTTGTACAGCAACAAAATTAATTTCATTAAACATTAGGGCTCGAGTAAAACCTGTATTCTCTTCCTTTATACATGAATTAACATCCCAGATTGTCTTATTCGAAATTATTTCCAACACTTCAAAATTCATAGCGTCAGACAGAATTCCCACTAGTTGATAATCAGGTCCATCTAGTTTTCCAACATGTCCGGATTTGTTTCGACTAATTGTGAAATAGGGCGGATAGTGGAAATACCCGATTTTCAATTTGTACCCCTGGAGATTTATCAACTTATCCGGAAACAATTCCCTTTCGAAAGAAATTTTTCGTTTTGTAAACTCCCCCATGAACGGATTGTAAAAATGTTGTGTCACTGATTCTACATTTAGGTTTAGAATAAATTTTTCATTTTTACTCTTTTGGGGAATTAACTCCAAAACCGTGACGTCCAAGAAGTTTCTATTCCACAAACTTTTGAGAACTTTTCGATAGTTTTTGGCGACTGGTACTTTTTCGATTATTAACAGTTTTGGTCTTTGTTCCACTTGAACCAAATGGGTCAGAAAGTCCATAAGAGCTAAATCGTTCGCCTGGATGTTTATGGAGAAAGTTACAATTAAAGTTGATCGGGAATTTTTGAACCCTGACAATGTACTTAATTCTTGAGCTAAATTTACGTTCGCGATTTTTTTATCAATAATAACAGATGGAAATGCTGTTTTATGATCAATAGGAACAGATGGAAATTGTATTGGAAGATGATAAGAATTGTTAATTATCCACATTATCTGATTTAATGTTGGATCACTTTCGACTTTTTTGATTAGAAAAGAGGAAATGTCGATACTTGCCTGGATTATTTGAGTTGTGTACAGAAGAAAAGTGAGAAGAGCTACAAATTCCATTATTTCTGGAACTAAAAATTAACCATTAGCAAAAAGAAAAACTAACTTCGAAAAAGATTGACTATTGTTAATATTCACCTTACTTCTCAATACGTTCGTTTCAAAGGGAATATTTTTTTTAAAGGCAAAAAGTAATACCACTTTCGTTAAATCAATTTTCGAAGTGCTTTGCAAAGTTCCCCACCTTTGATCGAACTACGGATAGTTATCGATTTGTAAGTTCAAGGCTAGAAGATGGGAAAATTAGATGTAGAATAGAAGAATTCATTGAAAACGGTAAAGTAGAAGTTCGCCAATAAATGTCAAGATCGAGCACACAAATCCAAAACCAAGAATAAAGATCATCTGTCTAATTAGTGAACTTTCATCCGTTTCTGAAAGTACAGATTTTTCCAAATCGGTGTTAAAATATTTAGCGTACCACTTATTCGCTATTCCGGATTCTTGCAATCTGGTAAATATCTTGCGGAAAATTGCCACATACGGAAATCCAGGTTCAGCCACGAAGGAATTGGTAAGTTGTGCCAAATTTTCCTTCACCTTATGAATTACCGGACGACCATCAACCATCAAAGAATTCGCCAGCAGGGTCGCTTTGAATTCCCTCATGAAACATGTCACATTTTTGTACTTTCGCAAATACTCGATACATTCTTCATCAGTGCTGGCAACATTTGATGATTTTCGGATATATTTTAATCCGTCTACTTCGTCAAGTGTTTCGAAGATTAAAAACAAATTCGAGTGAACGATTGGCGTGAGATTCGATGAATACAATTCGTTCATTGTATCAATTACGGAAGCTTTTCTCCTCCCCAAGTTAATGCTGGTAAAGGATGAAAATATTTCGGACGAATAGAGACAACAGGTGATGAGTATGCTGGCAAAAAAGATCCTCTCTGCGGCCCTCTTCGGCTCATGCAGAACACCAATTCCCAGCATCATTCGAAACAAATTCATCATTTGCCAATTTTCCGTTTCGAAGTGCACGATTTTTGGGAAGATCCAAATTATCATTAGTAAAGATACTATTGATAATAGGAACGATACTTTAAATTCTACCGAAAGTAGAGTAGTTTCTACGGATGTAATTGGCGTTACTGCTGAATAGTAGAAGGTTCCCAAATTATTTTCCAAATGTTTGACAAATTTATCATAACAGGGATTGATCAACCTGCCGGTTTGAACGCCAATCAATTGAATCTCATTGTACATTAAAGCACGACTAAGTCCGGTGTTCTTTTCCTTTTCACATCTATCAATATCCCAACCGGTCTTGTTAGAAACAACTTCCGAGATTCTAAAATTCATCACTTCGGAAAAAATCTTCAGTAGCTGATAATCGAATCCTTCTAAACGTAAAACATCTGATTTGTTTCGTACAATTGAGACATAGGGTGGAAAGTGGAAGTATCCCACCTTTATTTGATGACCATGGAGATTTTTCAATTTATCAGGAAACAAATCCATCTTTACTGAAAGTCTCTTTTTTGTAAATTTTCGTGTAAAGGGATTAAAGTAGCGTTGAATAACAGACTCACTTTTACCTCGTTCTTGAATCAAAGATGTCACATCCAAAAAGTTTCTGCTCCACATCACTTTGAGAAATTTTCGATGATAACTTTTGCTTGCATTTCCTGTTGTGATCATCAAAACTTTTGGTCTTTGTTCAATTCCAATTAGTTGTGTCAAGAAATTTTCCAGAACCGAATTGTTTAATCCAAGTTTCACTGATGGTAGACTTATTGCAATTAATGTTGACTGAGGATTGTTGTATCTACTCAATTCTCGAGCTAATTTTTCCGTAGCTTTTTGGTACCCAATTGCAATAGTTGGCAATTTTGTTGTAATTATTGGCAAATCGGAACAATCACTACTGTTGAATAACAAAATAATTTGCCTGAACTTTGAATCAGTAAATTTATCAATAACGAATGGAAATTCGGGAATCTCAAAGCAAGACGAAAACCAATTTGTTCCGTAAAGAAAAAAAAGGGATACAAGAACTATCGGAGCCATTCTCATCCTAAATGGGTTTTCTTTTAAAATAGTAATAAAATCCTGATGTCAGTTTTAGGCTTTTGTAGAAAATTCGATTCAAACGTTTTTACCACAAATAATGTTGTCAAGAATAGAAGGAAAACTAATGTTACTAAATTTTTGTTGTAAATGTAATGATATAGGTCAAAGATTAGGACAAATTTTTAAATATCAATAACAAGATCTCCAATAGTTTACAAAATCTATTTGCAAATATTGTAAAAACATTGCAACAACTGTTGCAAAATGTTGTTTTGTTTCTACAAACAATAGAAATTAATCTATTATTGGTTTTTTATAAAATGAACAGATAATTTGGAAAAGAAAAATTATTACTCTTCTAAAATGGATATAAATATATAATTCACTCGAGAGACAGAATTTTAACAAAATTAATTATTATTACTGGGAGTTGATTAAAAATAATTAGAAGTTTTAGAAAAAATAATTTATTCCATCTTAAAGACTTATAACAGAAATAGTAGAAAACGCTGTACAAAAATATTCTAAACCTACAAGAAAGAAAACGATAATAAAACATTGTATTTAAAATACACGTATAGAAAATCTTACAACAAAAGAAGAAGAAAAATTAAATATTAAAAGTCGTTTCTCAATCATCTTTACTCTCAGCCCCTTGTCTCGCTAATTTATCCGCCATTTCGTTTCCGTGAATTCCTCTATGACCACGAACATGATTCTGAAAATAAAATATAACTTAAAAATTAGTCTTCGTATTATAAAGTGGTAAGTAAAAAATTTTTTCTCTTAATTTGGAAAAAAATCTTTTTTTAAAAGAAGAGAATTTTCCTCTTCTTTAAAAAATGAGAATTTTTTTTCCAAATTAAAATAAAAATCGCTACAGAGCGAAACAGTGAAATACCCAAGAAACTTGAAGCGGCGCAGTTGCAGATTCCATTTCTAAAAGTTCTTCCTTATTAATCACTGGACGTCCATCAGAAGTCTTCCAACCTCTGGCCTTCCAATTTTTCATCCATTTTGTTTTACAATTAATGAGAAATTGTGAGTCTGTGTTGATTTTCAATTTTTTAATTCCAGCTTTCTGTGCTTGTCTTGCTGCGATTGTTACCGCTTGAATTTCTGCCATATTATTTGTCTGGCGGCCGACAACAGCTCGCGAAACATTTCTTTGAAATAATTTTTAATTAATTAATTAAAAATTAATTATAATCAATTTTTAATTAATTGATTAAAATTAATTTTTTAACTCTATAGCGCAAAAAGGAGAGAAACAAAATACTATTATTTTAAATTAGAATTTAAAAATTTAAATTTCTTACAACGGATGATCGTCAGAGAACCAGACACCGATTCCTGCTCTTGCTTTTCTTTTCCCATTTTGAGAACACGCCCCATCGGTATAAACATTCACGAAGCCATTTTCATCTTCTTCTAAACCATGAGTTCCAATCTATTTTAATAATCGAAATAAACTTTTTTAGTTTTTACATTTAATTAACTGTAATTCAATTCATTATTAACTTTATAAGTTTATCGATTAAATTTTTACTTATTTAGATTTTGAATGTATTTAATTAAAGAATTTGAGTTTTTTTTAATTTAAAAATTTTTTTAATTCTCTTTTTTCCTTTGTAATTATTAAGTTAAAATTTATTTTAAAAAAATATAATTTTTACCTTTGAAGAAGTTTCAAAATTACTTGCTTCATATTTCGCACGCTTTTCTTCCCGATTGTCAAATAAATTCGGTTCAAACGGTCGTTTTACACTTGTGCTCGGGAAATTGCTTTTGCTATAAAAAAGAAGTAAATATTAATAAGATTTTAAATATAAAAAAGTAAATAAAATGAGAGGAAAAAGGAGAGAAAATTTTTTTTAAAAAAATATTATTTTCCAAAAAGGAAAATAGTCTGTCTTACGAATATGAATTTGTGTTGGATGATTTTCTTGAAGTATTTCCAAATGTGCTGACAAAATCTTCAGCTTCTTGTTTTGTATTGAACTTTTTGTATTTCGGTCCTGAAAATTGATGCACTTGTGCTTTACATTCATCCCTGTGGAAAATATTTGAAAAGAAATTAACATTATTATTATTATTGTTATTATTATTAACATTGTTATCATTATTATTATTATATTTTAATTATTTCATTTTATTTATTTATTTTATTTATTATTTATTTATTATTATACATTTATATTATTATTGTAAAAATTAATTTAAAAGTCTATTAATAAAAACAAAATAATAGCATTTTTCATAAGGGCCAAATTCGATCATCTTAGCAGAACGATTTTCGACCTTATGAAAAATGTTATTTACTAGGTCTTTACTTTGGAGAAACACTATAATTTTAAAAAATATTACAAGTTTTAAAAATGAATTGTTCCACATTCTTCACTTGTTTTTAAATAAAAATTTTGATTTAGAAAACATTGCAAGTAATAAATAATAACATAACATAACCTATCAAGTCTTTCGAAATATTAAAAATGATTATAATTAAAAATAAATAGAATAATAATTAAAATTTTCGACTTAAAAAAGAAAATTGTTTATTTTATAATGACTCCTCGTATAATTGATATTAGTATGATATAAATTTAATATTTACTGTTAACTTCAAACTTCAATTTTAACTTTAAAATTATAACCTATAAAAAAAGTATATCAAGACTGATATGGAAAATGTATTTTTAGAATAGTATTTACTTCTTACCAAGTACTATAAATACCAGGACTTCGTCCTTTCGCCACGGCATAATAAGGCATATTTGCTTTAACTGTTAATTGTTAAGTTAACTATTTAATATGGAAACAATCACAAAAAAGAAATGAGTGAAAATTTCTTTGTTTACAACAGTGCTTTCAAAAACTGACAAATGTGATTCTCTCTGAATTTTTGCAGATGCTTGGTTCATAACCATTTAAGCGTCGCATATGACGCAATTCAAGATGGACGCAAACTGACGGACAGGTGCCAACTTTCCACTAAAGTATCATTATACTTTGTTTTAGTAAAAATTGAATTTTAATTATTCGAATTTTTTATTTGTAAAAGAATTGATCTTTCATAGAATTCTTAAAACACCGAATTATCATTTTTGACCGAAATTCAAAATGGCCGAATAGACAACTGACAAAATATTTTAGCACGAATTTTGAAATTGACCAATAAAAAATTATCGAGAAAAAGTGTGATTGGTCAATTTGAAAATCTACGTGGAATTATTTTTAACGGTTTTGATGGTTCGTCGGCCATTTGCAGAAATTCGGTCAAATATGATTATTCAGTATTTTAAGACTTAAAAATTTTATAAAATAATCATTTTTGGAAATAAAAATTCGGACAAATGAAGAATTTGTTTCAATGAATATTCTGACGAATATAAATTTAATTAAATAATTAAAAAATTAAAAAAAAAATTAATTAAAAAATTCAATCAAATAAAATTAAAATAAATTCGTCTTTAAAAATATTTATGGTTGGTCTAATTATAGCAACCAGTTTGCGTCCATCTTGAATCGTTTCCCCTTCTAAGCCTGCATCTCTCGATTCTCGAACATGCGCGTGATTTTAAGGTCGTCGTGCATTGGAAACATGTTTACAAAATTTTTGACAGTTCCTCTACGACGGTGCTGCCTTAAAGTTTATTAAAGCATTGTTTCCATTCGAGGGGTGAATTAAACATAATTTTACAATAAATAACCACAAAAATTGCCTTTTATTAAAATAAAATAATGGACATCGGAGAATTATTATCCTACAAGGTGAAATTTATTATTCTCTATCAAATTATTACAATACTTATTGCTTTTTGAAAACAATTTACAACTCAGTCACCTAACCTCAAACTTTGTAAATTGAACACAAAAATTGAAATTTTAAATAAATTTGACAAAATTATTAATAATTGACAGAATTGTACTTTCTATTAGTTAAATAATCTTTAACGTGTCCGAGATCCTTTATAAATTAAGGCAAATTAAACGAAAACATTCGGACAATGAATTAAAATATTTATTTACTCCAACGTTTCGAAATCTAAATGATTTCCTCTTCAGGGAGTCTATCAAAAAAAATATACAAAATTAAAATAATAATAAAAATTATATACATAATTAAGATAATAATAAAAATCATTTAAAAATAAATAAATGAAATAAAAATTAATGGATAATTATCTTACCAAAAAAAAATAATTAAAATATACGAAGACTTAAATTTTTATGCCCTGACGATGGAGTAGAGTCTGGAGTCAGAAAATTATAAAAAAAAAACTTAATATTCATAAAATAACTTTAAAAATAATTTAAAAAAATTTTTTAATTTTAAAAATGTGAAAAATAATCATTAATAAAATTAGTAACAAGTTAACAACAATTTTCTACTTTCTATATTATTTAAAATAGAAAATTGATAAAATATTTAGTATAGATATTTTTCTTATATTTTATACGAATTCAAATTCAAAAGAATTTTTTTATACTATTTTATTTGAAAAAAAAGGTTGAAAGTTATTTTTAAAAAAATTATTTCGGGGTTAGATAGGAAAAAATATTTATTTTCAAAAATTAAAATTATAACGTCTTAGGATCAAGGCTGCAGAAAAGACCTTTTTTTAAGAAATAGATCTTCGGCCGGTAGCAATGTTTTTATCTTTTCAACCAGAAGGGTTTATTTATTTATTTTAATATTTTTCAATTAGAAAAGTTAATAATTTATTCGTCTAGAACAGTTTATTTATTTATTTGTTTCTATTTTTTAAAAACAAAAATCAAAAATTAATAAAAATACCTAAAATTTAAATTTTTAAAAGAAAATTTATTTTTAGCCTCCGAACACTCCAAAACGAGGATTGGGAGGAGATATTCAAGATGATGAGGAAGATGAATGGGAGAGTTCAAGAAGAAGAAAGAAGGTCATCAGAACTCCGTATCATCCTCGTCAAAGGCAAATTGACGTTGAAAGTACTCCAGTTCGCAATATTGAACCTCCAACTCCAATTAGATCGGATCTTCCATCCTCGGTTCACGACGTAGTCGAAACACAACTCACGGAGGAGGAGAAGGAAGATATTCTCAAATATGTTGAAACAGAAGCTGCCGAAACGGAACTTCTCGATGAAGTTTCCCTCAAGCGAATGATTCTCCTCTTTGAAAAGCGAGCACTCAGAAATCAGGAAATGCGAGTCAAATTTCCCGATCAACCAGAAAAGTATATTTCATATTTTTCTTACTTTCAAAAAAATCATTCTTGTGTCCCATTTTTTTTATTAGATTTTTAAATAAAAGAATAGCTCTAATTTATTTATTAGATTTTTTTCAAACAAGAAAAAATGGATTCAATTCTTTTATTCGATTTGTTTTTTCTAATAAAAAAATAGGACAAGAAGTAATAAAAATTTAATTCTTGTAAAATTTCCCTACTTTCTAGATTCATGGAATCGGAGATCGAATTACATGAGACAATACAGGAACTTCGACAAGTATCAACTTGTCCAGATTTATATCCAACAATGGTGGAATTAAACGTTGTTCCTTCACTACTGGAACTTTTGGCACACGAAAATACTGATGTTGCGGTTGGTATTGTCACTTTATTGCAAGATTTGACGGATATGGAAAATTTTGACGAGACTATCGACAGTGTTGAATCGCTGATAAATGCACTTGTCGATCAACAAGTTTTTGCACTTCTTGTACAGAATATTGAGAGGCTGGACGAAACTGTCAAGGAAGAAAGCGATGGTGTACACAATACATTGGGTAATAAGTTTCTCCTCTTTCTCTAAGGGGTAAAACTACCATTTTTAAAAATTTTTTTTAAAAATTAAAAAAAATTTTTTTAAAAAATTTTTAAAAATTAAATTATCCTAAAATTAATAAAAAATTAATTTTTAAAAATTAAATAAGTAAATTTTTGTATTTTTTGCAGCAATTTTTGAAAATATATTGGAATTTAATCCTGAACTTAGAGCGGAAGCGGGAAAACAGGGATTAATGCAGTGGCTGTTGAAAAGAATAAAAGCAAAAATGCCCTACGATGCGAATAAACTTTACGCTAGTGAATTAATTTCAATTCTCCTTCAAGATTCGACTGAAAATGCTACACTTTTGGGTGATTTGGACGGTGTTGATGTTTTACTTCAACAACTTGCGGTATCAATTTTTTTTTACCCAGGCTTTGCATTCATCTACTAAAAACTAATATTTACTACTTTTTTACAATTAACTACTATTTGGATCCTTTCTCTTAGATTTGTGACACAAAAGGATACTTTTTTCTTTCCTTTTTGCGAATTTCTGCTACTTTATAAATTCGCAAATAGTTAAAATAAAAAAATTTATTCTTAAAAATAAAAGAAAATAAATAAATTCTCATAAAATTCTTAGAAACAATTAAAACACATTGAAATAAAATTCTTTAAAAAAATTTCGAATAAATTTTAATAATATACGTAAAAAAATTTAATTATTTTCATAAATAATGAAATTTTGTGAAAGAAATTAATTATTTAAAAAAATTTCTATAAAATTCTCCGAAAGAAATCAATTACTTTTAAAATAATTATTATTTTAAAAATTTTTTAATGAAAAATTCAATTATTTAAACAAATTTTGAACGAAATTCTTTGCAAGAATTAAATTATTTTCATAAATAATAACAATTCTCTAAGGATGTTAATTATTTTTGAAAATATAAAAATTCTACGCAAAAATTTAATTACTTTCATAAATAATAAAAATTTTTCTAAAAAAAATTAATAATTTAAAAAAATTTCTATAAAATTCTCTCAAAGAAATCAATTATTTTTTAAATAATTATTATTTTCAATATTATTAATGAAATATTGAATTTAAAAAAAAATGTTAAACAAAATTCTTTACAAGAATTCAATTATTTTCACAAATATAATTTTTCTCAAGATGTCATTTATTAAATAAAAAATAAATAAATTTTTTAAAATTTAAAAATTCTTCAAAAAAATTCAATTATTTGAATAATTGAATAAAATAAATAATAAAATTTATCAGAGAAATTAAATTATTTTAAATACAATTTTAATTACATTATTTGAATTAATTCAATTATTCTTTTAAATTTTAATAAAATGCTTTAAAAAAATTTAATTATTTGCCAAAATTTCAAGAAAATTCTTCGCAAAAATTAAATTATTTTCACAGAGTATTAAAATTTTTCCCGTGAATTCAATTATTTTCATAGGTAAATAATAAAATTATTTACAAGAATTTCAATTATTTTTAAATATAGCTACAATTTAAAAAAAAATCTTTGAAAAATGTTAGGAAGGTTAAAATTCTTTGAAAGAATTGAATTATTTTCAAAAAGTTTTCATAAAATTTGTTATAAGAGTTGAATTTTAAAAAATATAATCAATTATTTATTCATCTACTTAAATAATTGAATTATCGTCGAAATTTTTTAACAAGAATTGATTTAAAAATGAATTTCAGTTAAAATTTTAGATTCTGAAAAAGAAATTTTTGTTAATATTTTAGCTCTATTTTTATATAAAAAAATACTTGAATTTTTACAAACAAGTAATTGCAGATTTTTTAAATAATTGATATTTTCTAAAATTCTATAGAAAATAATTGAATTTTTTAAACATATTTGATTTAAATAATAAATTTATATTTCTATATCTTTGTGTTTATATAGTAATTTATAAAAATTCTTTTAGTAAAACCATTTTTGGTTGTTTGCATTTAAAATAATTTAAAAAAATTTTTGTTTTAGTATTACAAGCGTCACGATCCACAAAGTGCGGACGAACAGGAAATGATGGAAAATCTTTTTAACGTTTTATGCTCGAGTTTGTTATTAACCGTAAACAAAGACAGATTCCTCAGGGGTGAAGGTCTTCAACTCATGAATTTGATGCTCCGCGAGAAGAAAATGTCAAGAAATGGTTCATTAAAGGTATTTTAAATTGAATTAATAAATTTTCTTCAGTTTAATTACTGGAAAAAAAATTTTTATTTCAGAAAATTAATGCTTTACTTTCAATGTCTCTAATTTAGAAAATTATTAAGTAATAAAATTTATTAAATATAGTAAAATTTATTAAATAATTTAGAAAATTATTAATTAATAAAACTTAATAAATAATTTAGAAAATTATTAAATATATTATTAATATATCTTTATAGGTTCTCAGTTATGCAATGAATGGTCCAGATGGTAAGGACAATTGCAATAAATTTGTCGACATTCTGGGCCTGAGGACAATATTTCCCCTCTTTATGAAAACACCAACGAAAAATAGAAAAAAATTATTGTCCGTTGAACAACACGAAGGTGTGTTTTATTATTTTATTTTTACACTTTTATTAAATTATTTTTAAAAAAATATTATAAACTTATTATTAAATTATTAAAAAAGAATATTAAACTTATTATAAAAATTAGTAATTACAAAAGAATATTACTTATTGAAAATTAAAAACTGTTTCAAATAAAAATTAAACTTGTCATCAATTATTGTTTATTAAATAGTAATTTTTATTCTTTAGAATATGTTGTTTGGATTATTGCCAGTATGTTGAAAAATTGTAAAGGCACGCAGAGACAGCGGTTACTCAGTAAATTTACTGAAAATGATTTTGAAAAAGTGGACCGACTCATGGAACTTCATTTTAAGTATTTAGAAAGAGTGGAGGAAATTGAAAAGCAGACGCAGGTTTGTAGTTTTTTAAAAATTATAATTATAATAATAAAATAAAAATAATAATCAATGCTCTAAATAAATAATAATTGTAAGATAAAATAAATGAAAATGAGTATTTTAAAATTTTTTATTTAAAAATAAATGAATTACAGGACGAGACTGACGAGGATGAATCTTATTTAAAAAGACTCGATGGCGGTTTATTTATTCTACAAGGTGTAGATTATATTCTTCTAGAAGCATGTGCCGGTTGTCCTCCGGCGGTTAAACAAAGAGTTACAAGAATTTTATCACAGAGACGAGCGTCTCTGAAAACAATCAGACACATAATGCGAGGTAATTTTTATTATCCATTATTATAAAATTTAAAAAAAGTTTAGTACCTAGTTATTTAAAAAAAATTTTTTAAATTTATAATTTAAAAACTTTAAATATTTTAAAGTTTAGTAATTATTTTTTTTAACGAATTACATTTTATAATTTTCCTTTTTTTATGTTTTATTTCAATAAATAATTTTTTGGCAGAAACTTTTATTAAAAGTTTTTTTTTTAAATTTTAACATTTTTTTTTTGCAGAATATGCAGGCAATTTGGGAGATGCCGCAGAACCAGAGTACAAAGAAGCTGAACAGCAACATATTCTTCAGTTAATTGACAAATTTTAAATAAGTTTTCTTTTTTTTTGTAAAATGATTTTTTTTAAGGATCATTATATAGTAATTTTATACTGTCAAGGTATTTATATTTTTGAGTCAACTTCTAAAAATATAGGAAAAGTGAAAAAAATACAAATTTATGATTTGAAGAGATGACTATTAAATTTATGATAATAAAACATTTTTAACTTTCTTCTATTTTTAAAATCATATTATATTTCCCTTTTCTTTGAGCAAAAAATTTTTTGCCAGTTTTCAAAAAATGTTAACTGTTTATTGGTTTAATAAACTAAATGTTTTTTAAATGTTCTCTTAGAATTCTTTTAGAATTTTTGCCTAGTCAACTATTCTATATTAATTATTGAATGGATTTTTTATTTACTTTATAAAATTGTACATTTCGTACATTAATCTGCAGTAATAAAGAATTTCTATATCACTAAAGGTTATTATTTACTTTTAAAGAAAATATTACACCTTTACATTATTTATGATTTTAAAGAGAAATTTTCAAAAAATTATTTAAATTCTTAAATAATGTAAAAGATTAAAAAATTTTACTGCTTTAAAACTGAAGCAAAAAATACAATTTTATTCGAAAGAAGGAGAAATTTATGGCTAGTTTTTACTATTACGTAAACTTTAAAAAAAAAATAAATGCATACCTATAAAAATCGACTCTAAAATTTTCACGATATTATTTCATGCTTTACTAGAAATTTAATTTATGGTCTATATAAACACAATATGAATATATTTTTGCATTATTTAAATTAAAAGTTACATGCATATAATTTCGTCTTTCATTAATATTAAAATGAAGTTTTTACAAAGCCTTTTTCATGTATGAAACCAAACAGTTTTCGAGATATTTTAATAATGAAACCTTTCATTTAAAACTAAAAAATTCTTTGATTTTCTCAAAAAGTACTTTTTAATAATGTTGAAAAAAATGTAATTAATTAATTAAATTAATTATTATTAAATTAATAATTAAATAATGTAATTCTAAAGCTTATACTAATAAAACCCAAGAAACAAACGAAATTAAATCATTTGCATAAAATCCCGTCCAAGACATTCTCTATTCCAGAAAATAGAAAAAAAACATCGGGAAATTCTGCTTTTTACATTTTTAATACAAAAAAAAAAATGGTTTTAACTATCTAGGACCAAGTTATAGTTTTAGGTCAAATCACTAGCTGCCATTACTCATTCTTATCACGGTGTTCAATATCTCTTTGATGGACGAAATGAAAATAAAATTTATTTAAAAAAATTCTTTTCCTCAGATGCTTAATTCTAAAACGTATCTTATGTACTTGCGTAATAATTCCATTATTAAATTGTAATCTAAGTTAAACGCAAAGAATGACATAAAATTTATAAAAAAAAGTACTCATAAAAAATCTACTGCAATACTTTCATGATATTATTTTGTCCGTTGAATAGATAATTCTTAGTTGTAGCCAGAATTTATTTAAACACTATAGTTCTCTATCAACAGAATTAAATATTACTTGTAAATAATATCGTCTAATTGTGTTTAATATTAGAATGAAGTTTACACTCTTTATTGTTCTTGCTGAAATATTTGTGTGCATATCAGTGAGTGCCATTGGTAAGTTATTATTATTTTTATTATTACTTTCCTATAAATTTCAATATGAGCAATTATTTGCTCTTCTTCTATTTCTATCATTATAGATCAACTTAGAGTGTTGAACGTCACATCTACAACATGCACTTTATACTGGAAACAACCTCTAAATGATTCTACTAAATTAATGAACATTATAAGAACATTAGAGTACAATTATATTTTCTATCCATATTCTAATTGTCTCGAAGCACAATACACTTGCGAGTGGTTGCAACCTGCAACTGTATATAACATTTCAGTAGATATTTATTTCCGAAATGGTACAGAGGCAGCAAATCCAATCTCAACCGAGTGCACCACTAAGCCTATGACAGGTGGGGTACTGTTTTTAAAAAATATAAATGTGTTTAAACTTTCTTTTTGAAATTTCGAAAAAGGGAAAATATCAGTTTTTAATTCACAGATATCTACATACCACCTGTTCTCAAACTAGAAGTGTTAGAAGTTACGACTACGACATGCAAAATCTCTTGGATAAAACCTACAAGGCTTGAACAATTCACAAAATACGTTATAACTGTCCTTGACAATGATTCTAATTATACTAGTTATCGGTACTTTTCTTCCCTCTCTAAACTTCAATATACGATCGAGGACCTCAAACCTGGTACTAATTATGACATCTCAGTGTACATTGACTACAAAGACAATGAAGTCACAACTTCATGCATCACTAAACCTCAATTAGGTGTCTAAATATTTACCTACTTAACCAATTCATTAATTATGAAAACTAAATGATTTTTCCCGTACCTATAGGTGAACTCAAAGTGCTAGAATCCACGAATACATTGTGCAAAATTATTTGGAAGAAACCTATAAATAATGATGAAACTTTAAAATATGTTGTCAGCGCAGTTGACTCTAATTCTCTTCAACAGAAAAATAAGCGTAAGTAAAACCTCTCTCTGGGGTATAATCCCTTCAACTGCAAGCGTTTAGGTTGCGCTTCAACTTATATAGCCAGACAGCACGGACTGGAGGGGGGACGCGTGCGCTGTACTCACGCGTCGTCAGGGCCGTAACTAATATTTCGCGGACCTGGAGTTTAATATTTAAACTATTAACTCGTGTTAAATTTAACTATATCATTACAAATTTTTATAGCAAATAATGGTAAAAGGTTGAAGGCCCACTATCTTCTTATCCCTTAAAATATCCTGCAATATTCCTTAAGTAAAATAAATTTCTTTCACTAAAAGTGTACTTACGTATCTGTTTTGTTGTAGAATGGGAATATTATGAAAACATATATGTATTTCAACCCGAAATACTTGTAACCTTGCCTAATTTACAACCTGGATCTAACTACAGCATTTCAGTGTTTAATGACAAAACAAACACCACAATTTCAACGGAATGCATTACAAAGGCAGAATTAGGTATGATATTTAATTAAAACAGATTTTGAAATTTTTTTGATTATGTGAGATCATCGATAATTTAAGACAACAAATTTTTCTAGTTTGACAATTTTATCATTACTGTTTTAATTTACTGCTTCTGTATGTATATAGGTCAACTTACAGTGTTAGATTCCACTGATACAACATGTAGGATTTTATGGAAAAAACCCACAGATAGCTACGATTTATTAAAATACGATGTAACTGTATTTTATTCAAGGGAATTTAACAAAACTTATGAATATTATTCCTGCTCTGCCGAAGTACATTATACTTTGAATTTGCTACAATCTGCAACTAAATTTAACATTTCAGTGTATATTTGGCACACAAATACTCTAATCTCAACGGAATGTATCACAAAAGTTAATTCATGTATGAAATTCATTTTGAGACGTGTCATTAATGAAATAATTTTATTTCTTTCTTTCACGAAATCCGGTCATTTTTTAATATAAAGTACAATAAGAAAACCGTTTGACAGAAAAATGAAATTATTTATTATAAGACACGTTTTTTTAAATTCTTACCCAGGTAGATAGGTTATATTCATACAAACAATTTTACTTTGCAGGTTTGGTATATTAGTATACAAAAATCTACGACATTAATATAACTTGCCACTTTGCTATCAATGCATCAAGATAAATGGAAGTTTTTACACGGAGAGAAAGTTTATATTAAATTTTGTAAAAGAATTTCCCAATTTGGGGAAAAAGTGCCACAAACCGAAATTTTGACATTGAAAATACTAAATAGTGAAAGAAATAATATGAAATTTAGTAAAGTTATATATCAAATATAAGAATTTTAGTTTAATTTTAATATAACTTTACTAAATTTCATATTATTTCTTTTACTACCTATTTAGTATTTTCTATGTCAAAATTTCGGTTTGTGGCACTTTTTCCCCAATTTATAAAATAATTTTACAAATAATGTAATACATTATTTTCTCTCCGTGTAAGTTTTATGACAAAGGATTTTAAATTTATTAAATGTATTGAATTCAATTATAAAATAAACATAGAATTCTAAAACCTATGTTTGCATTCTTTTACAATCAATCTAGATGCTTTTTTTATTTCATTGACATGAACTGATAGTTAAATTAAAAAAAATTTTTTTAAGCACCAAATAATTATATAGTGCCCACCCCGGCCCTCTGAAGGTTATAATACACATTCTTTATAATTTAATTCAAATTTAGAAAAGAAAATTTCATGAGGGAATTTTAATTCTTCAATAATGTAAATTCTGATTGAAATATAACTGCGTAATAAAAATAAAGTAATAAAATACACATATTTTATTCAAAAGAGTAAAGATTATTTATTGCTATATTTACTGTTAGCCAATTGTTTAAACATACACTATGTTTATATGTTAAAAAACTGATGTAAAAAGACTTAAAATTAAATTGTATTATCAAGTTTCGAAAATAAAATACATACAAAAATCTATCGTATAATAGTTTCACAATATTTGTTGGTTAAGTAGATAATTCATGGGCATAATTAAGTATATGAACGTTATATAAATATATGTTAACAGAAAATTAAGTCACTTGAAAATAAGATCGTCTTTAACATTAATATGAAGTTCATACTCTTTGTTGCATTTGCTGCAATTTTTACTTGCGAACCCAGCAATGCCAGTGGTAAGTATATTAATTTTTTCTCACTACTTTATTTTAATTTATTTTTACTTTATTTTTAACTAATATAATATACAATAATTTAAGATAGGAAATTATTTTAAATAAAATGTCATCAAATCCTAATTTCGATAGTTGAATCGATAGTTTATTATTTTTAAACAGTGCGGGGTCTTAAGGATAAATTGTGATGAAGTCCGTTCGTTATATTAAACAATTGTAATTAATTATTCGAATTAATCGTGAAAAAAAATTAATTCTACAATCCTTAAAATTATATATACGTAGATAAAATCAAGGTGTTGAATGTCACTACCACAACATGCAGTATTTATTGGAGGAAACCTAAATTTTATGTCAGAACTTTATTGTACCTTATAAGTGCGAATGACAGAGATTCCAACTATACTTTTTATCCATTTTATGATTCGCATCCCGAATTTCAATATACGCTGCAGACGCTTGAACCTGCTACTACATATAACATTTCAGTAACTGTTGACTATTTAAATGGCACCAGGTCAGATAATCTATTGACAACTGAATGCCTCACCAAACCAAAAACAGGTAAGTTACTTGTTTTTAAAGTTTCAATCGACAATGAATTTATAGTCAGAACTGAATTAACATTCTAAATTTTAATTCACAGGAATCGTTTATAAACCAGTACGTCAACTGGACGTGTTAGACGCTACGGACACAACATGCAAAATTTCTTGGAAAAACCCTGAGATTGTTAACGAATCTGTAAAATACGTTATAAGTGCACATGACAAGGAATTAAATTTTACTACTTATCGTCATTTTTCTCCACTTATGGAAGTAGAATACACACTTGAGGGATTAAAACCAGGCACTAAATATAACATTTCAGTTTATATTGACTACCAGGAGAACGAGGTGAAAACTCAGTGCACAACTAAGCCGCAATTAGGTACATGTTTACGTATACTTGGAAATTAGTAGCAATACTAATTCTTTAAAGAAAGGTGATTTTAATTAAGATTTTACCTTATCCATAGGTCATCTTACAACGTTGGAGTCCACAAATACAACATGCAGCATTTTTTGGAAAAAACCGGTAAATGATGATCAAATGATAAAATACGTCATAAATGTTGTCGACAATCGCCACAATGTTCTAGAGCAGAGAAACTGGCGTAAGTACCGAATAAAAAGAAAAATAACCGATAACCCAATGTGAATCTCGCGACATTTTTGAAAGAAAACAATCCAACTTTATTTTTCAATGAAAAATTCCAAAAACCATTTATTTTGTAGGACGGGTCACTTCTAATGTACAACTTTTGTTTCACTCCGAAATACTTTTAACCTTACCTAATCTACAACCTGGATCAAAGTATGATATTTCAGTCTATAATGATTACACAAACACAACGATGTCAACGAAATGCATCACTGAACCAGAGATAGGTATGTCTTGAGCTTAGGTTTTAAAAAATGAATGTGCCCTCTGGTCGAAATAGAGTAAAAAGAAAAACTGCTTTGAAAAGAAATTTGAGTAAAATAGCATCAGTGGAATACATTCAATTGCTTCAATTTACGATTCTTTTCCTTCTATCATCCACAGGACAAGTTACAGTATTAGATACCACGAATACAACATGTACTGTCTTTTGGAGAAAACCTACAAATGATTACGAATCATTAGATTACAATATAAATGTAGATTACACTGACACTTCTTTTATCACTTATCGTTATTCGACATCATTACCCGAAATAAAATATACTATGGAGCAGCTACATCCTAGAACTACGTACAACATTTCGGTATATTTTTTCTCTCTAAACACCACTTTTTCTACGGAATGTACCACTGATTTTTAAAATGGGTATGAAACATAGTTTCTTAAAAATACTTTAACTTTAATGAAACTTTAATAAAACTTATGTTTAAATAAATTTCCATTTGCAGGTTTTCTACAATAGGTTCTAAGGACCCAGTTGTTGGGTGTCATGAATACTTTACAATTAATGATGATTCGTTAAGAAACACAAAAATTTGAATATCTAACAATTCGAAATCTAATTCTCTTATAGTTGTATGTAAATTGTAATTACTTGTGAGAATTAATAAAGTTACAATGATCTGTTTATGATAGAATATATATCACTTTGTTTGCATCACATCCCGCATAAATCTCTATTACTCGACATTCAAATGGAATCAAGTAGCATGATTCAGCATGATCCTTAAATGTTAAAAGAAATGCTATCCATTAATTTTTAAGATCTACAACAGGATAGATGCTTTATAGTAAATGTAGAAAATTGTTTCTAATTAGAAAAAAGACCGCGAAGGCGCTAAAAATCAAAATTAGCCATTACCATCCAGTTTCTAAAGAAAAGTACTGTAATAACTCTTAAGTTTAGAATATAATTTCGTAGACCACAAGTTTCAAACTGCTGTTTGATAATTTTTGAGAATTTACCAATTTATGGTTATTCTGACCTATCCAAGACATTCTATTTACAAACAGATACGAACAAAGCTTTAGGATCAGTTCGATATTAGATAAACGAGGGCACAGAACTCTCACGAAGTACACGTGCGATAAGAAGAGCAAACCGTAAAACTTTATCAGTCACTGAATCTTGTAAATTATTAAATGCCATAATGACAAGATAAGCAGAAGCAATTCATGATTTTGACCTTGATATTGACGCAGGATAACCACAGGGATAAAAATCGTATTTGCGACAAAGATGAAGCTACCCTCGAAGACAAAAGTCTTACCACAGTTCCAAAAGGGTCCAAATGAAGGTTCACAGATTTTAGTGGGTATGTATGTCGCCAGCTATTTAAGTTGAACTGTTTTATTCATTAAATCAATTTCAGTGTTTAAATACTTTAAATTAAAAAAAACGAAAACTTGTTAATTGTATTTAGATAAGTTTTTAAGTCATCAAAAAATAAGATTAAAATTTTATCATTAGACTCGAAAAATAATTTGAAGAGATGGTTATACTTTTTTAAAAATAATCTTGATAAATTGTTACCAGAACGTATTAATTAAACAAACTATTATGAAATACATACAATTAGTCAAAAATTGAAATAATAGAATATCTATCTAATACAGAATGAAGATTTATAAGAGCAAATTTAAAAGATGAAAAACAGACAACATGTAATAAGTTTCATAATGTTTCTTGGTAATTAATAAGATAATGAATCCACTTACTATAAAAATAGGGTATTAGAACAAATGTCTACATTAGTGGAACTATAACTCAACTTAGAGCAAGTTTCATTAATTGTCGTTGTATTAAAATGAAGTTTATACTCTTTGCTGGTTTTGCTGCAACATTTCTTTGCCTTTCTGTCACTGCAATTGGTGAGTTTAATTATAAATAAGCTTTTCTAATTGTAATTGAGCAAAAACCTTTATCTATAAATAATGCGTTAATAATGTTAATCTATAACATAATGTTAACATAATTTTAATATAATGTTAACATAATTATAACATAATTTTAACACACTTTTAACATAATTTAACCATTGAAATACCGTTTCAACTTACAGATCATCTGAGAGTAGTGAACGTCACATCTTCAACATGCAGCTTGTTTTGGCGAAAACCTACAAGTAATGAGGGGATGTACAAATACGTTATTGCTACTTACGACAATGGCACTGAGTACATTGTTGAGAGTTATTATTGTTCATATCAGGAAATAGAGTTTACAGTGATAGATCTACACCCCGCAACAATATATAACATTTCAGTAGACATTGTCTACGCAGGAGTCAAGCTTTCAACGGAATGCCTTACTAAACCTGAAATAGGTATAAAAATTAATACTCAAATAGGGATTAGTTAGATTTTGTGTCTCCTATTGGTTTTATCAAACATTTGAAATCACAGAAGTGGCTGTTCAACCAGTACGTCAACTGGAGTCGTTGGACAGCACGAATACAACATGCAGAATCTCTTGGAAGAAACCTACGAAGGATAACAAACCCACTAGATACGTTATAAGTGCCTATGACTACCAGTCTAGTTATACTAGTTATCGGTACCTTTCCACCCTTTCTGATAATCAGTATACGGTTGAGGACCTACTTCCTGGTACTGAATACAAAATTTCAGTTTACGTCGACTACAAAGACAACGAAGTCACTACTTCATGCATCACTAAACCTCAATTAGGTACGTACTCTACCTACTTAACTACAAATGATTCAACTTTTATTTAATTCAAAGTGCGAAATCAGAGGAATGGTTTAATCAAACAATGAAGATAAGACAATCGAAGACTTCTTTGTATGGTATAAAAATTAACATTTCTTTTTACTGTACGCCTAGGTAAACTTCATCTATTAGATGTCACAAACAGTTCGTGCAGCGTTTTTTGGAAAAAGCCTGTAGATAATGACAACACTTTAAAATACGTTATAAGTTTTATTGAAAAGGAGTCTGTCGATCCTAATAGTAAGTGAACGATAAGTCAATCGAGAAAATTTAAACAACCATGTGCAATATAATTCTTTTTATTTATTAAAATACATATTTTATAGATACACTGTATAGTCGATATTTTAACTTTATTCCGGAATTGTTATACACATTCATAAATCTGCAACCTGCTACTAAGTACAACATTTCCGTTTATGATAACTATTCAAACAAGAAGATGTCGACGGAATGCCTCACTAAACCAGATTTAGGTATGATATGTATCATTTTTAAAATATTTAAATATGTTTGTAATTTATTTAATTTTTTTTACTACGGAATCCCTCTTCTGCATCCGTAGATCAACTTAAGGTGTTAGATGTCACGAATACAACATGCACACTTTATTGGAAAAGACCTATTGATAGTGATGAAATCATAAGATATTACATAACTTCAGAGAATGGTAAAAACTTTATGTCATATAGAATTTTCACATCGTTTCCTGAAGTAACGTTTGTATTTAAAAAGCTAGAACCTGACACAACATATGTTATGTCAGTGTACATTGCTAAAGTGAAAAAAACATTAGCGTCAAAATGTACTACAACGCCAGCATTAGGTATGTTACATTCTGAAAAATAATTTTACCATACATTTTTTTTTTTTTGATGAATACTGAAAAATGTTTCAATGTTACTTTTTTTCTAAAACAGCAATTTTTTAATTTACAGATAAATCTGAGAAGTCCTTGGAAAAATATGCGTACAAGACATCATAAATACAACATATTTAGTTAATTGTAATACATTAGAAAAGTGTAAATATGTAACGATTTTATTGTAATTATAATGTACATTAAAATTCATTTTTTTACGATGTAATTGACTATTTGATGATACCCTCCAAACCTCTCGAAGGAAATGAAAAATCCAATCGTCTTGTCTGTAAACCAAAATAAAGAATAGGGTAACTGTTCCAGTACTTGGCACTGTCTCAAAAAGTTGGCACCCACCTTTTTTTTCTTTAAATAACAAAAAATACTAAAGTTTATACTTGCTTTTTGTCAAAAATGCTCCAGATTTTAATAATCATATGCAAAACATACTAGGTTTTAGTTATTTCTTGTTATTATAAGGGTGCCAATCACTGGAACGCAGTGCCAATGCCAGGACCCATAAAAAAAATTGTCAGCTTAGGAGATGCTAAGGAATCACATGACACCGAGCACTTACAGAGGCATCGTAGGTTAATTTTTTTTCCATCTCAATTTTGATAGATTAAATAATTGTCAAGAAGAATAAAAATTACTATTTTTAATTTAAAAGCCTTTTATTAAAATTACTTCAGTGTTTAATTACTTTATATTAAAAAAATATTGTTAATTGTATTTAGATGTAAGTTTTTAAGTCATCAATAATGCAGATTAAGATTTTATTCTTCGATTTTTAAAAAAAGATGAGCTATGATTGTAGTATAATCTCAGCAGTACGAATCTGTTATTTACATTAAACAATTTAAATTGTTATACTTTCTTTGAATTAGTAATCTTGATAAACTGTTACCAGGAGATATTAATAAAACAAACTATTACAAAATATATACAATTAGTCAACAATTGAAATAATAGAATTTCTATCTAATATAGAATAAAGATTTATAATATAGCAAATTTTAAGATGAAAAAACAAACTTTTGTAATAATTTTATGTTGGTAATTAAGAAGATAATGAATCTAATAACTATAAATGTAGACTAATAGAACAAATGTCTGCATTAGTTGAATTAACACTTAGTTTAGAACAAGTTTGACTAATTGTCTTTACACTGAAATGAAGTTTATACTCTTTGCTGGATTTGCTGCAACATTTATAAGCATTACTGTCAGTGCACTTGGTAAGTATAATTACAAATAGCTTTTCTAATTTTGAGCAAAATCCTCTATCCATGAATTATTTAACATTGTTTTTTGGTTGATGACTATTGAAATAAAATTTAAACTTTTAGATCAATTGAGAGTAGTGAACGTCACATCTACAACATGCACCTTGTTTTGGATAAACCCTATAAATTATCAGGAGCTATTCAAATACATTATTAGTATTTACGACAATGGCTTTGAGTACATTCATGACAAATATTATTCTTCCCATCATGAAGTAGAATTTATGATAAAAAATCTACAACCTGGAACTAAATACAACATTTCTGTGAACATTGAATATTTTGAAGACAAGATGTTAACGGAATGCATTACTAAACCTGAAATAGGTATAAAAGTATTGAATAATATAAATAGGGAATTTACATTAAAAACTATTGTTCGTATTTAATTTTAGCACTCAAAATCTTACCCATTGAATTTGTAGAGAATTAGAGATTTCGCAAAAGAAGTGGATTAGATTTTTTTATCCTATTAGCTTTAACAAATGTTTAAATTTACAGATGTAGCTGTTCAACCAATACGTCAACTGGAGGCCTTGGACAGCACGTATACAACATGCAAAATCTCTTGGAAGAAACCTACGAAGGATAACGAAATCATTAGATACGTTATAAGTGCCTTTGACTACCAGTCTAGTTATACTAGTTATCGGTACCTTTCCTCCCATTCTGATATTCAGTATACGGTCGAGGACCTACTACCTGGTACTAAATATAACATTTCAGTTTACGTGGACTACAAAGACAACGAAGTCACAACTTCATGCATCACTAAACCTCAATTAGGTACGTACTCTACCTACTTAACTACCAATGATTCAACTTTTATTTAATTCAAAGTGCGAGATCAGAGGAATGGTTTAACAGTTCTTTTTACTGTACCCCTAGGTAAACTTCATCAATTAGATGTCACAAATACTTCATGCAGCGTTTATTGGAAAAAACCTGTAGACAATTACAAAACATTAAAATACGTTGTAGGTATTGCTGAAAAGGAGTCTGTCGATCTTGCTTTGGACCCAAAGGATAATAGTAAGTATGAAAGAAAAGTCAATCTGGAAAATTCATATATATAATCTTCTTACATTATGCAAATTAGTTTGTTCCAACTGACACTGAAACTAACACTAAAAATCTAGTTTATGTTAAATATATGTATATTCTTTATGTATAGAGAAAATGATTACTCGATATTTTAATTTTATTCCGGAACTGTTATTCACATTCATAAATTTGCAACCTGCTACTAAATACAAAATTTCCGTTTATGATAACTATACAAACAAGGAGATGTCTACGGAATGTCTTACTAAACCTAATTTAGGTATGAAATCATTTTCCAAATATTTCGATATGTTTGTAATATCAGATCTGATATCATAAGTAATTTCTCCTTCTGCACCCATAGGTCAACTTAAGGTGTTAGATGTCACGAGTACAACATGCACACTTTACTGGAAAAAACCTATTGATAATGACGAAATCATAAAATATTTTATAACTGTACTTGACTTTAAACAGTCCCCTTCTGTTTACGATCATTTCACTTCGCTTCCTGAAATAAAGTATGTGGTTAAGAAGCTAGAAGCTGACACAAAATACTTTATATTAGTGGAAAATCATGTTTTAAAAAAAGAAATATTAGCAAAATGCATCACTAAGCCATTATTGGGTATGTTAAATAAAAATTTTACTTTACTCATATTTTTTTCTCACGAATATTGAGAAATGTTTCGATGTTAATTTTTCTAGAATAAGCAATTTTTTAATTTACAGATGATGAATATGACGAGCCCTTAGAAAAATATGCATACCAGATATCATAAAACTGTATAGCTGATTATGTTACATGGGACATCTTTTACCATCAAATTTTGTTTTCTTTGCAAAATTTCGTTTTCTATACGCACGTGCGATAAGAAGAGCAAACCATAAAACTTTATCTGTCACTGAATCTTGTGAATTATTAAATACTATTATAATAACAAGATAAGCAGAAGAAATTTATGATTTTGACATTGATCTTGACATTAGTACAAATGGTACAAGCCAAGAACAATATTTATATTACAGTATAGATATAATTACCAAGATCATCATTAACTAAAAATCTAAAATAAGGACAATAATTTTTGTCTACTTTAGCAAAGGAAGAATTATCTCAATTTTGAAACTGATTAGATAATTTAAGTGATGAATAAAATTAATTTTTATTTCCAAAGCCTTTTCTTAAAATTACTACTGGCAAAGAAACAACTGTGAATTAAATTAAAATTACTTTACGTTAAAAAAAATTGAAAACTTGTTAATCATATGTTTTTAATAATACAAGTATAAGTTAAGATAAGTTTTCAAGCCATCAAAAATAGAATTTTACGAAACAAATATACATTCTAAAATTATTTATAATTGAATTGTCCGGCATCGGTGATTCAAACTTGATTTATTCATACCAGAGGGGAAGGTTCTGATATTAAGGGACAGATTTTAAGAAAGAATAATAAATTATTTAAAAAATTTGGAATAACGGTTTTTTTTTTTTTTTTTTTGAACCACCAGACTTTCTACAAACAAAAATCCGTTGTAAAGCTTTGCGAAAAGTTTCACTTTCGAATCGTTCCCGCTGAAAATTTTATGTTCCACTGTTTCTTCAGTTCGTCTACTATATCATTCCGAATTCTGTTTTCAATAAAGTTCTCCTACTTGTCTCCTACTGATAAAATCAGAATCAGCTGTGATCATAACAAATATACAGAAGTGAAACAAGTGATCACTATCAACATTAAATTATTGTCAAAAGTGAAAATATTAAATGTTTCATGTTATTTTTGAATTAACTAGAATTTATTGAAGGTATACCAAAATATTTTTTTAAGAAGAAGAAGAAGAAGTTGAAATACGGTTTATTATGAAGGAAAAGGATATGTTTGTTAAATTTTTCGACAGACTAGAAATTTATTTCTTTAATACGTACTCTTCTTATTATTATGACAAACAGGTAAAGAAGTCTTCTATTAAAATATAAAATAAAATATAACATAAAAATAAAATAGAAAAATATTAAGGACTTGTATTTTTTCCAGATTCATGGAATCGAAAACCGTCGATGCGGGAACTTTATTAAGAAGTTTATTACAAGATGTCAAGGATATGAAAATTTGACGAGACTCTTGGCAGATGAAAATCTTTGGGATGAATTTACTTGAGGACTAAAAATTTTTTTTCATTCTTCTTAATGTTCAAAATACTGTTAAAAGACAGTGAAAGAAAAAAGCGATATGGGGTGATACTTGAAACATAAGGTATAACTTTTTTTATCACCTTATGTTTGAGAAAGAAAATAAAAAAATTCTTTTAATTTTTTTTTTTTTTTTTTTTTTTTTTTTTTAATTTGTAATGATAAAAAAATACTTCTCTATCTCAATATAAAATATTTTCGCATGAAAACTTTAAATATGGATAAAGTGCCTATAATTTTGTTCAAGAATCTACATTTTTTTAAAAAATGATTCGCAAGCTTTGAACGTTCAAATGAAAGAAATATTTTTTAATAAAAATAATTTTACAAACTACTGCTTGCAATAAAACTTTAATTTTACGTTTCAAATTTTTTGGATCATTGGAGATAAGAAAGAAAATTACTGTACCAACTTATTTTGTCGTTTTTTAAATAGAAATTAAATTTTCATAAATTTTAAGAATTCCCTTTTTGTATTTTTATTAAATTTTAGTAAAATTTGTCGCCCCTATTTTATTTCTACTAATTTTTTTAATTAAAATTTTATTTCTATACAATTTTTTGAATTAAAATTTTGTTCAGATCTATGTCATGGAAAATTTTGAAGATGCTGCAGAAATAAAAGACGGCAAGGAACTTGAACAACATTCATCAGTTGATTGATAAATTTTTCTAAATTCGTTTTCTTTTAAAAATGATTTTTTAGAAGCATAATCCAATCATAATTTTTTAATCATAAATGAAAATTAAAAAAAATAAATAAATAAAAAAATAAATAAATAAAAAAAAATTAAATTAAAAAAATTAAAAATAGAATAATTTTAGTTGTAAAATTATTTTAATATTCAATCCCTTAATAATATTTACAGAAAAGTAAAATCGAACCAATTGATGATTAAAAAAGAGCTGATTATAAAATTTACATTGAGTAAAATTTCTTAACCTTGTTTTTTCTTCTTTTACATTTATTTCGTTGTGGAAATTTGAATATTTTGCTTTTGTTTCAATTAGAAATTTTTGACAGTTTTCAAAATCCGTTAAAAACTAATTTGCTTGAATAAATAAAATTTTATTCAAAAAATTGTTAAATAAAAAAATCTTTTTTTCTTGATCTCAAGTTAATTGTCAAATTATTTTCAAAGATCTTATTAGAGAAAGAAAAATAAATGTTAAGGTAAGCATCTGAAGTTTAAATAAAAACATTATTCCAATAAAAAAAAATAAAATTTTTATCATGGAATTTTTAGACACTTTTAAAATAATTTTCTTAGACAACTTAAAATCATTTTTATAATAGCAAATTTAATTTTAAAACCCTGTTTATTTAAAAAAAATTATTTTAATTTTTAACCTATTATCAATTACCCACATAGCACAATAGTATGAGGTAAGGTTACGTTGAGTACTAATCGTAAGGCTCATAAGGTTACACGATATTGCTGTGGTAGACCTGAGGTGAACTAAAAACTTCCGCCATGGAGGTAAGGTTACATGTTAGGGTGTGGTGACTATATATGATAAGGCCATGGTAACCTTACACGTTAAGGTTGAGGTAACTTTACATGTTAAGGTTGAGGTAAGGTTACATGTCAAGGCTGAGGTAAGGTAATTATTAAGTTGTAAGGTTGAGGTAAGGTTGTGATAAGTTTACCAGTTATAGAAAATATTGAAAAAATAATTAATAAATAAATATTCAATTAAAATGTTAAGTTTGTTGCTCTTCTCTATTTTGGAAACCTGACATGAAGCAGAAAATTTTGAAAACAAATTTGGGGGGACTGGGATTCGAACCCGGGATCGGCGCGCATAAACCTATCATTCTAACTAACTGAGCTAAGTAGAGAACTGGCAGAAGGAAAATTAATGTTGCCTTTAAGGAGTTAATCATCTTCTTGGTTCACCTTAAAGGCAACATTAATTTTTCTTCTGCCAGTTCTCTACTTAGCTCAGTTAGTTAGAATGATAGGTTTATGCGCGTCGATCTCGGGTTCGAATCCCAGTCCCCCCAAATTTGTTTTCAAAATTTTCTGCTTCATGTCAGGTTTCCAAAATAGAGAAGAGCAACAAACTTAACATTTTAATTGAATATTTATTTATTAATTATTTTTTCAATATTTTCTATAACTGGTAAACTTATCACAACCTTACCTCAACCTTACAACTTAATAATTACCTTACCTCAGCCTTGACATGTAACCTTACCTCAACCTTAACATGTAACGTTACCTCAACCTTAACATGTAACCTTACCTCAACCTTAACATGTAACGTTACCTCAACCTTAACGTGTAAGGTTACCATGGCCTTATCATATATAGTCACCACACCCTAACATGTAACCTTACCTCCATGGCGGAAGTTTTTAGTTCACCTTAGGTCTACCACAGCAATATCGTGTAACCTTATGTGCCTTACGATTAGTATTCAACATAACCTTACCTCATACTATTGTGCTATGTGGGTAAAATCAATTCGAAATCAGAAAGAACAAAATTTAAATTCTACTCGTTTAAAAAAAAATACCACTTTTTCATTTTTAATAATGAGAGTGAGGTCCACAACGTTTCTAAAAATTTGCAGAAATGAGGAAAAAATAAAAAAAGTCAACATTACGCGGTATTCCCAAGCGGTCACCCATCCAAGTACTAACCGCGCCCAACTTTGCTTAACTTAAGTGATCAGACGAGAACTTGTTTTTTCAAAGTGGAATGAACGTTGACATTTATGTTTATTTAAGATTCACTTCAAAAGACGTTTAAATTTCTTATTTTTTTTACTTCAAGATTTTCCACTGAAATTCAATTATTTAAAGAATTAAAATAAAATTCTTCGCAAGAATTCAATTATTTTCATAAATATTAAAATTCTTCTTAGGGATTCAATTATTTTTACAAAAAATAAAACTCATCGTCGAATTTCAATTATAAAAAAAAAGTAAAAGTTAAAGTTTAAGTTAAAGTTTTAGATAATAATTAAATATTAAAAGCAATTATATAGAATAAAGTTTTAGAAATAATTGAATTTTTAAAAGGTTTCAAATTTCTTTGAAAATCGGAATTTTTTAATACATATTCAATTATTATAGATTTTATTATAATTATGAAAAGTAATATATTTATAAAAAAAAAATTTTAGTTAAAAATTTTAAAATAATTAAATTTTTAAGTAATTGACAAAGAATTGAATTCTTTTTAAGAATTGTAAAGAATTTTATTATATGTATTGAAAGCATTGAATTTTTGGCAATTTTTTCGACGAATTTAATTAAAATTGTATTTGAAAATAATAATTGAAATTCGTGCGAAGAATTTTTTTACATTTTTAAAAAAATAATTGAATTGTTTTTGAAGAATTTTATTAAAGTTGAATTTTTTTCAATTATTTGTATCTGATATTATTCAAAAAGTATTCAAGATGATTTTGAGAAAATATTTTTATTTTTATCCTATTATTTATTTATTTTAGAAAAATTTTGTAATTTACATAAAATTTCATATAGTTATTCATATATTATTTATAAAAATTAAAAGCGTAAAATTGATAAATCATAAAATTCAATTATTTCTTTAATTTTTAAATAAAATTTTTCGTCAAATTATTTTGAAAATAAATTCAATTTCAAAATTTTTAAAGTTCATTGTTAGAAATAGAAAAAATTTCAAAATAAATTGAATATTATGTTTTTTTAAAGCTATTGCGTTGAACAACAAAATTCAGAATTTTCATATATGAATATGAATTTTCTTTACTGATCAGATATTGAAAATAATAATAAAATAATTAGTAATTAAAGAAAAACACAAATAAAAATTAAAATTTTTTTTTTTTTATTTAACTTTATTGACTGGATAATAATAATAAAATATTTAATAAAAATTCAAATATAAATACAAATAAAAATGAATAGAAAAATGAAAATAAATCTGAAAATGAAAAAAATAGTGTTCTATTATTATTTTCTATTAATATGTTCTATTATTATAATAATATAATAATAGTAGAAACGTTATAGGTTATACTTTCTGACATTCATTTTCAAAAAAATTTTAAAATTTAAAAAAAAGGAGTTAAAAGGCTTCGGAGATGAAATTATTTTAATTTCACAAATTCAGTTGTATAAAATTGTTTAATTTTTATTTAAAAATTATAAGTGCAAAATGTTTATTATACTTAATAGTCGAATAAATAGTGAATATAATTATTATTATAATAAATATAATTTATAATTTTATATTATAATTATTATTATAATAATTTTTAGAGAGTCGATTTTATAAAATTAATCAAAACATAAAAAATGTGATTTTCAACAGAATCATCAAAATAGTAATCTTATTTGGTTTTATTATTTAAATAAATAATTGTTTGGTTTTTCATTATTATTATTTTTATTTATTTATTATAAAATTTTAAATGATGATAATTTGATGAAAAAGTTGTTTTCTATTTTTTAGGCCGTAAATAATTTATTGATTGATATATGTACATACACACATCTTATCATTATTTATTATATATTTATTTGGTTTATTTATTTATTATTTATTTAGTTTATTTATTTTTTTTTCCTGTGTATACACAGATTTTCCCGCGTGGTTGTCAATTATGAAAATAAAAAAAAGAACATTATAGAAAAGGCACATGGCGCATGCGTGAAGGCATGCGTAGTGCGTGTAATTGCGCGTGCGCCATATGAAAACAATTTACTCGTGGTCTGCGCAGCGCGCGAGCGCAGTTCAAACTGAGCTCTCAGACTCAGATGTGTTTTAACTTCTAAGTTGTGGCATTCACTTTTTTTCGTCCCTTGGATTATTCGTAACTTTTGAGGGAGAAAATAAAAAAAAAATTCTCTTTTAACTCCCTTAAACACGACCGGATTTATTTTCGTCATTCTATATTATATACATGCGCTCACTTTCCGGCGCCTCGGCGACTTTTCTCTATTCACACATCTCTTCTCTTCTCCTTCTCACTTTCGTTCCACGGAAAGCAAGTAGTCGTGGGTCAACGCACGTTCCCCGCGACTATATGTGAAATTATAATAATAATCGTTCAGCGAAATTCTTAAAAAATGCTCAACTAAAAATCATTTTTTTCCTGTTCCGAAATAATTTTCGAGAAAAAAAAAAGTGCCGGGAAAAAATTGTTATTAAAAAATGATTTTAAAAAAATAATTGTGATTCCCCGGGGAAAAATCGTTCAAGTGGCAGTGGGAAACTGCGAAACAAGGATAAAAGGATTTTCCGTCCATACTTGGTGAGCAGATGAGACTTTTCTCTCCGTTGCTATGTATTATTTTTTTTTTTCGTTGAATTATAGGGGTTTCTATCATGGGTATACCTGGGACCCTTCTGAGAATTTTTCTTCTCTACAGATGTGACCTTTAAGGTGCGTTTAAAATTTAAAGGGCAATATAAAGAGGGAGTGTATGTGTTGATTCGATGCGAATCATGTTTCAGGGTGTGGGTATGTTTTTGTGTCTATTCAGTTTCTGAGCACTGGAAATGATCGTAAAATTTTTTTTTTCTCAATTATATGGAAACCTAGGGATAAATTAAAATTCATTTAGACATTTATTATTCAATTAACTTCGATTTGTTATCAAATTTACTAATTTTTGACAAAAATTCAAAAAATAATAATTTTAGGCTGAAAAAAAATTTATTTGATTCAAATAATAGATTGTCTATTATCAAATAAATATTTACTTGAATCAAATAAATTTTTTTTAGTGTAAAAAGTATTAAGTTTTAAGAAATAAATTATTATAAATTTTAAGTTGGTAAATGCATATTATTATTATTAAAAATTGAAATTCTTACAAATTAAATTAAAGAAAATGATTTTATAAATTTAAATTTAAAAATTGTAGAAATTTAAACTTACAATAAGTTTTTACAAATAAAATTAAAGTGTTTTTAATTAAAGTTATGTTTACTTTTGTTTATTTAACATTAAAATAATTTATAATTCAATATAATGATTTAATTTGAAGTTTAGATTTTAAGATTTTTTTAAAAATAATATTTAACTTTTAGAATTTGTAATCTGCATAACTTTGAATTTTAAAATTATAAATTTTTAATTTTACGACTTGAATGTTTAATAATATGAAAATTTTATAACCTTTTTATGTTCAGATTTTTAAAATTGATAAGAATTTAATTTTGTTAATTTTAAAAATGTTATTTTTAAATTTTGAAACTAAAAATTAAAATTTTTAATAATTTTAAATTTTAGACTTAAAATTTATAGTAATAAAAATTTTTTAACTAAAAATTTATAATAATTCAAAGATTTAAACCCAAAATTTAGAATAAATCAAATTTTTAAACCTAAAATTTATAATATTTCAAATTTTAAAACTTTAAATTTATAATAATTAAAAATATGAAACTTAAAATATTATAAAAAATTGATATTCAAATCTTAAAAGTTTACTTATATTTAAGTTTTAAAGCTTAATAATTTATATAATTTTAAGCTTAAAAACTTAAAATTTACGAGAATTTTCATTTTAGAACTTAAAATTTATAATAAATTGATATTTAAAACTTAAAATTAACATAAATTTGATTTTTAGAATTTAAAATTTATAAAACTTTAGTTTTTAAAACTTAAAATTTACATAAATTTGATTTTTAGTATTTAAAATTTATAAAACTTTAGTTTTTAAAACTTAAAATTTACATAAATTTGATTTTTAGTATTTAAAATTTATAAAACTTTAGTTTTTAAAACTTAAAATTCATAAATAAATTAATATTTGAAACTTGAAATTTATAATAATTTAATACTAAAAACTTAAAAATATAATATAATTTATATGTTTACTTTAAAATAAACTAAATAATTGAAAAATTTTTTTAAATTATATATTACACTACAATTATTGCTATGTAAAATAAAATTTTTGAGAAATTGACGTCTAATGACAGAGAGAAAGCAGACAAAAAAAATTTGATTAATTCATTACTATTTTCGATGCAGTAAAAAATTTCAATTAATTTTCTTTTTTTGTTTCTTACAAAATAGTGTATTATTATACGTATATACAATAGTATAATAAAGGAGAAAGGAAAATAATTTCTTTTAATTTAAAATAAAGCTCGCTGCTATGCATGCCCAATGGTTGACGTTAAATCGATTTTCTACAATTCTAATTGGCTGATGGAGAAATTTCAGGAAATATTATTACCATCAGGTACAATGTTTATATTGCTTTCTTTTGAAACTGTAAAAATCATAATGTTAATGCACTAAAAAGAAATAATTAATTTTCGAAAAGTTTTCAATTATTTTCCCCTTCTACTTTTTTAGTATATATATTGAAGAAAGTAGCACAATGAATAAAAATTTTCGCAAATTTTAATATTAAAATTGTTTTAAATTTAAGCATTTTAATAAACATTTAAAGATTTAACATACTTTTAAACGTATAATAAACATTTAAATATTTAGTAAACATTTTAACATTAAATAAACATTTAAACGTTCAATAAACATTTAAACGTATAATAAAAATTTAAACATTTAATTTATTTTTTATTATTATTATTTATTTTAAAAAAATAAATAAAAGTCAACATTACGCGGTATTCCCAAGCGGTCACCCATCCAAGTACTAACCGCGCCCAACGTTGCTTAACTTAAGTGATCGGACGAGAACTTGTTTTTTCAACGTGGAATGAACGTTGACATGTGTTATTTAAAAATTTTTTTTTTTCATAATATAGAATTAAAAACCAGAAATTAACTAAATCTTTCATAAGAAAGTAAAAAATAAAAATATAGATATAAATTCCAGAATATCTTAACTAAGAGATAAAAATACTCCACGATGATAAAAATAATGGAATTTTCAGAAAATAATTATATGAAATAATTAATAAGTATTTATAAAATAGTTTTATAAAATAATTAATAAGTATTTAAAAAATAATTTTATAAAATAATTATAATGAGTATTTATAAAATAATTTTATAAATACATATAGAGAACCTGGATTTTAAATTATATTTTTATTTCAAAACAAACATATATTCAGTAGATGAAATTACACCACGTGATGTAAACGTCAGATGACGTCAGTATAAAACATTCGGGCTTCCTAGATATATAATTCAAAGATATACACAATATAAAAGAAAATTTTTTTTCAAGTTCTTATAAAGCTATAATTTAATTTGACTTCACTTCACTTAATTTTAATTTCATTTTTCTTACATACCTATATTTAAATTGTATTGAATTTTTACTCTTTCGATAATTCCATTATTATTATATATTAGCTATTACATTTTTTCTCGTGACCTGTTTTTAAAATTCATTCTTCATTTTTTGTAACATTTTACAAAAATTTAAATAAATCTATAAGAATCTAAAAAAATAAAAATTATCCTCAAAAATTATTATATAAATATTAATTAAATAAAATTAATTTATTAAATTAATTTATAAAAATTAATATTATGAAAATTCATTTCATTCATTCATTCATTCATTTCATATTGAATATAAGGTCTTTAAGGCCTTAATTCTTTAAGGCCTCAAAACCGAAAAAATAATTTTTAAATTTATAAATTTTATAAATTAATTTTCATAAAAAGTAAGGTCTTGTTTTCGAGTTCACTAAGACGATTTTTTTTGCGCCTTAAAGTCGATCAAAGGCCTGTATTTTATAAAAAATGTATTAACTAGTTTTTAAAAAATAGAAAATTTTTTTTGGGTTATAATTAAAAAATTATTTTTTTGGTTTTGAGGACTCAATAAGACTAATAATTCAATATAAGTCCTAAAAATGAATTTTTATCTCTCCTGTTTATTCATTTGGCCGACTTTAGAAAATATGGAAAATTACATTTAATGAAAAATGATGTGTAATTTGCAATTTGAAAATTTACGCACTAACTCGTCTCCCAATTGTCTGCTCCTTATTTAGGCCTCAATTCTTGTCTGCACTCTTGCGGCTCGTTATCTGATGACAAAATTGCATTATTATTTATTCTTTTTATAACAGTCTATTATATATTTCAATTTTTTTTTATTTCATTTCTTAAATAGTTAAATTTGATAGAAAATATTATGCATTCTTTATTATTATTTTTTATTTATTTTTTTTATTTTTTTTTTATTATAAAATAATTTTTTCTTTATATATTTTAATATATAATATATATATTATGTTATGTTATTTCGTTAATTATTTATTTTTTTTGTTATAAATATTTTGTTTTTAAATATATTAAATTTTTTTAAAAATAACTAAATTTGATTTTGAAAAGTAAAAAATAAATTTGTTAACAAAAAATGAGTAAGTTTAAAATAAATTTTGAAATTTTAAATAAAAATTTTAATTTAAACACATTTTTTTTTTCGTCCACCCGGTAGAAAATTGGGGACTCAAAAAATAATGCAACAAAGAAAAATATTATTCCCCCTGGGCTATTAAATTTTCAAGGGGGTTAAAAAATAAAGGCAGAGAGTATACAGTGTGTCCCCTCTTTAAATCTCGTCGTGTCCTCGTACATAATATATCCCTCGCCGATCTTGACCCGTCTTCGTCACGGATATGTATTTCCGGTTTTTGGACACATTCGAGTTATTTAATTTTTTTTTTATTATTATTACTACTATTATTACTATTACTACTTTTATTTTAATTTTTGACACATAATATTTAGAATTAGAAATTATATTTCATTTACATAATTATACAGTATTCAGGTGTTATATTATATTTAAAAGGATAAGAAATATTTTTAGTTTCATTGACCTTTCTTTTAAATTTTCTCCCCTATTTTATAAAATATTTTCACATTTTTCGAATTCAAATTTTTTACTAAAAAAATTTTAATAAAAGTGTATTTATTATAAAAATATTTCTTATTTCTTATTATATTTATATTTTATTATATTTTTATTATATATATATATATTTATCATAAAAATATTATTTTTGAAAAATTTACAAAAAAATTCTTGTCAATATATTTAAATTATCTTTGTAAATGAATAGCAAAATTCTTCGATTAAATTTAATTATTTTCAGTTGCAAAATTCAATTATTTTCATAAATAAGAATATTCATCACAAAAATTCAATTCTTTTCAAAAAATGAACACAAAATTGTAAAATTCTTCGCCAAAATTTAATTATTTTTAGGAATCTTAATAAAATTCATTGCAAAATTCAATTATTTTCAGGAATTTTAATAAAATTTATTGCAAAATTCAATTATTTTCATAAATAACAA